ATTAAGCTTAAATCTAGTGATTAAGGATAATCTCGGTCTCTTTTGGGATGGATGCATCTGAAAAATTACTAGATCACTTGCAAAAGGTGCAAGGCGGGTCTCAAGTTGATGGCAAATTGATCAATAATTATATATTGATAAATAATACAAGCGCTGGGGGTGTTGATCGAGAATTCCTCTCGCGATGTATTCCCTTGATAAACAGCATATTATTCGAAGAGACTTACTCTCAAATAGACAGCAACTTTGCCATCGTGGATTTGCTAGGCTCTATTTTGGCGAGATTACCTTTCAGTGAAGTGCTTCAAATTTATGATAAAAATTTCATTGTTGATGCCGTTTCATCTCCTCTGCCACAGATAACTAAGTTGGCTTTGGATATTTTGAAGCAGAAAATCCTAGAAGCAAACCAATTGCTAGATGAGACAAATATCATCTACTGCATCGTACATCGCTATCTTTCTGACCAGAATTTACCTCTATCAGTTGTCAATGCCACAGAGCAGTTTATAACTGTGCTAATCGAACTGGATCGAAGTATTGCAGCATCCAAATTATTAACAAAGGATTTGTGTGATTTGTATAAGAATGCGAGGTATGGGGAGGAGTCCACTTTGAAAACTCGGCTCTTGGATTTCTCGCTCTTTATCCTTCCAATTATAAATCACCTGAACTTCCCTACGGAGATAATAAAATTCTCTAGGCAAGATATCTTACAGAATGATGACCCTTTGTTTGTTGTATTATTAATCAGCTTCTATACAAAATTGATAGGTAACTTGGATAACTCATCTATAGAAACTTTTAACGTCATAAAGGAGCCACTCTCCGACATAGCTAGCTTGTGGCCTTTGAGACAATCCGATAGCATGATTGGATCATTTTATGCGAGTGAAATTGTCAATTTATTTTCTAAAATATCCTATTGTGCATTGCAATCGGTTATTTCATTTACTAAAGAATTGATAAGGAAGCTTGAGCTTTTCAAGTCTTACAATCTTTATATCGATTCTTTTGATGAAGACATAAGACTTCTTAATAAATTCAATCCTGAATTACTTGGAGGAGAATCGTTCTACGATGAAGTTTTGAAGAATATTCCATTGTTAAGTCAAAGATACTTTCCTATTTTATTGAATGTTATAGGATCACTGGAAATATTTGACATTTTAACAGATAACGATAGATTAACTTCAATTTCAATTTCCAAGTTATCGCTGGATATGCTATATAGCCTTCTAGTGAGGTTGACTAGCTATCTGTACTCAATTCATTTTTTACTTAACCACTTGCCATCTACAGTCTTTGACTATTTGATAGCATCACGCTCAGAGTTAAACGATTCAGAAATCTGGAAGATGAAACAAGAAGCTCTCGAGAATTTATTACATTCCGGTGTTGACTTGGGAATCTGGAAAGAAAAGTTGTTTTCGTCTTACAGTTTGATGAAGAACGGGAGAAAGGTTCGTGATATTACTCCAAATGTGGAGATAACCGACGAGTTTATCTGAGTCTTTAATTTAAGTATTGCATAATATATCGTAAAATCATTGTCCATAAGTACATTTGTATTATTCTACTTGACAGTTGACCCATGCATTCCCACAAATGCAAGTTCTCTGAAAAACCATGGTCCAGAGACCCCTTGTTCCTCTATAGTTGAATATAAGTGGATCAGAAACGAGGGATACAGATCTACATCTCGTACACTTTCGCAAAGCTGAATTATTGTCTTTCTCAAGTGGTATTATAATTTTCCGTAAACCATCAATCCACTCAGTCTTCGAAAATTTGACTCTGGGGCTAAAACTACTAGTTTCATTAGAGCCAGATATTATTATATCATCTTCTGGGAATAATGGTGAGGAGCCAACAGAACTGGGCATCCCAACATTTATCCAATCCACATCGCAAAAGTATAGTTCGGACAATTTAAAATCTCTATTGATACTTGTGTTATGATTTTCTATTAGCTTATTCGCCAATGGGATCAACTGCTCTGGAATTTCTCCTTGACAAGCGAGTTTTTGTTCTATTTTAAGGATTTGTGCCTTCTCTGAACCTGCAATTTTATTCAATTCACTAGTGATATATACGTCACTTTCTCTCAAAAAACTTTCAAACAACGATAATGTTAAAGGTGAATGATTATAGATTGTAAAATATCTGTTCAATGCTTCTCTCATAGGGCTAAAAAATTCAGCACTCTCGGACAACTCTTTGTGGAGTTTTTTTAAAATTTCATTCGTCTTTCCTATCGATGACAAGCCATACATAAGAAAGAGCCTTGGAACTTTTGCAAGAATGAGTGGTAGAGCAACTGAGTTTGTTAATGTTACCTTGCTCGAAGCAGGACTATCTTTCGTGTATGCAAGCTGCAAAAGCTCTTGATTCAAGTAGATCATCAAATCAATCAACCACTTTATGTTTCCAATAAGCGACATAATACATTCTCCTTTGGCAACAGAGTCCTGTAGAGTATCCTCTGAGGGCTTTTTCTTTGAAATTTGACGATATATATTAGAAAGCAGAAACATAATTCCAAAGCTTGTGCTTCTAAGATTTAAAACAATCCACGATATATCGCTTATGATCTTTTGCTCCAGAAATTCACCTAAGACCAATTGCAAAGATAATAGTTTTTGTAAAGGTGGGTTCGAAAGAAGTTTATCTACCGATTCTTTCCCAAATGCATCAAGATGGAAATTTATAGCCTTATGTGATTCGCAGATTATTGATTCAATAAACTTCTTTACAAAAAGCTTTGTTTTTTCTGGTGCGTTCTTGTTAAGTAACTTCAACACCCTTTGAATTTCGACTTGAATCATAACTATTAAGTCATCGGAACAAGAGTTTGTATAGCATGCATATGCGTGTCTAAATGCAAATCCAACTGCTGTAAGGAATAGATCTTTGGGTAAAATTTCCAAATATATCGCTTTTTCCGCAACTCTAAAATTAAGCTGACGTTCTTCATTGTCAAGTGATAAATAAACCACTGAAGTGAAGTTGGGTGATACTGCAAACAACATGTTTCCTCCTTCGTCGATCGGGGGAAAGTTGAACCCCGAATCAAAAATGTTTGATATGGTGGAAGGTGGATTTGTAGGTTTGGTGTCTTCTTTTTCACTCACAAGTTTCATGCTTTTTCTTTCGACAGCATCCACTCTACCTTTTTCAAATATAAAAGAGAATATTGAATCATTCAAAGCCGTTTCGATGGACTGAATTTTTCCGGGCCGCATCAACTTGTCAATCAATACAAGAGTGTAATCATTAATATAAGACTTGTTCGGGTGTGAAACTCCTTTCCTAGATCCAATCTCAGTGAAAGCATCCGGAACCAAATCTGAAGAGTCATGTAACTCGTAACGATAAATGGTCGTTGATGCCTTTCCTGCCTCAAATTCTGAGATATAGCTAATTAGTACATTTAGTTGTGAACCTTCTTCGTAGTAAACTGAGGCTAAATCGATTGAAGCAAGCCTTCCAATTTCTGATACTAAATTGTTATCCCTCTCATTTTCATAAGAAGTATCGACCTCCATTTTATCGTCATCCTCCTTTTTACAGCTATCGATATATGTGGCCATGGGCTCCATTTCATGTATTTTTTTGACACTCATGGTTGGTAGACTCTGCGACTCCTTAGGAGTATGATAATGTGGATCACTTCTTTGCCTTTTCGCAGATTCCACTAAATATTTCCAATCTATTTCCACCAAATAAGTACTGATTTTATGACGAAGTTTGTCAAAAGCCGTTATTATTATTCTTTGCTTGTCTGCAAATCCAATTGAAGCATGAGTTATGAAGAGCGGTTCATCACTAAGTTTTGTTTCTATACTGTAATAATCCACTCTATGTTCGCCTTGATAATATAAATTCAAGACTCCATTTTGACGTAAGGCTAAGCATGCTTGTTTGGTAGAAATTGGATGAGTCGCTATTTGAGGTTGATGTTGACTAACACTGTAGGTATAAGCAAATGGAGACATTGCTTGCAGCACATTTTTTTCCATGTTGGTCACTGTTGCTGGATTATTAACTATTTGCAGTTTTGCTATACCTAGCCACTTTATTTCAACAATCAGGTTCAAACTTCTCAAGTTTCCAGGTGGTGAAGGGTCAATTATATGACGATATATTATCTCCATACGATTATACGACGTGAGCTCGTAAGTTGGTGCCACACCTAAGGAAGGGGTCCCGTTTGAAGAACCATTTTCATGGTTATCATTTTTCAAAAATCCAACGCCCGCTAGTAATATAAATAAATTACCAGACTTATCTGAAACCGCTAAATCTGTGCTTAAATTGCTCCAAGACACCAACGAAAGTTCAGGAGTTATATGTTTGTCGAGCTTCACTGCAATTTCCTGTTCTTTAGCAATCTGCCATGTTCTTCCATTTAAGTTCTCCAAATATGTCAAGTACAAATTAGCTTTGTTGTGAGTATTTGGTAAAGCGTATGCAATGAATCCATTGGAAGACCATGAGATCAAATTAGAGGATATCGTCAGATCTGACGCCATTGATATCATTAAGTCAGAATACTAAACACAGTTTGCATTAGAAATAGATTCAATGTTCCGTGAAAACAAGAAAAAAAAAATTGCGGAATATTCTATCTGAAGACCTTAAAACTACGAAAACACGTTAGAATAAGAATACTGCGTTTGTCTATGTGAATTTACATGTCGATATTATCAATCTTTATATATAATCAGTCTTTATGTATTGTTGATTGTAAAGATTAGAGGTCACCAGGTACTGGGTAAGTAGACACCCAATCTGACACTTCTGTTCCCAATTCCTTAACAGCAGCACTTTCGTCAGCCAATCTCTTGAAAGATGCTAATAATTCCTTTGGTGTCTTTCCTTGCTCCTTGGATTTCAATTCAATACTGATATTGACTGCTTTGTCAAAGTAATCTGCGACGCGAGCAAACTCTTCAGGGCCGAAACCTCTAGTGGTCATCGCAGGGGTACCAACTCTAAGACCAGATGGGAAAAGGGCAGACTTGTCACCTGGAACAGTATTCTTATTGGCAGCTATATGAGCACGCTCTAAAACAGCCTCAACTCTTGCACCATCAATTTTTTTCGATCTCAAATCAATCAATATTAAATGAGTATCAGTTCCACCTGAGACCAAGTCAAAACCTCTAGATCTCAACTCATTAGCAAATGCTTGCGCATTAGACACTACTTTTTGCTGATAGTCCTTATATTCGGGATAAGTTGCTTGTTTCAAAGCAACAGCTAGAGCAGAGATGGTGTGATTATGAGGGCCACCTTGGTGCGCTGGGAAAACTGAAAAATTAATCTTTCTTTCCAACTCATAAGGAATCTCCTTTCCCTTTTTAGTGACCTTTCTAATACCTTTTCTGTAAAAAATCATAGCACCTCTGGGACCCCTCAAGGATTTATGCGTTGTTGTTGTGACTATATCGGAATAAGGAAATGGAGACTCGGTAACACCAGCTGCAACCAATCCAGAAATATGAGCCATATCCGCTAATAAGTAAGCACCCACCTTGTCCGCAATCTCTCTCATTCTTTTGTAATCGATTACTCTTGAGTAAGCGGAAGCACCTGTCACAATGACTTTTGGTCTGAATAACTGAGCCGACTTTTCGAGAGCATCATAATCAATCAAACCTGTAGTCTCATCCAATCTATAGGGCATTGTTTGGAAATACTTCGAAATGTAAGAAATCTTGGTAGTTGGAGTTTGGTATCCATGGGACAAGTGACCACCATGAGGTAAATCTAAACCCATCAATCTGTCACCGACCTCCAAGACCGCAGAGTAGGCATATAAATTGGCCGGTGCACCAGATAACGGCTGAACATTGACCCCCCAATCTTCAGGATTTAATCCGAATGCCTCTAGGGCCCTCTTTTGACACAAAGATTCAGCCTTGTCGATAATTTCATTACCTCCGTAGTATCTTTCTCCAGGATACCCTTCTGAGTATTTATTCTGCATCTCTGATCCTAATAAGTCCATCACTGCTTTCGACGTAAAGTTTTCAGAGGGAATCAAAGTAATAGAGTTTTTTTGCCTGTTCTTTTCTTGTTGCAAAATATCAGCCATCTCTGGATCCACATCTGCTACTGGCTTTGACATCAAGTGCTTAGCATTTGTAGATAAGGCATAATTCCTGACAATTTGCAAGGAGGAAATTCTTGGATACAGCCATTTCAATGCATTAGAAGCTGAACGAATCATGACAGCCATGAGTTACTAGCACTTATCGAAATTCGTTTTAACTAAATTATGGCTATATATGTTCTTTTTCAAAAAGTGAATTTTAACTATGACTCCGATGGGAAAATTTTGGATATTTCCGGTGGTACCGGTATAATTCCGGTGTTTCTTACCGGAAGTAATAAGCAGTCTACTCTGGGACCGCACTAAGATACAGATTATGGTCCGCTCCACACATACTACTCCCACAAAATGTTATCGAATTGAACCACTTATCCGTATAAAGACTTTCCATTGAACCTCTGATATCAGGGTTGACAGTCAAAATATGACTAATGAGGTTTCTTGACTCTGTCGGAAACCGACCAAGTATTTTTGACTCAGCTCCTTTACTCTTACTGTCACCTGAGGACGAGTCAGACTTGTATAAAGCGAATCGAGGGTCAGAGTGATGGGTAGACTTCCAGGGAAGCTCATTATTGATCAAGAAGTAAAGGATAATTCCTACAGACCATACATCCGCCTTCTTGCCGTTATAGCGCAACTTTGAGAACATTTCTGGAGCACAATAAGGTTCAGATCCGACAAGGCCAATAGCATCTTCATTACATTCGCTAGCCGTCATCATGTCTATTATCTTTAATCGTCCTTGTGGAGCACAAAGTATCAAATTCTCCGGTTTCAAATCTCGATGACTATAGTTCTGGCCGTGCAAGTAGCTTACACCTTCGCACAATTGTCTCCAGAGGCATAAGGCTTCTTCAAATTGCAACTTGTCAGCTATCTGTTTCACATTTACAAAACCAGCCTCCATAAATACCTTAATGGTTACACCGGTCCAAGATATCTCGTACTTAAACACCTTGATAAAGTTTTCATGATCCAATCTCTTCAACACTCTATATTCATGCAACACTCGATCCTTGTATTCTTCATTAGATTCATACTTCTCCTTAGTACAGTATTCTTTTACAGCGTACAGTTCTGAGGGCCTACTCTTCTTCAGATATAGTACGACCGACCCTGAAACTCCCTCCCCAACTAGTTGTCGCTCCCACAGCCATAACATCAGACGACGCAAGTAGTTCTGTGAGGCCACGATTAGTCGATATCGTAAAAATAGTTATCGGACCTCTTGGCTCAATATTCATATCCCGTTAGTACCACGGCTTCGTTTGTGTGATTCTTATTCTGTAATTTGCCAGCGCTGCATGAGGGTTTGTATAACCGAAATAGCTGAAAATACTACCGATCCGGAAATCCTTATTAATATGCTATCGCTACCGTTAGTGCAGATAGCAATTAGGTGGTTTGCCACTACTTAAGCAGCTAAACTGTCACTCGAGAACCGTAGAAGTATCACATTTCAGTGATTGGGGTGAGTAAAATTGAAAATGAAGCTCTCACTGATCAATATAGTAGCACTTGTTGCCTTAGTTGGCACAAGTAATGGATTAAGTATACCTGCTCCTTTTAGTGAATTACAACAGACCTTGAAGTTTGACTTCAACTTCGAGAAATTAAGTGATAAATTAGCAGATAAAGTCGCTGCTACCCAAAACAATGTTATTGGAGCCATTTCTAAGTATCTTAATGAGCCTCTTGAGAAGGTTCCCCAGGCAACTAAGAGCTTATGGCTGGACATGATGTTACAATTCCCTGAGGCAGTTAGCCGTTTAAGCTTCAAGTCTCAACCAAAGAAGTTCACACAGAAGTCAAAAGATGCTTTTGATTACCTTGTGATGGATGCAAAGGTTCCCGGTCATCAATTGAGGGTCAAGAGCACTCCTGAGGACTTAGGAATTGATAAAGTTAAGCAGTATACTGGTTATTTGGATGTAGAGGAGGAGGACAAACATTTCTTCTACTGGTTTTTTGAATCCAGAAACGATCCTAAAAATGACCCCGTCATCTTATGGTTAAATGGGGGTCCTGGTTGTTCATCATTGACCGGTTTGTTTTTCGAATTGGGACCTGCTTCTATTGGGAAGGATATTAAACCAATATCGAATCCTTATAGTTGGAACAACAATGCTTCTGTCATTTTCTTAGATCAACCAGTTAATGTTGGTTACTCTTATTCATCTGAATCAGTTTCTAATACCGTTACAGCTGGACAAGATGTCTATGCATTTTTGGAATTGTTCTTTAAACAATTCCCTGAATACAAGAAACCAGATTTCCATATTGCTGGTGAGTCTTATGCTGGTCACTATATTCCAGTTTTTGCTACTGAAATCTTAAGTCATGAAGATAGATCCTTCAATTTGACTTCCGTATTGATTGGAAATGGTTTGACTGATCCTTTGACTCAATATAAATATTACCAGCCAATGGCATGTGGTTTAGGAGGAGAGCCATCAGTTTTGGAGCCGGAGGAGTGTGACAACATGGCTGATACTATTCCAAGATGCTTATCATTAATTGAAAGCTGCTATGATAGCGGTTCTGTGTGGTCTTGTGTCCCTGCAACCATCTATTGTAACAATGCTCAAATGGGACCATACCAAAAAACTGGAAGAAATGTTTATGATATCCGTGAAATGTGTGAAGGTGGTACTCTTTGTTACAAAGGGCTTGAGTATATTGATGAATACTTAAACAAAGAAGAAGTAAAAACAGCTCTTGGGGCTGAAGTCGATAAGTATGAATCGTGCAACTTTGACATCAATAGGAACTTCTTATTTGCTGGTGACTGGATGAAACCTTTCCATAAGGCTGTCACTGATTTGTTAGAGCTGGGTCTTCCTGTTTTGATCTACGCGGGAGATAAAGATTTCATATGTAATTGGTTAGGTAACCAAGCATGGACAAATGAGCTCGAATGGTCAGGAAAGAAGCAGTTTAACAAACAGCCAGTTAAAGATTGGACTGTCGGTAAGACTAGCGCTGGAAAGGTGAAGAACTTTGAGAACTTTACTTTCTTGAGAGTTTTTGGCGGGGGACATATGGTTCCATATGACCAGCCAGAGAATGGATTAGCAATGGTCAATTCCTGGATTAAAGGAGACTATGCTTTTTGAATTTTGAAATTCCTTTACGTGTTAGCTTTTCTATTATCCTAACTTTGTATAAGTCCTTTTCTTACATGGAGCTATGGATAATTAAGTAATTTAAAAGATAAGTACCCTTTTCAAACCAGTTTTTGAGAATCTTCACTCTCGTTGCCTTTTGATACTAAACTGACTTGATTATGTAGTCTCTATTCCTGTTAATCGTATCGTTCTTTCGTACAAATATGCCTGGAAATATTCATAGTCTCCTTAAGTAAGGTCAAACAATTGCTTAGTTTTATTGTAAGTGTATATATTCCTGTATGCAAGAAATCTGAAACACGTAATATTCTTATCACACGAGCAAATGTATATAGCATCTTGACGGCTGAAACATATTGTACTGAAGCCCTCGATGTGTTAAAAGTTGTTCAGAATGTCTATATAAAAAGAATCTTTTATGTAGTATATTCAAAAGGGTTATTTCATCAAGCTTAATTGGCGATGAAGCCTACTAATATTTTTTTATGCTTTGCAGCTATAAGTATAGCTGCAAATGCTTTTCGCTGGGATGTTAAGCTGTTAGGACAATTTTCAAGCTTTGACTTGAGCAAAACGAATATTAATGAAGACAAAAGGGAACATATTGGCGATGAATCTGAGAAAAAAATCATTCTTGAGCGTCCCATAAGGCACAGATCGATCTTAGAAGATCTGCTGAAAAGTTTAAAAGTAGAAAGCGAGTCTCATAAAAGAACTCAGGAAAATCATTGCTCTAAACGAAAAGACTCAAATCAAAATTTAAGAATAAAGAGCAATCTTACTCAATTGGGAGTGGATAAAGTAAAACAATATGCTGGTTATTTAGATACGGATGACAACAAGAAACATTTTTTTTTTGGTTTTTTGAATCTAGAAACGATCCGACGAAGGATCCAATAATCCTATGGTTGAATGGGGGGCCGGGCTGCTCTTCCATGACTGGGTTGTTTTATGAATTAGGACCATCTAAAATTAATCTGAAGTTGGAACCAGAGTTGAATGAATACAGTTGGAACAATAATGCGTCTGTTATTTTTCTTGACCAACCGCTCAACACTGGTTTTTCGTATTCTAAGGACAATGTTGATAGTTCAGCCTCTAATGCAAAGGATGTTTATGACTTTCTAGACTTGTTCTTTGAAACATTTCCTCAATATTCGAAGCTAGGATTACACCTAGCAGGCGAGTCTTATTCTGGTCATTTTATACCAGCAATTGCTCGTGAAATCTTGAATCATGAGAATTTAACTTTCAATTTGAGCTCAATAATGATTGGTAATGGTCTTACTGATCCTTATATTCAATTCCAATATTATGAGATAATGGCTTGTAAATCTAAGGAGTACAAGTTGAACGTAAGCTCCTCTATTTGCAAAGGCATGTCATCACATACTCATACGTGTGAACTTTTAACCAAAGCATGTTACAAATTCCCATATTCAGTCACTTGTTATCCGTCAACTGCCTATTGCATGAAGACAGAACTAGAGCCTTTTCTACAAACAGGAATAAATCCGTATGATGTTCGCCTGGATTGTGCAGGTGATGGTTCTTGCTACGAAGACATGATATACTACGAGGAATATTTGAATCAGACTTCAGTCCAGAAAGTTTTAGGAGTTGACATGGCATTTCAAAGTTGTAGTGACCGTATCTATGAGGATTTCATCAAAAAAGGAGACTGGTCTTTACCATCTCAAGAAAATATCAAGTTTTCGTTAGACAGAGGCGTACCTGTTTTGATCTTCGCTGGAGATCAAGACTTTATGTGTAACTGGTTGGGTAACCATGCTTGGACAAAGGCACTAGAGTGGGATGGACAAGCTAGTTTCTCAAATTCGAAGCTCAAGCCATGGTATGTTGAGGGTGAAGAAGCTGGTCAGTTAAAAAACTCCGAACATTTTTCTTTCTTGAGAATTTACAATGCGGGCCATATGACGTCTTACGATCAACCGAGAAACAGTTTGGCTATGGTGAATTCTTGGGTACATGGAGATTTTGCTCTTGGTAACTAAGTTCATTCATTAAATTTTGTCTTTTGTCTCTTAAGTGTTATAATAATCTATATGCTGCGATTCCCAATTCAACATTTTCATTTTTAGTGCAACTCTTTTCCAAATTTGTTCAAAAATCAACTCTTATCCAGAAGCTTGAGGCAAGGAGCGCCTCTGTTCATCAATTAAACTCAATCCCTTTGTCTATTGAGTTCCTGTTGAGTTATCCTATCCTCTCTTTGATATCCAAAGTTGCTAATAAAATTTGTTCGCATATTGCAACATACCGAATCAGGCAATATGTAAACACAATAAAACGTCAATATGATTTCAAGATGACTTTAAAGGTATGTTCAGTGGATTAGGGGAAATTAGGAAGCTTGATAAAATATAACTAGAGCCCAAACAAATTGGTCGTTTGATTTGCCTATCGGGGGAACTTCCTTTGCATAATTTATTGATACCCTTTTGAAGTTCACATTTACCAATTAGCTAGGTGAAGTATCATTTTGATTTTTTTTTGAGCAATTTGGTATTACAAAGAGATCAAGAAGTTGAATTTATACTTAGTGCTTTCCCTAGTCATAAGCATTACTTGTGCTTGACTCAAAGTCATTGAATATTAGAACAATGTTCAAGATGAGTTCCGTGAACATTCTAAATGCCAGCCTTCAATCCTTCCTGTTTGCGTGCTTTACAATAACTGCTGTTATTTCTATTATAACGTACACGGAGATTGATAAGGTGGAGCTATTATTATTCGCTATAGGCCTGTTTGTAATGATTTTGTTGATGACAACACATATATATAACGAATGCTTTCGATTATACCACAAACTATTTGATACCAGTATCCTACTTTCAGGTTTTATGTTTTATTTGGGAACAGGCTTATGTTTGTTTGTTCAAATCTTGCAAGGAAACTTTAAGAAACACAATTCAAGGATAAAAGATTGGCGTCTCATTTTGTTTCCAGTTTTCATAGTCTCTGCAATGATGTTTGCTTGGCTAATTGCCTTTATGATATTTTTATATGTGTTTGAAAAAACCAAGCAGTTAGATACATCTCTGGGAGGAACCGAAGTTGAGACTTCTTCACTTAAGACAAACTATACAGAGGAATTTTATGAGCAAGGTGATAAATATTTAATAGGAGCTTATCCAAAATCATTGCAAAAAGAGACAGGTGTCTCGAAGAAGATTTCAGAGATAACTTTAACTAACGAAGATGATAATTTAATGATTGGGGTTGACATGGCCGATGGTAACCCAAAAGAAAATACTATAGAATGCATCATCAAGAATTCATTTAAAAATACAGATGCTGCTCTCGATTGTAATAATTACATTTCAAAAAATTGGATGGATACCGGTGAAAGCTTGAATAATTTGGCCGAGTTTGTTAAAAAAGATTTATTGTACGGTATACCAAAATGTGGGCCACATCACAGGTCCATTAGTGTAGGTGCTCACTTCATCAATGAGGGAGATAACCGCATGGTGATGCAGTCGAAAAGTGTACCTAATCTCAACAAAAATCATATTAAAAAATTACTGAAAGATTGCCAAAGCAGAGAAGGGTTTGGAACAGATACTTTTATAACAAGAAATCAAAAATTGTTGTCGTTAAAGAATGAGCGGAAGTTCATCTCCAGATTTGATCAGTCATTATTACCATCTGTGCTCAAAAGAGGCGAGAGCCTGATTGATCAGTTCAAAAGACAAAAAAGCGATCTTAAAACAGAAAACAAGCAAATTAGCTCTCCGAAGAACTATGAATTCCAACAAAGCCCTGCGGTCAACTATACGTATTACGCTAATAATAATACTGATAATTCTAGCATGCTGGAAACTCGAAACATACCAACTCAAACTGGCGACAGATTGCAACCAATTATCTCAGGAAAAGAGGATTGGGATGAAAATGACTATGGAGACACTTTGAAGGGGCTAGAAAAGATCCCAGTTCGATCGTCTTCCCAAAACTCTTGGTCTCAAAATTTTGCCAATGAAGGGCAAGAGATGAGGAATATTTCTTTGAAAGAATGGGACCTTAATGCAGAGGCATGGCTTCAAAATAGAATCAGGGCCGGAGAGCCTTCAAGCTTAGGAGCCCTCACTAGGTTAGCAACGGAAGGTTTGAAGAGCTTAGATGAGGAGTCGAACGTAGTATCAGGATCAGGCATGAGAGTTAGGTCTCGCGCTGAGACAATTGGAAGCTTATCGGATATACACAGCACTTCAGAAGACTCTGAAGTGAGAGAAAACCAGCACTCATTTGCTATTTTAAACAAGTCTTTCAGTGCTCCATCATTGCATACGTTCCGCCAAAACAGCATTGAGTCTCATAGAAGTGTCTCCGTCGAAAATTTACATGAATATGCAGAGAATGATGACTTTATGAGACGAGAAGGAGACTTCTGCATGCCAAAGGAAGTCGTCGATCCAAGTAGTCCCCTAACTCCTCAGTCCAGTTCTTCACCTGTGAAACGATTCTTTAAAGATAGCCCTAAACGATTCAGTAATATTTTCAAGGGTCCCAATAATCACCTCAAAAGACATACTGGTTCACTTGATTATACATACGCACCAAAATATAACACGTTTGAAAAAACTCATATGTCGTCGAAGTCAGAATCAATAGGATCAGTATCTCCTAAGAGGTCAATTAAATCATTCATTGCAAACAAGTCCGTCCATAAATCTTTTCCTTCGCTGTCATCATGTCCAGGTCCATTTCCATCTAAATTCAATTCAAGAACGCACAACCACAACCCCACTTATACAAGCTCCTTTGCCTTTTCAAGCAATAGCTCTCACACATTCTGGGAGCTTGACACTGAACCTAGCTCCAACAAGTCAAGAATAAGTTCTAGCAAGTCTAGAGTAAGCTCAATACCAAGTGCAGTAATAGGACAGTATGACAGAGAGAAATGGAGTACTTTAAAGGCTCTTCAAGAGCTGGATAAAACACTATTACAGGTGAATAGTAATTATTCACCAGCCTGTCCTTTAGATTCTATGCCCTAATTTAGGTATAAACTTGTATAATAAATATTTTGCATCCTATACAGACATCGATGCTTTCTGCCTGCATCGCCAATTTTTTTATTTTTTTTAATTTTTTTCTTCTTTCCGCTCTATGATCATTACCTTAAGATAGATCCGATTTTAGTTGGTCTTTTAAGCTATAAATAAACTGAACGTTCAATAGGTTAGCATGGAAGGTGATGATCTCTTTGATGTCTTTCAGGAGGCACCAGTGGCTTTACCTACCGCTTCTAATGGAAATGATTTGAAAAAACAAGAGAATAATAACTCTAAAAAGCGGTCTGCCTCTGAACACAAGGATGAGCCTGAGGTTAAAAAGGAAAAGAAATTAGAACAGAAAGCTAAAGATGATAAGACTTCAAATGGTAAAGAAAAGCATGAAATAATGCCCGTAGTCTCTGATGCATTAGAGATAGAAGCTTCAAGAGAAGTTGCTGTATCCGACGGCTTGATGCCTGCGGCAGAAAAGCACCAGGGTCAATTAAAGTTAAGCCATCAGGTCAGACACCAAGTCGCAATTCCACCGGATTATCCATATGTACCCATTGGTACGCATAAACGTCAAAATGAAGCTCGAAGGTATCCTTTTACTTTGGATCCATTTCAAGATACAGCAATATCATGTATAGATCGAAATGAGTCTGTTTTGGTATCAGCCCATACGTCAGCTGGTAAGACAGTTGTCGCTGAGTACGCAATTGCACAGTCTTTAAGAGAAAAACAAAGGGTTATTTACACTTCGCCCATAAAGGCATTGAGTAATCAAAAGTATAGAGAGTTGGCAGCTGAGTTCAAAGACGTTGGATTAATGACGGGTGATGTAACTATAAACCCAGATGCTGGATGTATTGTAATGACCACTGAGATTTTACGAAGTATGCTTTACCGAGGTTCTGAGATAATGAGGGAAGTTGCCTGGGTTATATTTGATGAAGTACATTATATGAGGGACAAATCTAGAGGTGTTGTATGGGAAGAAACCATGATACTATTACCAGATAAAGTTCATTATGTTTTCTTATCGGCCACTATTCCTAATGCAATGGAATTTGCGGAGTGGATTGTTAAAATACATTCTCAGCCTTGCCATGTCGTGTATACTGATTTCCGTCCGACTCCTTTGCAGCACTACTTGTTTCCAGCAGGAGGTGATGGAATTCATCTAGTTGTGGATGAAAAGGGAACATTTAGGGAAGAGAACTTTCAAAAAGCAATGGCATCAATAAGTGATATAACTGGGGATGACCCTTCCTCATCTGAAAGTAGAGGAAAGAAAGGTCAGACTTTCAAAGGCGGTAATAAGGATGGGAAATCTGATATTTACAAGATTGTTAAAATGATTTACATGAAAAGATATAATCCAGTTATTGTTTTCTCATTTTCTAAAAGAGATTGTGAATCGTTGGCTCTAAAGATGTCTAAATTGGACTTTAATAATGATGACGAAAGGGAAGCTTTAACAAAAATATTTAATAATGCGATTGGTTTATTGCCTGAGTCGGATAAAGAATTGCCCCAAATAAAGAACATTTTGCCTTTATTACGAAGAGGAATTGGTATCCATCATTCTGGACTTTTGCCTATTTTGAAAGAAATAATCGAGATTTTGTTTCAAGAAGGGTTGTTGAAGGTACTATTTGCGACCGAGACTTTCTCAATTGGTTTAAACATGCCTGCTAAAACTGTTGTCTTCACCTCTGTTAGAAAATGGGATGGAAAAGGATTTAGATGGGTATCTGGTGGTGAATATATTCAGATGTCTGGCCGTGCTGGTCGTAGAGGTCTAGATGATAGAGGAATTGTAATTATGATGATTGATGAAAAAATGGAACCCCAAGTTGCAAAAGGTATGGTTAAAGGTCAGGCCGATAGGCTCGATTCTGCTTTCCATTTAGGGTACAACATGATCTTAAATTTGATGAGAGTAGAGGGTATCTCTCCTGAATTTATGTTAGAGCACTCGTTTTATCAGTTTCAAAATGCAGCATCAGTTCCTGTGATGGAAAAGGAACTAAGTGAGTTAGAATCCTCTCGTGACAAAATACAAATTGTCGATGAAGCTGATATTAAGGAATACTATGAGTTAAGAAAGCAGCTTGAATCTTATAAAGATGATGTAAGAAAAGTCATGACTCATCCTGGACATATCTTACCTTTTCTACAATCTGGTCGAGTAATAAAAGTCAAAATATGCGATATGGATTATGGCTGGGGTATGGTAACTTCTTTTTCTAAAAGAAGCAATAAAAAAGGCTCTCCTCAAACCTATTCAGCGCACGAGGGATACATTGTCAACGTATTTGTATACAGCATTTTCGTTGATTCTCCTGTAAATCTCATTAAACCATTCAATCCTCTCTTGCCTGAGGGTATCAGACCTTCAAGAAAGGGAGAAAAGTCTAGGGCAGAATATATCCCAATCACATTAGATTCAATTCATGAAATAAGCAGTGTCCGCTTAAAAGTTCCAGACGATTTAAGGAGTTCCAGCGCTAAAAAGACGTTGCTCAAAACGATGAAGGATTTGCCTAACAAACTTCCGGATGGCATTCCATTGATTGATCCTATTAAAAGTATGAAGATTGAGGATAGTGATTTCAAAGCACTCTTAAGTAAGGTTGAAGTTTTAGAATCAAAACTTGAAGCAAACCCTCTTCATGGATCTGTGAGGTTGAAAGCACTTTATGATGAATACTCTCAGAAGGTAGCAGTTGAAAATAAAATTAAGGGCTTAAAAAACAAAATACTAGACACTCAAGCTGTAATACAGTTAGACGATTTGAGACACCGTAAACGTGTTTTGAGAAGATTGGGATTTTGTACTCAAAATGATATCATTGAGCTTAAGGGAAGGGTCGCATGTGAAATAAGCACTGGCGATGAACTTTTACTAACAGAATTAATTTTCAACGGTACATTTAATGATTTGAGTAGTGAACAGAGTGCTGCATTGTTGTCGTGCTTTGTGTTCCAGGAGAGATCTAAAGAGGTCCCAAGATTGAAGCCAGAACTAGCAGAGCCCTTGAAGTCGATGCAAGATATGGCTACCAAAATCGCAAAGATTTTAAAAGAGTGCAAAATTGATATTGTTGAAAAAGAATATGTTGAGTCATTTAGGCCTGAATTAATGGAGGTCACTTACGTTTGGTGTAAAGGAGCAACATTCACTCAGATTTGTAAGATGACGGATGTGTATGAAGGTTCTTTAATAAGAATGTTCAAAAGGTTGGAAGAAATGCTAAGACAATTGGTTACTGCTGCTAAGACAATTGGCAATGTTGCGTTGCAAGAAAAGATGGAGCATGCTATGTCACTTGTACATAGAGATATCGTTTCTGCCGCCTCCTTGTACTTATAGATTATTAGTTAATAGATACTGTGTACAGTCACTAAATATGATTTTGAGGAACTCGCCATCACATAGTCATTTATGCCGCAATAAGTCACTGATATAGCCCCAAAGAACATCTTAAAAACTTTCTGAATTAAGATTGAACAAAATAATCTACATTAGGTGATAACATGGTGCCATCTAAAGGATTATCTAGTAATGAGGTAGTGTTGCTTTTTGTGAAAGCGAACGTATACCTCCACCCTACAACCTCAAAGAAGGACAACGTACCCGGTTACTTAACCTTATCAAAGGGACCTCAATCAGCTAACACAGACATATTACTCTCGTTCACTCCTGAGACTCAATTGTCCAAAAAAGATGCGAGCATCTACGAAAGGGCGAACCAGGAGGGTTGTGATCCGGATCTAAAGACCAAGTCTGGAGATCACTCGAGGGCCTCGAAACAGTTGATAGTTTCGAAGCCTCCAATTTCTGAGTTGTCTGGTTATTCATTTAGTACTCCCTTGTCTTTCATATACTCGATACAAGTGAGAATGCCTTCGTTAGGGTTCTGGTTTGGGTCTTTCGTCATATATACGAAAAACGGAGAAAAGTTGCCAATCGTGTTCTTCCATGATGACCTTCAGTCTACTAGCAAGAATCAAGACGTCAATTCTTTTCTTGAAGGGTTCGAAGATTCTGGTGGTTTGCTGTGGGGAGGTAAGCAATTCATGGATGCACTTGGCAAAGTCATAAATGTAGAGAAATCAGAATTGGAACCTTCTGTATACTTGATAAACCCTGATTCTACAGATCTTAGAAACTTTGCTCCATATAAGAAACCGGGCTCTCAGCAGAATCAATCGAAACAAGATCCGTTTAAAATGCCGGACATCAACAAATTTATTTCGACGGCAAAGTGGAAGGTTTTGGAGACCGTTGCGACTCTCACGGCAAAGGGTAAGAGCCTGGTCTTGGATATAGTAGAAGAACATGCGCCTACACCTGTTAAGCATGTTTTGAAACTTCCTGAAGTGCATAAAGTGGGAAATGATTTTGATAGTGCTAGAGTTTATTTGGCAAAATGGGCTCAACAAGTTAAACAAGAAGCTGAAATGTATCAAAACAAATATATGCTAGATGAAGGGATATATAATAGTATTAACAAGGAATTGGGTTCAAGTGAATACTTGACAGAAGAGGAAGTTAATAGCACTTCAAGAAGAAAAGAGATCAGCAAAAGTGAATGGGAATCGTTTTTTGATTATAGTGGAAGATTATGCATTACTGTACATGAAGTTAAAAATAGGATTTTTCATGGTGGGTTAGAAGATTCAATCAGAGGGGAGGCCTGGCTATTTCTCTTGAATTTGTATCCTTGGGATTCTTCTAGGGAAGAAAGAGAGGCCCTCAAAAGCAGTTATGAAACATCATACGAAGAATACAAATTAAAATGGGTTAACGATGATGATAAAAGAAATACAGAATATTGGAAAGATCAGAAGCATAGAATCGAAAAGGATATACACCGTACAGATCGACAATTACCTATTTTCAGAAGCAAGAAAAGTTCAGATTCGTCTACTTCTTCAGCTTCACCAGAGACTGGTAGAGAATCTTCTCCAGAAACTCCAGATGAGGACGCCGTGGAGGAGGAGGATAACGATGATGAATTTAATTTGGCTAACATAAGAAATCCCCACTTGTTCATAATGAGAGAGATTTTGCTTACCTACAACGAATATAATGTCAATTTAGGATATGTTCAAGGTATGACTGATTTGCTTTCTCCTATCTATGTCAAAATTCGAAGCGAGGCCCTAACATTTTGGGCGTTTTCTAAATTCATGGAGAGAATGGAAAGAAATTTTGTCAGAGATCAGTCGGGAATGAGGATACAAATGACAACTTTGAATCGCTTGCTACAGTTTATGTTACCTAATTTATATAAGCACTTGGAAAAATGTGAAGCAATTGACCTATTTTTCTTCTTTCGGATGCTCTTGGTATGGTTCAAACGAGAATTGGATTGGAATGATGTATTAAGATTATGGGAAATTTTATGGACTGACTACTATACCAGCCAGTTTCATCTCTTTTTTGCACTTGCTGTATTGAGTGACAACGAACGTATCATTGTCCAAAATTTAAAGCAATTTGATGAAGTTTTGAAATACATGAATGATCTATCAATGAAATTGCAGTTAGATCCTTTACTTATAAGAAGTGAATTACTTTTCTTAAAATTTAGCAGAATGATCGATATTATTGACAGGGATAACGGCATGAAACGTTTAGAGGGTGACCCATACGGTTCGAATGATTCTACGGAGGGCGTGGTTGAAATAGGGGATGAGCTAAGACAGTTATTGAGTAAGGACATTATAATACAGAAAGAAGTCGAAAGGAGTGATGACTTTGGGGGTGGTTAAATTCTATATTACGCCGGCGGAGATAATTTCAGTTCTAATGTAAGCGAAAGTCGCAGTTTAGTATATTTTTAGGTTAGATCTACTTTTCAAGTCTTTCTTCTTTCGAGGACAGATTAGCGTTTTTCAATCGTTTGTTTTTACATCTGCTTCCTTTTGATTATATGACTGCTTTAGGTATTCTGTTAAGTTTTTCAATAGTACATTGACATGTTTTGAATCTTTCGCTTCTCTAAGCGACTTTTCTTTTGTCATGAAACAGGCACGTGTGTAGCCGCTAGGGTATTTTGGATTGATTAATGTCGCGATGGATTTAAAAGGAAGACCCTTCCCTTCGCCACTAGATGTCACATAGAAGAGCAAGCTTGATATGAGTGAAAGAACTCCCTTAAGAAGTAGTCAAAATGATCAAGAGGCTTGTTACGAGGATTATGGAGAGGAAGAGCATCTGCATCTAAGCTTCACTTCCAAAATAAGCCTTTTTTTGGGAGGAATCTTCATAACAGTGCTGATGTTATATCTTCTACTTTTCTACCTTCCTAATAAATTCATACCAGAAGCGACCGACTTGAGAGCAATTCCATTAGTCACGAATTTGAACGTCACATTCCAAGTGCTTGATCCTGAAAGAATTGAAGAATTGGGTTTGGAAAGCAGCAAGTCAATTTCAGACAATCTTGAATTTGTTGACGACTCACAAGATTCTAATATAGCAAAGTCCAAGAAAATTGAACGGTTGATTCTTATAGGAGATGTTCATGGACACTTTAAAGAGTTCAAAAAATTATTGAAAAAGATAAAATATAATCATAAGTTAGATCATATCCTATTATTAGGAGATTTCATATCGAAAGGTCCTGACTCGATCAAAATGTTAGATTACATGGCTGAGCATCAACTAGATTGTATTTTGGGGAATCATGAATACTATGTACTTCAGAATTATGCTATCTTCCATCATGTGAATGATCCGTTTTTCACTAATAACAGATCTGAATCCCTTTATACAGAAGGCTATAACGATGATCCCGAGTACCAGCTAGCCAAAAGGTTACAGCCTGAACATGTAAACTATATCAATAATTGCTCTGTAATCAAGAGACTTGGAAAAGTGCCACTTCATAAGAAAACTAATATGGGGGGGTTTAACTCTGCACAAGGAGTTGCTGTTCACGCGGGACTAAGATGGGATCTTGGATTGGAAGATCAGATTCCTATTGAGAACTTAGAAATGAGATCTCTAGTGGGTCCTTTTTTTAACCAATCAACGGATGATCCACATGAGCCGAACGCTGTTTCATGGTCTAAGATATATAATGGGAAACAGAAATTAAAGAAGAAAGGCTCAGGTAGAGTTGTTTACTATGGGCACGATGCTAGAAGAGGTCTCAGCTTAAAAAAGTACACCAAAGGCATAGATACTGGATGTGATCGTGGTGAAAGACTTACTGCATTAGTTATATGGCAGGAAGCGGCAATTGATAAAAAGGGAAGAAAACGAGTTTTGTACAAGGAAGAACCAATCAGTGTTAGTTGCTAATATTTAATAGACAAGGTAGATATAATATGTAATGAGTTTGCTTAACGGTGTATCGGATAGAATTTTATAATATGTCATGTTCTAATAAAGAAATAAAAAAAAAAATAAAAAGAAAACTCCGATACCGGGAATCGAACCCGGATCTGCTCGGTGAGAGCGAACCGTGCTAGCCATTACACTATATCGGATGATTTTCATTACATCCCAAACTAGGGTTTCCTATTTAGTGATCTATAGAATGAAAGATTTCACGAATATTTAATAAATACTATGAGTTATTCAATATTAAGTGTAGACGTATAAATGTATATATGATTAATTTTGTGTTGTTTATATGCATATACGTTTATGTGTATATAACTTTAATGCTAAGAATATCCATTGATGAGAATGTGAAAACGAAATCGGGTCTCCATGTCTTCTTCCACAGATAACCCTTTAAATTAAATAATTTTACCATAAGAACCGTTATTGATCTCCTCTTTAACTTGACTGATTATTTTTCGTCTGTCATCATCGAGAATGCTGATTTCTTTTTCCGTCAACGAATTTACTTCTTTCAATAGTTTTACATGATCAGGAGTCAAGTTATGCAATACAGGTTGTTGCTTGTTCAAGGTTAGTTCTATAGTATCACGATTCGCCAAATTTAAAAGTAAGGTTGTTTCCACCAATGCATGAGATAACTGAGGGTATCTATCTAGTAACATTTTCATCAAGCCGGGGTTTTCAGTACTCATCGTTTTTGCCTCCTTGATAAGTTTCAGCGCCGACTCTGAATCCAAATTAGCCAAGATATTCGATATCACCTGAGGTGCTGACTGGTTAGGATATATTTGTACTCCTAATGGTAAAGGTGGTAACTTTTCACTACTAGAATTCGAAGACGGCCCATCATTAGGAAACCCTGCATTACTATCATTCGAAAAAGAGCATTTCAAGTTTCTATTCCCAATAGGCATGTTATTCAAGTTCCTCACTGCTGATTCTGCAGTTTCATGGTCTCCGTATTTGACAAACGAATAACCTTTGGACTTTCCTGTCATCGGGTCGAACAATAACTTCAAATCCATCACTGGCCCTACGGATTTGGCTATTTCAAGAACTTGCTCTTCCGTGTAGTCAAATGGAATGTTACCAATATATATGCTTTTGCTCTCCCCATCCATTGTATCACTTCACTTTGCTGTATTTATACGAAAATAATAGATTTTTCAGAAAATTTAGATATTGTGTTACAAAAGTATTAGTCGAACCAAAAATCAAACTTTATCAACACCAAGCATCTGAAAAAAGATAAAGGCAGCAACTTCGAGATCAAAATGGATACAAAGGAAATAAAGTCCATAGTATCAAATTTGGAAAAGACCACTGACGATGCCACGATTTTAAAGATGTTGAATGAGTTAAACGACGGAGTAAAGCCTACGGAGAAGTTGTTGAGAGAAACGAAGGTTGGTGTGGCCGTCAACAAGTTTAGAACAAATAATAATAGTGAAATCAATGGTTTAGTTAAGAAAATGATAAGAAACTGGAGAGATGTGGTTCAGAGTGAAAAGAATAGCAAAAAGAAGAACGCCGGCACGCCATCCCATTCCATTGAAGAAAAGAAGTCGATTCCAAATTCCACTGATAGTAAATTCCACAAAGGTCCCAGAAATCCCAAAATAGATGGCATCAATACCACTTTATATGAAAATCCCACTAGAAATGCATCTGTGAGTGCTTTATACACTGCATTGGCAATAGAGAGAGACGATCCTGGAAGTCACATATTATCCGTAGCTAGCGAGATAGAAACTGAAGTTTACAAAAGTGAATATATGGCCATTAATGATAACTATAGGAACAGATTAAGGACATTCACGATGAATCTCAGAAATAAGAAAAATCCGGAATTGAGGCATAGGCTCTTAAGTGGTCAGATTTTACCGTCTAAGTTTATTAATATGGCTCCCAACGAAATGGCTCCTGAAACTTTGAAGAAAGAAATTGAAAAGTTAAACAAACAAAATTTATTTGATGCTCAAGGAGCCACAGAAAAGAGGGCTGTGACTGATAGATTCACTTGCGGCAAATGCAAACATAAGAAGGTTAGTTATTATCAAATGCAAACCAGGTCTGCTGACGAACCGCTCACGACATTTTGTACATGCGAGAATTGTGGGAACAGATGGAAGTTTTCTTAGACAACTTACCATGGAGATGGAAATATATCGAAATAAAGTTATTTATTAATAGTCCTAATTTATAAATACTATGCTGTATTATACTTTATTAATTACCTCTATCGACCTAATAAGCCAAATTTTTTGTCAAGTATGATATTAAATCTACCTTTGTTACTATCTGAATTGGTTTATAATCCTCATCAGTGATGATAGCATTAGAGTTAGTTTCAAAAAATTTGTTTAATAAACTCAAAGGAGTATCCAAAGTTATGCTTTGGTAAGATCTCTTAGTGAAGCCGGATTTTTTGGAAATATCGAACGATTTTTCAAAGTCCGCAAGCTTACGGAAATCAATTATGATAGAACTTATTGAGTTGCTCATTTGAACTTTCTTCGTGGATAAAGACTTCAAGATTTTGGATAGAGTAATTAATCCAACTAGTTTGCCTGCATTATTCAAAACAGGAAGCTGATCATATCCGTTAGACTGCAAGAGGTCGAAAGTCTTCTCAACAGTATCTGATAAAGAAACTGTGACAACCGGTGCTTTCTTAGACACCAAATCCCTGATGGTCTTCTTATCCAAGAAAGTATCGATCTTGTTGTCAACCTTGGAGTCGTCAATTTGAAATCCATTGGTTGTCATCCATTCATCATCAGCAAACTTAGATAAGTACGATCTAATCGAATCTGGGAATACAACAACAACAACATCATCTTCTGACAAGTCCTTAGCAACATCTAAAGCAGCCTGAAGAGCAGATCCGGAGGATCCTCCTACGAGGATTCCTTCTTCTTTTATAATCCTTCTGGCCAACTTAAAAGAATCGGCATCATCAGTTTTAATCCAGTCATCTACAAGCTTTCGGTTCAACACTTCAGGAATGAAATCGTAGCCAATCCCTTCCACTAAATAACCTTCGGTTGAATCGTTTAAAGACTCCGGTTGTGCTAAGATAGAACCTTTTGGATCAGCCCCGGTAATTTTGATCTGTGGATTCTTTTCCTTCAAGTATTTAGAAATACCAGATACAGTACCACCGGTACCAGCACCTGCAACAACATGCGTTACCTTACCCTTGGTCTGTTCCCAGATTTCAAAACCCGTTCCGTAGTAATGGGCTCTAGGGTTAGCTTCATTAGAATACTGATCTAAAATTACAGAGTTTGGGATTTCTTTCTGAAGCTTTTTAGCAACCCCAATATGTGATTCAGGTGCATCCCAAGCTGCTTCAGTTGGTGTTCTAATAATTTCAGCACCCAAAGCCTTTAAAACAGAAACCTTTTCATTAGACATCTTCTCGGGTAAAGTAATAATGGTACGGTAACCTCTAATAGCTCCCACTAATGCTAAACCAATACCAGTGTTTCCTGATGTAGGCTCGATCAAAGTGTAGCCAGGTTTAATACGCCCGGTCTTTTCCGCCTCTAGGACCATATTTTTAGCAATTCTATCCTTGATAGACCCTCCAGCGTTGAAAAGCTCTACCTTAGCATAAACCTTTGCCTTGATACCAAAAGACTGCGGAATCCTATTGAGCTTTATCAATGGAGTATTTCCAATCAAATCCAAGGCACTATCTGACAAGTCGGGGACATTCGTGGACATCTTAATTGTACCTTATTAAACGTATAATAAATTGTATGGTTTCCACTAAAAGGGCGAGTCGAAATATTCTTTTTTATTGATCATCTCGCAATGGTGTGGCTCAACGCCCTAAAAGGTTTGTACCAACACGCAATATATTATAAATGCAATTAAGTCTATAAAGTCGTACCTATAAAATCTCTATTTATAGTGTAGCATATTAATGGAGAACTAAACAGTTATTATCTTACATTTGAAGATATCAGAATCAACTCCTGGCATTCCTTTGGTGAAATCAAATACAGAAAATAGCCCTTTTCGATCGACTGCGAAAACCTTACCACCATCTGACGAGAATTTAATGGATGCACTCTCGTGAAATTTCTCAGCACCAGCGACCTCGCCGAGTAGTACGACAATCCTTTTGGATGAGGTTGAGTTGGATTGCAAATTAGGTGTGGAAACCAAGTAAAGAGAACCGTCTTTGCTTAGAAATACAATTCCATCGCCTCGAGGTGAAACACATAACTTATGTATCAATGAGCCAACTTCAGGAATTTTCATGAGAATATCTGATGACTGTATATTCGTAAACCCCTCTTCTTCTTTACTGTTAGTGCTGTTTTGTATGCTGAGCGCATCTGATAGCGATGAGCGCCTTCTCTTAGAGTTTAGGAATGCTCCATATAGTTTAATTATCACTGGTGGTTTGTTTTTCAAAGAGCAGGAAGCCAAAACGATCGTGTTGGAATATCCAAAGTGTATATCTGTCACACCTTCATTAATCATCAGTTGATCATCATCATCGCTAGTATCATCGATATCATCGGAATCATTTTCAGACTTATGTCTTCTTGTATTCTTGAAATAATCAGCATCAGTCCATATTAATCTAGGCTTTCTATAATTGTCCGAGTAGTCTTTTAATCTGATTATCGAATACCGTGACTCCCAACTAGTACAGGAAAGCAAGTGAGTTGAGCTTGAGTTAAAATCAATTAATTTTATCGGGTCTCTATTGGGCATTGTAATTGTGAAGCGCTCAACGCTAGTGATTTTCTTTTCGAAATTCGAGCACAATTTTTGTAAGATGATAAAGGGTTGTTCTTTACCAGAAAGTCGCTCTTTTGCTGTCACTCCGCATGCTACTAAGGTTTCATTCGGAGCTATAGCTATGCATCTTATAGGAAAGTTTGTGGAATAAGTATAAAGCGGTCTTCCCAAAGAATACTTTGAAGAGAAACCTACATAAAAAACTCTCAATATTCCTTTAGTTCCGGCTATAGCCAAGTAATTGCTGGAGAGCTTACAATAGAGAAATCCCCATTGTTGCAATTTCTTTTTAACGTCCTCGTTAGATGTGCTATTACTTAAACTTTGATTAAAATCATTCTTGATTATAATTTCGTCGGAGGGATTTTCTCCTGTCATACTATTAGTGGTTGTTCCGTATTCGCCTGTCAGCTTTCCGCAACACAACAATACTGGCCGGCTATTTGAATTCAGGGAATCATCCAACGAGCTTTGGTATTGATATAATTCCCATCTCTTTTCACTTATTAACACAAACCTTGTTATCTCCGTGTCAGTATCGAAATCAGTGTAGGTGTGGATGTGACTGCCTATGTATCTTGAACTCTTTTTCAATACTGAGTTCAGCTTGAAAGGGATTGCTATGGAAGAAAAGCTGGACTTGAAAGCCAGTGTAGGATAGCTAGAATACTTTCTGTAAAAAGGAAAGCATTTACTGAAGTTATACTCCTTTTTCTCATTCAAATTTTTCAATATTCTTTTTTCAACAGTGGTTTCGTAGTCTTCTTTCTGAGCTTCTCCATCAAGATTTTGCATGTAGTATTGTTCTGGGGAGAATGATATGGCCTCCAGTGGAGAATCTTGTTCATTTCTTGTCCCAATGTCAATCGGTTGTATCGATGACAGATCCATTATTGCTTTCTTTGAATCATTGTTTACGTTGGACTCCTCTTTTGCCAATTTATAAAATAAACTGATTAGATCCTGAGATTCAGGTTTCTCTCCCCCAATAGTAAAGCTTTTCTTAGATGAAGATCTCCTACGTCTCCCCAGTGTCGTGCTCATTTGAGTATTAAGCTGCTGGACTATTTGATAGAGTTCTCTCAATGGCTTGATTTCTCTTAAAAGGTGTACATCTTGGTGTCCCTGTGGACAGGTATGGCTCGACGATGATATGAAAGCAGACTCCGAAACTAAACAACCACAGCTCAACACAGAAGCGTCTGCTACAATCGCATCATCGTAACGATTATTTTGAAATCGAAGCAAAGCCTCCAATGATGAAACTTTAAGTTTCTCCATATTGTTCTACAATAAATAAATCGCTAATCTTATCGTCCCTAATATTTCAATTTTTAGCATTTTTTTTCCCTGAGCCTACATACTGCGACCTAAGCTTTCACTAAATTCTATTAAAGTAGAAGTCCTAATTAAGAATTATTTGAAGTTAGTAGGGTTCAGGTATGTAAACTCAGCAAGTTCAGGTGTTGGATAATGACTTCATCCTCGCTTCTGCTGCTCTCGCTCTTTGTTCTCTCATGAAACGCTGCTTTTGCTGTTCTGAGAGCCCATTTAAATCCATCCTTTGATTAACTGAGGGTCCTCCACTACGTCCCGAAGAAGAAAAGGTGGGCTTTTTCAATTCAAGTTCGGTTTTCCTATTGAGTTCTTCCTCAATGGATTTTTTTTTCTCTGCTTTAATTCTCTCTTGTTCTAAATAATCTTCCTTTTCAAAATCTTCTTTAGACTTTGGCGGACCAACATTTGCACGCAGCCAGTCTACAGAATCTTCACCAAGTTTATTGCGTGCAATCTGAAATACTCGTTTCGATGCAATGCTTCCAGAGCAATCATAGGGGGTCTTCCCAAAGTCGTTTTGTATAGTCGGATCAGCTTTTAAATTAATGAGCAAAATTTGAGTCATATGGTTCAAATTATTATGACTGGAATAATGCAATAAGGTAGGCGTTGATGCATACTTAGAATCAGGCTTCAATGTAAAATTTGGTGACAAATTGTGCTTCTTCAAGTAGCTTATCATCAATGGGGCTTTTTGCTTCTTTATTAAGTTTATCAACTCAACTGACTGCTTTTCATCTTCAGTCAATTGGGATTCAGGTGCCTTTTTAACTAAGGGAGCTTTGTCCTCCTTTGGCTCTTTTCTCTTCTCCCTAACCTTTGGTAGATCGACAGCCTCTAAATACGTCAACTGAGACCATGCTTTCTTTAACTCTGCGGTTGTCGGCCTCTTTGTAGTAAACGGAAAGCTTCTGATCCTGGGGTCATTGGCCTTTAATATTGCTCCTTCATAACCCAATAATGTCTTTCTATTAGAAACGCCATTGGCTCTGATGAATATGTAGGTACATCCTTCGAGCTCCTTTCTCCAAGAAGCCAACAAATCTCTAACGTCTTTTATCAACATTTGCTCATTATATCTTCTCATACTTGAACCAGCGGAATTAGCCTTACCTCTGGCATTATCACTAGCACTTTGCGCACCACCTTGCTTTCTTCTAGTAGTATATCGGTGAAATGTCTTAGAAGAAATTACTTCCACAGCTTGGTCTCTTTTGGACTCCTTATGATTGACATTACCTTTGATAGATTTACGCTTATGAGAAACTATTGCACCAGCAAAATGGCCACCACCTATCATAAACATTGCCGATTTTTGATTACATACCGGTTCTCTTGACCATGATTGAAGGACATTCACAGGAGAATTCTGTATTTCCAGCGCAGAGAACAAAGCTTTGTATACACCGAAAGCCTTTCCTTCTTCTAAAAATGGTGACTTGAAGAGAATGTATGGAGATCTGGTATTTAAGTAGCTGATTGACCTCTCAGATTCTAATGGTGTCGCGTTTAAAGTAACCTTTTCGAAAACTGTCTCTAACTTTGCTTTGCTTTTATCTTCGTTACCATATTCGTCACTATCAGATTCACTGTCACTGGCGGATAAACTTTCAATAGATTGACCTTCGACTAATGCGTCAAATTCAGATTCAGATATTGGCTTCTGGTGTTCTATTGACCTCTTTAAATTAAATCTATGAAAATCTGTCTTATAATGATACCTTCTATCTTCCTCATCTAGCTTGATATTACAAGCCGAACATTCATTTTCGTTTTCGCTCTTCTGCTTGGCATCTCGCTCGTCGCTTTTTAATGAGACAGGAGCTTTTACTTCCTCCAATGTATCCAAATCAAAGTAAAGTAATTCTAAGGTGCTTTTAACTTCCTCCGAGAGATCGAAAATATATAGATCATTACTCTCTTTGCTCTTAGAAGCCATTTCAATAATCTGGGGCCAAAAAAAGATTAGATTGATGCCTATTTTCTGTTAGATCGATTTTTACTTTTTTAAATATATCAGACATATTGAGTCACAATTACTTACAAGAGACAAAAAAAAAAAAAAATTTATTTATGACATAACAGAACCTCATTGAGATCCGAATCTATGACATTCTTTCAAGAAATGTCCAACTTTTTCTGGTTTCATAAATGGATGAGTTCCATGCCCGAAATTAACAATATAGTTTTGATGGCCACCTCCGAAACCTTTTATCATTTTTTCTACTTTCTCAGAAATCACATCATCTGATCCGTACATTACACCTGGATCAAGGTTACCTTGCAAAGTGATACGTCTTCCATTTACGACTTTAACAGCATCTTCGGGCTTATATAGCCAGTCTAACGAGACCACATCGTATCCCAGTTCACAGAGCTCATCTAAGGCATACCATGCACCTTTGGCAAAAACCGTTATAGGTATTTTATGTTTAATTCCCAATTCTGCAAGCCTTTTAGGTAAATGTGCTGCAATCTTCTTTAAGTATGGAAGCGAAAACTTATCAAAGTCATCTGGACCTAACTCACCTGCCCAAGATTCAAATACCTGCAACATTTGAGCACCAGCAACTACCTGCTGGGCCAAGAATTCGATACAGGCGTCAGTAAGAGCCGAAAGAAGCTGATGTGCCAGATCAGAATATTCAAAGATCCATTGTTTTGCGAATCTAAACATCTTTGAACCTTGTCCTTCGGTCATATAGACCAATAAAGTCCATGGAGCTCCCACAAATCCTAAAAGTGGAACTCTTCCTTCTAATTTTCTTCTTGTCAAGTTGATAGCCTTAAATGCCCATGCCAATTCCTTAGATATATCAGGCTTTAAGTTAATTTTCTTCAAATCCTCTGGGGACCGCAAGGGATCCTCGAAGACGGGCCCTTTCCCTTCTACCATGTTAATTTCGCATCCCATGGCTTGTGGAATAACTAAAATATCACTGAAGATGATTGCTGCATCAATAAGACCATTGAAGTGTTCAATAGGCTGTATAGTGATTTCTGAAGCAATTTCTGCATCTCTGCATGTCTCAAAGAAATTGCGGTTTCCTTTGGCTTCATGATACTCGGGAAGGTATCTACCTGCTTGTCTCTATATTATCGTTAGTGAGAGGTTCGCATAAAGCTGTCTTGTAAACAAAACTTACCATGATCCACACAGGTGGACGTTCAACCTTCTCACCCAAAGCTGCTCTCAAAATCAAGTCATTCTTCAAAGGAGGGAATTCAGTCATCTTTGAGCTTTTTAAAGGGTAGACCGTATTTAGAGAATTATTGCTATATGTTATCGATGCTGTATTCTCAATGAACAAAGAAATGAAAATTGTCATTTGACTCATCACGTGAATATAAGGTTAAACGTTTTCTAGAGTAATAAAGTAAAGCATAACCATTAATATAATATAGACTTTTCCGCAAGAAGACTAATAAATACTACAGTTGTGTTAGATGGCTGGAAGCAATAGCCCACCTAGAAGTGTGGAAGTTAGCGATAACGCTGGCAGTTCCAGTTCGGTTTCCAAAGCCAACAAAGTTCTTAACACTAAAGGTGACGAGAGGGCCAGTGTTATTGTAAAATTCATGAGAAGTATCTTCGGATACAGAAAAACTTCATTGACGTTTTTTGTGTTCCTAGCATTGTTCTTTACAGTGATTCTTACATTTTTGAACAATAGTCTTGAATATTCTATTCTGCTCCCAGCAGACAAGTTTGAATCTGAGATATTAGAGACTTCTTGGTCAGACTTACAGCACATAGCGTTATCGGAGCATTCATATGGATCACACGGTAATGATTTTGTTCACCACTTTCTACAGGATAAAATTGTAAGCCTAATCGAAGATAAGAGTTATATTGAATACGATAATGATTTGAATTATACAAACAACATTTTGGTGAAACCGTTCGATTCTAAAAGCGTCTGGTATTATGAAAGCAATAATTTACTTGTCAGGATAAATGGGTCAAATATGGATTTACCGGCAATTCTAGTGAGTGCCCATTTTGATTCTGTACCTTCGAGTTATGGAGTAACTGATGATGGAATGGGAATTGCATCCTTGTTAGGATTGTTAATGTATTATTCGTCTAAATCCACCTCACAACCTACTCGTTCTATTATTTTAAATTTCAATAATAATGAGGAATTTGGTTTGTATGGAGCAAGATCGTTTTTAAGCCATCCTTGGTTTGAAAATATAAAATACTTCCTTAACCTAGAAGGAGCGGGCTGTGGTGGTATGGCCACTTTATTTAGAGGGACTGACTATGGCATCTTGAAATACTTCAAGAATGTGAGATATCCTTATGGTAACTCTATTTATCAGCAGGGTTTCAATAATAAATTGATTCATAGTGAAACCGACTATTTTGTTTACAAAGATGTTGGAGGAATAAGAGGAATTGATCTTGCATTCACTAAGCCAAGGGATCTTTACCACACTCCTGAAGATAATATCAAAAATATAGATAAGAAGTCCTTATGGCACATGCTTTCAAACACATTAGACTTCGTCGGACATATTGCCTCGAGACAGATCGATCTTGATGTTGAAAACAAAGGTTCAGAGGCGAAAGCAAGCCGTGACTTTGCTTTTTTCACGAGTGCATTCAACAAATTTTTTGTTTTTCCTATTTCAACACTTATAGTATTCAACATTGTTTCATTGGTAGTGATTCCAATATTTTGCTTACCCTTATTTGTTATTATTTTTAATTTCAAAAGAAACTGGAACATTAGTTTTATCAATTTTATCAAATATCCGGCGTCATTGTGTGTTTCTATTTTCGTTGTGAACGTCATTGTCAATGATTACATCGTGAAAGTAAATGAATTTCTACCCAATTCATCTTGTGGGCTAATTGTGAGTACTTTGGTATCAACTTTTTTGCTTTTTAATTATTTCACGTTAAATGCCATTAATCTTCTCTTCAGGAAGTTTAAAGTTAAAGTTCATGACGAAAAGTTGATCTCAATTTTACAAAATGGTTTTTTCTACTGGATTTTCTTGATTTATTCCACCATTAAACTCTCTGAAAATAAAATAGGTGATGACCATACCGGTGAATATCCTTTGGTATCATTGTTTTTATTACAGTCTGTGGCGTCAATCATAGGATTACTCGGTTGGGTTTTTAAGTCAGCGCGCAAATATCCACATATTTCAGAGGATATGCAGCCATTGCTTGCAAGAGATGATCACTCTGACTACGGGTCAAATCAAGCTACACATGATGCCGGGCTCTCTTCTCTGTGCTCTTCTTTTTCGGTTATAAACCCAGATGAATTGCACATACGTAAGTGTGAGACATCGTTTAGTTATGACTGGTCTCTCCAGTTTTTATCAATTGTTCCATTGTCATCACTAATAATTTATAACTCAGGATGGTTGGTGTTTGAAGGATTGAATAAGGGGGTACAGGAATCGTATTATGACGAGCTGTATGTATTTCAATTCCTTATGGCGTTCTCGATAACTTGGGTCATTCCGGTGTTACCGTTTGTATTCAAGCTCAATAGAATTATTGTTTTGATATTAATTTTGATAACTTTGCAGGGCTTAGTCGGCATTTACGTCCGTGAACCTTTTGACCAGCAGAACCCCTTGAAGTTACGATTTCTTCAAACAGTTGATTTATCAGTATCTCCCAATGTGAGCTATGTGAATGTTCAAGGAAGAAATACAGCTCCAATTTCTCAAATTCTAAGTGATGTGCCATCTTTCAAGGATTCAAAGGAGCCTTTGAATTGCCATACTTTATCAAAAGGATTAGCAAGTGGTTTGCAGGTATGTACATACAAAAGTATGCTACAGCCTCATTTAGTGTCAGGTGCTCATGGCTTCGAAGACTACATAGAGGTAGATGTTCTTCAAAACTCAACAACCAACTTTGGTAATCCTTTTGGTTTAATCACTGGTGAATTGAAAATTACAGTTCCAAATAATAGAGTTTGTAACTTGAATTTCAATCTTTCTGAAGATACCACTGAGATAATGACCAAGGAAATGCTGCAAATTAGCCCAGTAAGAATAGTGACAGTATATGCCAATGGAAAAAATCATGTAAATTCTTCATTTATCAGTGCAAAAAATGATTACAGCGCACTTGCTGTCCCTGAGGGATCCTCGAGAGATAAACAAGGCAATTATATCTTCAAGGATCTGGATGGCATTGAAGAATTAAGATTGAATAAATTGGATTGGAACTCCGTTTACCATGTAGGTTTACAGTGGGTTCCTAGTGTTGTTGAAGAACTGGACTCTCAGACAGAAGCGATAGAACTTAATAAGTTAGGAGTTAAGATTGATTGTCTATGGACTGATACTGCAGGTTCTCCCGATGAAAAAATTGGACAAAGCGTTCCAGCTTGGACTGAACTTTTGCACTATACGCCCAATTACGTAAACTGGGCCAACTTGGATAGTGGTTTAGTTTCTGTCTCAACTTACGTAGAATTATAATAGTAACTTAATGAAAATCTTGAATCCGTTAAAAATCTAAAAAAAAAAATAATAATGCGATTTCTGTGGATCGAACACAGGACCTTCAGATTAACTGTGACTGGAGTTGAACTTCAGTCTGACGCTCTCCCAACTGAGCTAAAACCGCAATATAAACCCACGGCGGGAGTCGAACCCGCAATCTTTTGATTAGAAGTCAAACGCGTTAACCATTACGCTACGCAGGCCTAATAATTAAAAGCTTAAATTTTGAAAAAATCTATATCATGGACTATAAAGTGTTTCTAATTGAACTTACAACGGTTCATGCTTTAGAAGTAGGGTTATCTGAGTAATGTCATCCATATTAGAGTGGTTTTTCTCACTATCGTTCTCTCTAGTGGGTAGCTAACTTTTACTCTGCTTTCAGAGCTTTAATATGTTGCACACAAAATATTCTTCCTTTTGTGTCTGTATATTCTATTGTGCAACAATTTTAAGATTTTTGCACCCTAATGCAAAAACAAAAATCATCAATTAAAACATTATCAGTGAACCTTATTAGAAAACAATAAGTAACTATGCAATTATTGGATTGTGGTATAGTCTTTCTTTCTTTATTTTTTTTCAGAACAATAAATGCATATGTGCATCCTATCGAAGTCCAAGGACGCTATTTTATTGATACAGTCACAAAGGAACCAGTATGTTGGAGTAAACACCGTTGAGCAATTGATCTTCTACTAACAAAAGCAACAGTTTTATATAAAGGGTGTTGATTATCAACCAGGTGGGTCCTCTGGGATTACTGATGACGGCGATCCTTTATCGAATCCCGAAACTTGCGCTAGGGATATCGTTCTATTTCAAGAATTAGGTATTAATGTACGAGATACCTCAAACGTTGCATTCGCTCAAACAGAGTTTACTAACTTTTTCATAGACTATAAGAATCTACTCTATAAATGCAGATCTCAATCATGACATCTGCATGTCAATGTTGGCAGCGGCGGGAATTTACCTAGTTTTAGATGTTAATTCGCCGCTTCCCAACCATCATTTAAACAGATATGAACCATGGACCACCTATAACACTGGCTATTTAAAGAATGTATTCAAAACAGTTGAACAGTTTTCTTATTACAATAACACCTTGGGATTTTTCGCCGGTAATGAAATTGTCAACGATAAGAGCTCAGCTAAGGTATGCATTTTTAATTTTTTAAATTATACAACTCTTTTTATGTTTCTTTACTTGAAATATTCAAGAAAATACTAACTTCGACAGCATTCTCCTGTTTACATCAAGGCAATGATTAGAGACATCAAAACATATATTGAATTCAATTCTCCTCGTATTATTCCAGTCGGTTATTCGGCCGCCGACGACTTGAATTACAGAACCTCCCTATCAAGCTACCTTGGATGTGTTGATGACAATCCTGAAGAGTCTGCGGATTTTTATGGCGTCAATTCATATCAATGGTGTGGTAGGCAGACGTTCCATACGAGTGGATATGATACCTTGGTGGAAGACTACAGCAACTATACTAGGCCCGTCTTCTTCTCAGAGTAAGTACTTTTATTAAAAGATTAATTCGAGGCAACAATTAACTAACTACATTCAAGATACGGCTGCAATGAAGTTCTTCCTCGGCTCTTTGACGAGGTTCAGGCGCTTTATTCTTCAGAAATGATCGGCGTATTCAGTGGCGGATTAGTCTATGAGTTCACTCAGGAGCCAAACAACTACGGATTGGTCAAAGTCCAATCGAATGGTAATATCACCTTATTGCCAGATTTTTTGGCACTTAAAGAACAGTTTGAGGCTCTAGAGGAATTTGAGTCTGAGGTAGAACAAAGAAAGTCACCATTCGAAACTAAGGCAAAGAATGACCAGTCCAGATTGAAATTTCAAAAATTCGGATTGCCTCAATGTGAAAAGTCATACCAAAATTTAGATACATCGAAAGGACTTCCCAAAAGCTTAGCTAAGGGTCTTATTAATAAAGGAATCCTGGTAGAAAGAGGAAAATATGTTGATCTTTCTGAGGAGCAGCTTGAAACCAAATTCCATGTGTTCAGCCCCAAAGGAGATCCTTACGATATAAACCTGTCAATTGAAATAGTCGTCGACATAATGTCAGGAACCGAAATGAAAAGAACTCGTAAACCAAGAGTTCCTCACAAATGTAAGTATATCAACATTTTCAAGTTAATATTTGTTCCGCAATTTATCCTGATAGATCTGAAAACAAGCAAAATCAGCTTATCGGGTATTTTTGAAATATATTTACAAGATACTAACTTCAATCTTAGCATTAGGTAATCATTTGAGTGCAAACTTAGTGAATCTTCTCTATTTGTTAATTTGTGGAACCGCAGCGATAATTATATAGTTCCATTTATACTGTTTGTAAGTTTACGTCGCTTTCGAGTTAACATACACTTCACGCCCTTTGCTAGTTATAATTTTAGTTGATTTTTGTTTAGTTGAACTAAAAAGTGGCTTCAATAAAGCAGCCCAAACTTCGGGGTTCAATTCATGACTTTTGAAATCTCTATCATTTTCAGTGAAACCACATTTAATACACGTTTTTAATTTGTTTGTTTTATCCTTCAAAATGATGGTGAGGTGCTCAACATTCCCCAAATATTCTAGGAGCTCCTCAAACGAATCTATTGAAGAAGAGCTACTAGCATTATCGTCATTCAATTTAATATTATGGATGTGTCCATAGGTATCAAATAGGTCAAAATTTTTAAGCTTTAAATCTTTCAAAGTAGAGAAGGAACCTTTACCCGAACAAATTAGTTGAAAAAACAGGTTATATTTTCGGAAATTGAAGATTCTTTCATTTTCAACTGTCTTGTAAAATATAGAGGATCCAATATCAATCGAAAGCTCCGATAATCGGTTATTTGATTTGATTAAATCAAGGATAGTCAAATCATTCCCCGATAATGCATGACGCAACTCAAGGGACAGAACTTCAGAAAATATGTCTGGTACCTTCCTTTGTTTCCTATTTGAATTGGTATAAAGACATGACTGCAAAGTTAATTTTTTGACAATTAATTTCTTCGGTAGTTGACCAGTCAATAGCTTTTCGTCATCCAATACAAAATTATGCAACACTAACTCATTAATAATATCGAACACAGACAGCATCAACGAAATATGCGACAATTTGAAAGGAATGGACCAGCCTGATTGTGCTTTAAGAACTAACTTATCTAATACTCTACTAGGTTGTCTCTTCTTCCAAACATAATTCAGTGTAAGGCTTTCCTGCGAAAACTCTATAGGAAATGAAAAAAATGGTGAAATTTCATCTATCGACACTGTCTTCAAACCAAAAGCCTCTTTGAGTAATGATGCAAATGAATCCATGTAATGGTTATAAGTGTTTATTGAATTTCGACAGTCAACTTCAATTTGATATCCTCCTATCTGTGTAGTATGATCAATGGACTTATAAGAGGGAGGACTCAGAAACTTAACGTTTTGTATGAAATTCACTTTCGAGCTCGTTTCGTTCCATCGTGATCTCTTCACAAAGGAGCTGCTTGATGACGGTAAATGATTGATAGAAAACTTGTAAAATACCTTTGATGATTGAAAACAGACAGTTTTATACAAAAAATTCTTATTAATTATGTTATTAAACTTATTGCATACCAATGATAAACTTAAAAGGGCTCTTTTGTCGTCTTTACAATAATCGAAAATTTCAATCAAGAGCTCGATTGGCAAAGAGTAAAGATGATATTGTGAATATTTTTCAGATATATCCTTTTTCTTAATAAGAACCTTTTTGCGCCCTATGAGCTGATACTTTTTCATACTAAGCTTAGAGCTTGTTGAAATAAAAGTGATGAGATACGAAATTCAGATAGATACCTTTATCAGGCGTTGCATGGAAGTGACACAAAATAATATTAGTTCTAGATGCCCTCCTATACTTAGATTGCAACTTAGCATCAAAGTTTTAAAAGTGAACCATACCAAAATTCAAAATATTTGATTCTTCACTCTTACATTGATATCACAGTCTTGAAAGCGTAAGCCCAAATCCCTAAATATAGAATAATCCTAAGCATAGAGAGGCAAGCACCGGAATTGAATGATTACTTATCAGAGATCTACTAAGCTGCCACAATTAAAACTGAACAATAAAAATAAGTGAGTATAAAGTGAAAATGACAAAGAAAGAGAGCTTTATTTGTTGCTGATGTGTCATGGAACAGAACTACGAATGAACGATGAATCAATCACTCATACCTAGGGCCCCGTTAATATACAGGATCACCAGATAGCTGATTTTCGCATTGAAATTCTTGAAGTCTATATCATGAAATATAATACACCTTTTTGCCATATATTATAAGAACTAAATCATGGCAGAAGAACAAAGAAATCTACTTGAACAGCTTATGGGAAAGGATGCATTAATACATCCAGTAAGAAGGCGAAAAGAGCCAGAGATGACTAGCCATCGAGTATGTAAAAGCTTTTTGGTTGGGACATGTCCTCACGACTTGTTCATAGGTACTAAGCAAGATCTTGGAAAATGCCCTCAACTTCACCTTGAGAAACTTAAAATTGAATATGAGTTTCGGACAAGGAAGAAACACGAGAGTTTTCCTGATTTCGAATATGAGTATTACACTCATTTGAGAAAGTATATCAATGATGTTGATAGAAATATAGCAGTCGCTTATAAACGGTTGGAACATACTCCTGAAGAAAAGGAGAAAATCGCAAAAATAACAAAAGAACTTGATGACTTGGATACTAAAATTGGGTTGATGACCCAAGAAATAGAGTGTCTTGTGAAGGAAGGAGAAAGTTTAAAAGCTATATTCGAATCGGTAAAATTGAACGAATTATGCAAGGGAAGAGAGACATTGGCAGAATCCGCCAGAAACATTGCTGAAAATGTAGGTCAAACCTCCCAACAAAAGTTACAGGTGTGTGAGGTTTGTGGTGCTTACTTGTCTAGATTAGACAGCGATAGGCGATTGGCAGATCATTTGATTGGAAAGATACATTTGGGTTATGTACAGATGAGACAAGCATTTAATGAGTTGCATAAAAAATACAAACGATCGAGTCATTATTGAATGAGTGATTGTTGAGTTTCCCTGAAAGTTGGGAAAACTGAACAGAGAGGCATGGAGCTGTATGTGAAATATATTACGGCAAATTAAACCCTTTTGTACATAGAAAACACTAACAAACTAAAGAATTTTCTAAATACGTAGTTTCAATCAGTTTTTATATCCTTTTCTGGTTCAGAAATTTTATGCTTTGAGACATAGTGCAAAGCAGCTAATCTTTCCGGCAAGAGAGGGTGTGTATGATGATACGATGAATACAACCAATCGGCATTCATACTACCCAAATTCTCTTTATTTAATTTGATCAATGCTTCGGCTAACTCGCCTTCATATCCACAATTCTTAGCGTGAGAGTCTGCCTCATATTCATTTTTCCTTGTGATCATTTTCATCCCAAATTGGACAATAGCATCAAGCGGTTGAAACAAATCATTCGCCAAGAGGAATCCAATAAATGTTGGTTGGACATCCCGGAAACCAAAAGACTTGTACAATGATTTATTGTGAATAAAAGCTGAGAAAAGAAAGAACACGACGAATAAGTGAAAATGATAAAATACTTCTAATTGAAGCAAATGATTATATTTCCAGTGTCCAATCTCGTGAGCTAACACGGCGACGATTTCTTCCTTCGTTGATTGATTAATCAAAGTATCAAATAAGACGATCTGTTTGCTCCAAGGCAAGCCAACAAAATATGCGTTAGAATGTGCTGATTTAGTTGAACCATCTACCACGTATAGCTTTGTCACAGGGAAATTTTGCTGTTTAGCTAAATCTTCAATTGCATCCTTCAATTCGCCATCTTCGAGGGGTGTAAATTTGTTAAACAAGGGAGCGATAAGAGTTGGATAAATAGTCATACCAATCAATTGGATAGCCAACATAAATAGCATTGCGTATGTTATAAAAGAATCACCAAAGTAATCGAAAATCTTCAAAAGACCAGCTAAAGCAAGCTCACCTAAGGCAAACGAAACAAGTAACATTTTAATCTGGTCACCTAACCATACTTTTATGCTCAATTTGTTGAAGCCATATTTCTCCTCTAATACGAAATTAGAATAGTAAGAAAATGGTAAAGAGAGTAGAGACTCTATGACCATGTCAATACCAACGAAGAACAAAGACTGTGTAATAGCACCGCTCATGAATTTTGGTAAAAAGAATGCACATTTCGACATAAGACTTCCACTGAAGCTCCAGAGTTTTGGGAAAATATCAAAACGAATTAATGCCAAATGTTTCAAAGTATTAAACGTGTCAGAAACGACGCTAAATCTCAACTTTGCTCTTGAATACTCTTGTGATTTATCAAAAGTTTCTTTACTAACCTCTTCTTTAATTGAAACTGGGGGAGCTTTACTTTTCAATACTTGATAATGACGATAGTTCAAATAATTTTCGAACACGTACTGTCCAACTGTGATTCCAACGATAATTGATTTCCAATCATACTTGGAATTGTCAAGAAAAGACAATGTCTTAAAAAGTTAGTAGTTTTCTTTAGGTATTTCATATAATTATTACTTACATTGGCTAGAGATATCATCTTATTTTCTTTAGCTTCAAAAAGAAATGGATATGTACTTTATTATTGTCCACCTTTTTTGCCGCGATGTCAAAACCTCTCCGATTTCGTAGTGCAACCATCAATCTTCTGACATATATCAGTAGTAAAAACAGCGAATTATGAGCAGATATATAGAACTGTAAATGGAAGATCGATTGACAATTTCTTTTAAATCGATAAAGAAGTGAAAGAACTAATTGGATCTAGTCATTGGAATAAGTTTAAACCTTTTTTTCGCAGCCATTAAACTTGATCAAACTGAGATCATCAACTAAAACTTAAGTTACGAATCTACATTCTAAGATTGATACTCTAAGTAAGCGTAACATTTTTTTATAATAAAAACTAAACTGAATATTTGATAATACCTAAAAGTCTAGGTCCTATGTTCTTTCATTGATTGACTGACTTACTTATTTGGATTCAGCAGCTAACTTATCAGCTTTTTCAACGGCATCCTGGATACCACCAACCATATAGAAAGCGTTTTCTGGTAAGTGATCGTATTTACCTTCTAAGACTTCCTTAAATGACTTGACGGTCTCCTCCAATCTAACCAACTTACCCTTGATACCGGTGAAAACTTCGGCAACAGCGAATGGTTGAGATAAGAATCTTTGGATCTTACGAGCTCTTTCGACGGTCAACTTATCAGATTCGGATAATTCATCCATACCCAAGATAGCAATGATATCTTGTAATGACTTATATGCTTGTAAGGTTTGCTGGACATTAGTTGCTACATCGTAGTGCTCTTTACCAATGACTGCGATATCCAACAATCTAGATTTAGAATCCAATGGATCGACAGCTGGGTAAATACCCAATTCAGAAATACCTCTAGACAACACAGTGGTAGCATCCAAGTGCGCGAAAGTAGTAGCTGGGGCAGGATCGGTCAAATCATCAGCTGGGACATAGACGGCTTGGACAGAAGTAACTGAACCCTTCTTGGTAGTAGTAATACGTTCTTGTAACAAACCCATATCCGTAGCCAATGTTGGTTGATAACCGACAGCAGATGGGATACGACCTAACAAAGCGGACACTTCTGAACCTGCTTGGGTAAATCTGAAAATGTTGTCAACGAACAACAAGACATCTTGACCTTCTTCATCTCTGAAGTATTCAGCAATGGTCAAACCAGTCAAAGCAACTCTAGCTCTAGCTCCTGGTGGCTCGTTCATTTGACCAAAGACCAAGGCCACCTTGGAGTCACCTTCAAGGTTAATGACACCAGTTTCTTGCATTTCACGGTACAAATCGTTACCTTCTCTGGTTCTTTCACCAACACCTGTGAAAACAGAGAAACCACCGTGAGCCTTGGCGATGTTGTTGATCAATTCTTGGATAAAGACGGTTTTACCGACACCAGCACCACCGAATAAACCAATCTTACCACCTCTAGCGTAAGGAGCCAACAAATCGACAACCTTAATACCAGTCTCTAAAACTTCAGCTGAAGTGGATTGCTCAACGAAAGATGGTGGTTCTGCGTGAATTGGAGCTCTCTTCTTAGCGTTCACTGGTCCCCTTTCATCAATAGGTTCACCAACAACGTTAAGAATACGACCTAAAGTTTCACGACCGACTGGGACAGAAATTGGAGCACCAGTGTCCAGGACTGGGACACCTCTGGATAAACCTTCAGTACCATCCATAGCAATTGCTCTGACGGTGTTCTCACCCAAATGTTGGGCAACTTCTAAAACCAAATTTTGGTCACCATTCTTTAATGTCAATGCATTTAAAATAGCAGGTAAATTACCTTCTTCGAATTGGACATCAACGACAGCACCGATAACAGCTCTATATTTTATGTTAGTATTACTAGTCTCTTTATTGTATTGCGGAAGATCAATCGCAGCGGTTCCATTTGGTATTCCGGAAATTGAAAAATTTCATTGGTCGAACCTCGAGAATATCCAACTCACTACCAACAATACTTTTCAACTTCAATATATCATAATAATGAATCATAATATATCTCTGTAGAATTGCTTTTAGTGATTGACGTCAATACCAGTAGAATAGTGATAAATTGAACAGTCAAAGTATTGGGCGGGAGTTATGGAATTCAAGTACGTTTGATGATTTGATATTTTTACATCCGAACGTTTCCAAACAGCTCTTCGACCTCAATGCTCATGAGATGAGCATTGCCAAAGCCAGATTCTGCGATTGTTTCATATACTCTTATTCAATACTTACCTGACCTTACCTCCCGATGGTGCGGTGGTAGCCAACCCTCTGTTAAACATGACGTTGCGCTTAGTTGCTCTGAACGCATTGCGTGAAGCAGTGTGAAATAATCTTGGAAGAACCATCGTTATACACTTTGGTAATCTAAAGACTAAGAAGTTAGTTTTAAATTAACTAGTCAAAGTTTTAACCAAACGTTGAAAAATTCAATGAATTATATTAGAAGCTTTTCGCCCGATCTCTCTCTCGCGGTTTAGAAACTAACTGTGAGCATTTCTTGCACTGTTAAGCGGTTTGTGTGCCGTTGACCAATGAAAAGGTGCAGTTCCCAAGAGTCGCACTCCGGAAAGGAAACATTCTTTTATTGGATGAGTAAGGGGTTACCCTGTATAAGTTTTAACGCGGCAGCGTTGTCGTGCAAGAGGTTAGCGAGCCAGGGAGGATCCCCGGAATGGACGCTATGGCCACGGTTTGGTCCGTTTACTAGAGGGAGACTCCGGCAGTTGGCGATTGAATCCTAGGGAGTTGTGCGCGCTAAGTGAAGAGCTCAAAGTAGCAATGCTGCAAACTGTAAGAGCCTACTTACAACGCGAGACACATTCACATCATCTTACAGATTGCCCACACGGGACCATATTACTTGCGGTCGTTCATTAAGATCTATGTAGTGATATCAAGGAGGTTTCGCTTTGATTTATTCAAAAGGTCTCTCATCAGCGACGGGTACGATTGATACAACAATGTTGAGCCCTCTGGAACTTCATGCAGTTTCTTGCCAAAGTGATAGTCAACGCAACATTCTAAGCATAACTTGATAGTAGCTTTTTGATTAAGTTGCCTCAACCTCGAAGAAATTTGCACGGCTTTCATTTTGCTAGGAGCAGAATTTGAGGTAGCCAGAGCCGATTGCATCTTGACGATTCTTCTTGACTTGCGTTTTGTCATATGGCTTTCATCCTGCTCGGGTTCATCAGATGCAGCTCGTTTGGCTGCATTAATGAGCTTCTCGTACTCTTCCATCTCACTTAACGACTTTTGTGTTAAAAGAGCAAGGTTATTTGAACCACGGGAGGTCGGTATTGACTTGAGATTCTCCGTCTGGTGACCAGTAGGATCATATGGCGATGTCTCTGGAGTCAAAAGTTGACTAATACTCATCCGGGAAGGTTCCCTCGGGGTCTCTTTTTTAACGATGACTGGTGGGTCGAGGCCGAAGTTTCTCGACTCATTGTTGATCAAACAATATTGATATGAAATATATGTGCGACACAAATCACATAAATCTTCTTCATCTTCGTCATCGTCTTTCTCAAATACGCCAATTTTTTCATCTTCGAATTTCCTCTCCTTGATTTGCTTTGGTTTAAAGACAACAGAAAACCTAGATTTATCAAGTTTGGAGAGAAACGTGCTTTGCCTTTCTATAAATCTCTCAAAGCTATCAATACTTCTCTTGACGAGACTTAATTCAGTTGCGCTGATGTATCCTTGCTTTCTGTTGAAATCCTTCAAGATGTTTTCCACTAAGCTGTAATGATCGAAAACACTTTCTTTCTTAATTAATTTGTAGTCATAAATTGATTTTTCTCCGAACTCTAACCAATTGCTCATTGCAAAGTTCACTGCTTCATTGAAATTAAAACCACTGTTGAACCCAGCGTGATAAACACGAGGGTACGTTATTACAAATTCATTTGGATTTTGATCTGCATAAACACATCGTATTCCATTATCAACTAGTGTCATGGGTGATAATAATGTCACCAACTGATGCAATAAATCTGGTTGTTTCTTAAATAAATTTGGAGCCGACTCTTTCATCAACTTTTCGAATTTATCAGCATCATAAGACGGAATGCCATACCATTTTTTTGTGGCACCAAAATGACAATAATTTGCAGACAATGTGTAGTGGTCTTCGACGTGCCAACAGAACGTCGAGAACAAAGATCCAATATAAATCCATGGAATTGTCATTCCAGATATTGTTGTGTTGATGTAATTCAATAGTGAACCCTTTGCAAATGGTAATTTAGTCAAATTACATGGATGGTTTATGTATGATTGAATATCAGGGTCATCCAAAGACAAATTGGGAGAATTAGACATAGGAAATCCACTTATTTCACCGGGACGCAAATTATGAATATCGGCCCCGTATTTCACTTCTAAGTCAGAATTCTGAGTATCTACTAGCTTCCAAAACTTTCTTTCTATCTCGTTCAAATCCATCGGTTGTCCATAGTTAGAGTCTCTTATATAACCTTGTTCGAAATCTAAGCATATGTTTAGGAACTCTGGCAAAGTATACTTAATATCGACTGCTTCTTCAAAGCCATATTCACCTGTTCCTATCAAACACTTATCGCAAAACCAGCTTCCCAGAGGTACATATTCCAAAGGAGGCAGAAGGCATGATAGATGATAAGCGTTATCACAGTTATCACAGAGAAGAGTTTGAGACGGATGGTTCAGCCTCCCGCATATTAAACAGTGCCCGGACTCATCCTCAGAGTCACTATCAGGAAACTCATAGTTTTGGTGATTACTTTCATCCAAAAACTTCACATATTCTTTTAAATTGGTGTCGTATTCCTCCTTCAACTTCATATCTTTCTTCGGAATACCAAAAGAATTATTTAATTGTTCCCACTTCCCTTCATCCATTTTATCAATTCCCCCTATATTTTCAACCGCAACGTAGAGGTCGTAATAGTGAACTTTTACGTTTTTGAATACATCAGTGTTCAAATCAACCTTGAAATATAATTTGAGTTGTCTCCGCCTACGCATCTTTAAAAACCGATTTATATTGTCTCTGAAGAAGTTTCTACTTCTGGTTGTCAAACCAAGGTCACTCAACTTCTGAAGTCTCGTGTGGAATCTAAAATGATCAGATAACAGAAATCTAGGTCTCCAAGTCGTAGGTGGAACTAGCTTTACTATTCCATATTCTGAACCCAATTTAGCAATGTCCGGTCTCGATAAGTACCCAATAGGATCCTTCATATCATGATCTGAAAGGTGTAGTACTGGACATGGAGTGAGGCGAGTCTTATCAAACCCCATGTTAAATTTTTAGTTAAACCTATCTTAGCGTAAAGCTTGCAATTATGTAGCAGTGAACCGATATTATATTATAATTTAGGACAATGTGCCTAAGGAGATGCCTGTTTGAATTAATAGAAGCAGCAACCAGTCTTGGGGCTTTCGATGGTAATTGGTAAGTGCCAAAAACTTGAATAGTTCACTGGATAAGGCAGAATTAGAGAAAAGGATAATATTTTCAGGAAATTAAGAGTTTCCAGCTAATCGAGGTAAAATCCATATCCGGGTTTTGATACCTTGCTGAAAAGGTGTTACCACTTACTAAGTACAAGGTTCGAATTTAAGTTTATACAAAGGTTACGTATTGTGAAGAGCGTATCTTTGAAAATTAGTTAATAATTCAAACTCTCTTTAGCTTCTATATAGGCACATTTAAGTTATTTGTATCTTGGAGAAAGGGATCATATATTGAAAAATTTCCAACTGACATTCGACTTTCGCAATTTGATATAGAGAGTAACTTTAAATACTAAATACTTCAGAGATTAAGAAATGAAAGACTATACAATAACGGTATTAGGATGCGGTGTGATGGGAAATGCTGTTGTATCGGCTATTTTGAGTGCTTCTTTTGAGCCATATCCATCCAAGATTATTTGTTGTACGAATTCTGAAAAACTGTCTCAAGCTTTGGAGAAGAAATTAAAACATGACATAGTAGAATTTTCATATGGAATCGAATCCAACAAATCAGCAGTTTCAAAGGCGCATATTGTTGTTTTAGGTTTCAAGCCTTATATGCTTCACACGGTTTATGAGCAAGTGAAAGAAGTATTGACTGGAGAACAGTTGATAATTTCTTTGCTAGCTGGAACAAGCCTCGAAGAATTGACAATTTTTTCACCTTATGTTGCGAAGGTTATGACCAACACTCCAGCTCAGTTTGGCTGCGGAACTGCTGCTATATCCTTCACAGAAAAGGCCGAGGAAAAGTATCGTGATTTAGTCATAAAACTCACGGATCCGCTTGGTTTAGCATTGCAAATTCCTGAAAAGAACATGGACGCTGCTACATCTTTAATTGGTTCGGGCCCTGCATTTTATTTATTGATGATGGAGGCAATGATTGATGGAGGTATCAGGATGGGGTTTCCATATGCTACTGCGAAGGAAGCTGCCGCAAAGGTGATGGAAGGAACAGCGAAGATGGTGTTAGAGACTGGTGAGCACCCAGCAGCTTTGAGAAGTAAAATATGTACACCTGGTGGTACTACTATTGGAGGGTTATTAAAAATGGAGGATGCTGGCCTCAGAAGTGCTATTGCTAGAGGAGTTGAAGAGGCTGCCAATATTTCTGCATCCTTTAAGAAGAAATGATTTCATTGTATCGTATATAAAGTATATAAACTTACTTCTGTGAGGTCAAAAACCCCATAAATGCTTTGATATCTTCTGTACTGAATTTGACGTCGGCCCTGTCCAAGGCGTCTTTCAATTTGGTCAAGTGATCTTTCACATCCTTTTCAGTCATTAGCTTGAACATCTCCACCATCGAAGGTGCTTTGTCGGTGCGAAACCCTTTGTCATGTAATAGTGTCTGAAAATCTTCCAAAAGTGTTCTGATTTCTGGATTACCCCTCAAGGTGCTTGCAATTTTTTCAATTCTGTCAGCTTGGCCACCATCAAAATCATCTCCATTGTTCAGCGAAGAGGCATATCTTCTCAAAGAAACAGGCCTTAACAATCCAGATGAAACATAGGGTTGTCTCACAACAATTTTAGCTCTTGAAAATGCTTTGAAGCCCCCTCTTATCATCTTTTTGTTGGGAACCTACCTGTTTCTATGATGTCTTTAAAGGGCCTCTATGAGCTGCTATACATTAGCTACTGTAAATGTCGCAAAGAAAGATGTCTCACGACACAAGGACAGGTCGTGCCCGTGATTCTTAGAATGTCGAAGAACTTGAAATATTCATGAGATAGATACAACACTAGAGTACTCTTAATACTAGTTAGTTTCAAATATAAAAAGCAATAAAAACAAATTATGTCCAACGAAGGCCAAGAAGAATTATTGGATTACTCTGATTCTGAAGAAATCGCCGTTCCAACTACCGCTCAGACCACCACTGGCGATGGGGAAGGTACCAATGATAAAGAAGCCGACAAGAAGGGCTCTTACGTTGGTATTCACGCCACAGGTTTCAGAGATTTCTTATTGAAACCAGAATTACTTAGAGCAATTGGTGATTGTGGTTTCGAACATCCTTCTGAAGGTTCGTATTCGAGTTTTGCATTCAGATAGATGAGAATGATGTTTTTTTTGCAGAACTATGCTTACAAAGTCACACCCTCTGGAGCTGATCATAAATGATTTCCATGCTGGCATGTATATGATGCTAGTTCCAATATATGACTAGATTGTCTCGATGTTCAAACATACGTCATCTATGCAAAAAATTGGGCTTTTCAACTTGAAGTCTTGAGGCTAGACTATAATCATTCTCCGTTATGTCTTTATTTATCGGACTGATAAATAAATTGCGGAAAGGACAAATGAATTGCCGGTTATAGTGCATTCATTTTGTTCTTGACTGTGACCCATGCAAGGGGTACTAAAAATTTGTCAATAAAAGGGTCGTGGGAAGAGCTTTGGGATGTAATCAATCTATCATGAAGTCTATCTAATCTCAATCTATAGAGGATTCACTAACATAAATTATAGTTCAACAGGTTTGTATCCCCCAATCGATCTTGGGTACTGATGTTTTGTGTCAAGCGAAATCTGGTTTAGGTAAAACCGCAGTTTTTGTTTTATCAACTTTACAACAATTGGATCCTGTTCCGGGTGAAATTTCAACCTTGGTTATTTGTCATACGAGAGAGTTGGCTTATCAAATTCGTAACGAATATTCAAGATTTTCCAAGTATATGCCAGATGTTAGAACAGAAGTATTCTATGGTGGTACTCCAATCAAGAGAGACATAGAAAAATTGAAGAACAAGGACACTTGTCCTCATATTGTTGTTGCCACTCCCGGTAGGTTACATGCTTTAGTGAATGAGAAAGCAATTCGTTTGAACAATGTCAAGTCATTCGTCATTGATGAATGTGACAAAGTTTTGGAAGCCGTAGATATGAGAAGAGATGTCCAAGATATTTTCCGTAACACTCCTCATCAAAAACAAGTTATGATGTTTTCTGCAACATTATCTCAAGAAATCAGACCAGTCTGTAAGAAGTTCATGCAAAATCCTTTGGAAATTTATGTCGATGACGAAGCTAAATTAACATTACATGGTTTGCAGCAACACTACATCAAGCTTGATGAAAAGGATAAGAACAGAAAATTATCGGATTTGTTAGATTCTTTGGAATTCAACCAAGTGATTATTTTTGTAAGATCCACTCAAAGGGCAAATGAATTAAATAAGTTGTTGTGTGCTTGCAACTTCCCATCTATTGCGGTTCATTCAGCTATGCCTCAGGAAGAGAGAATTGAAAGATATAGATCTTTCAAGGAATTTAACAAGCGTATTTGCGTCTCAACTGACGTGTTTGGTAGAGGCATTGATATCGAAAGAATTAATGTTGCTATCAATTACGATATGCCAAATGAAGCAGACCAATATTTACATAGGGTTGGTAGAGCCGGTAGATTTGGTACTAAGGGTTTAGCAATTTCCTTCGTTTCTTCTAAAGAGGACGAGGAGGTTTTAGAAAAGATTCAGTCTAGATTCGATGTCAAGGTTACCGAGTATCCAGAAGAAGGAGTCGATCCTTCTACTTACATGAACACTTGAGTTTATTTCCTTCGCTTTATATCTCAAATTAAAAGTCTATTTTGATTTATGTACTTTAAGTTAATTATTTTTGTTTGTGAATGCAGTTTGTTGTAGTTATGTCAATTCCCAAGTTGGAAGCACACTGAATCAATCATGTTTAAAACTAAGTCTAGATCTTTTCTGGGAATTAAGAACCATTCAATATGAATGTTGTATCCGTCAGAGAAATGATCGCGTTGGTTCTTCGAAGCAGTCAACGCAGATCCTTTAGGGGTTTTCTTTATTCCATCACTAACATTGCACCCCAGACAGAGAACATCTCCATAACCATATTTCGCTCTCATTATTTTATGTACTTCCAGTTCGACATACTGAAGGGATTTTTTGCAATGGAACCCACTATCTTCATGCCTATATGTTTGAAGCCTCCGCGTTTCTTGTATATTTAAGTTCCTCAATTTGTCGATTAAACGGCTCAATGATCCTCTATCGGACTCCAATGATCTAGGATGCATCACTGATAGTTCATGGTGACACTTCGCTTCCCACTGTTTCAATCTGAAAGCCACACTATGCGTGGTCATACCAATCTTTATTATTATGAAAGACGATTTTCTAGTATTAAAATCTACCCACTCATCTCGGTGCTTAGATCCGACACCAGGTAAATTTCTGACCTTGAGCCACAGTTTTCTCCCTTTTTTGTCCAAAAGCAGGCGGAGAGTGTAAACGTAGATGAAGCCACTCTTTTCATGCCCATTTTTCTTCGGCGAGGATCTTCTCACTGCCGAACTTTTGTTTAACTGATCTTGATTTATATGATGTCGACAATAGTTGTGATTTTTCACAGGCAACTTACACTGGTTGCCCTTCGAAGTAATTCCCTTGCATGTAACTGCAGTCATAAATGACCTGATCCGTCTTCTTTCCTATCTATATTTGATTATAATTTATCTCTTGTACTTGGACATTAATCTCAATCTTTACAAATCTTCCAAATATCCTTTGAGTAACTTGTACCTGTCTCCCGTTTGATTGCAACCTGGGAAGTAAACATCGGGGTAAATGCGACTAAGGCCGATATATTGTAGTCACTTTGGGCCAGGCCCAGTGCGACGCATAGTAAAATTGTTACACCTCACGTGTAATGCAGTTATAATTGTACCGGCCACTCTGCTAATGGACGAAGACCTCTTATAAATGTGCAAGATCCAAATGAGTACGAACATGACATGTATCGTTCATACGATTAATTGATATTCGATTCCCTTAGAAGAAGTATTAATAAATAATGAGCTACCATTTCGATACTCTTCAATTGCATGCTGGTCAGGATCCAGATAGCGAAAATGCTAGACCAAGAGCACCACCAATCTATGCAACTAGTTCTTATGTCTTTAATGACTCTAAGCATGGTGCCCAATTGTTTGGCTTAGAGACTCCAGGATTTATATATTCGAGAATCATGAACCCCACCGTTGACGTCTTTGAGAAGCGTATTGCTGCTTTAGAGAACGGTGCTGGAGCTTTAGCTGCTTCTTCAGGTCAAGCCGCTCAATTGTTAGCCATTGGTGGTTTGGCACACTCTGGAGACAATATTATTTCTACTTCATACTTGTATGGGGGAACTTATAATCAGTTTAAGGTTGCGTTCAAGAGATTTGGCATCGAGACCAGGTTTGTTAATGGTGATAAGCCAGAAGATTTTGCTAAGCTTATCGATGACAAAACAAAGGCCATTTATATTGAGAGTATTGGTAATCCCAAATACAATGTCCCAGATTTTGAAAAGATAACAAAAATCGCACATGACCACGGTGTCCCAGTAGTTGTCGATAACACATTTGGAGCTGGTGGTTTCTTGATTCGCCCACTTGATCACGGTGCTGATATTGTTGTTCATTCAGCTACGAAATGGATTGGTGGTCATGGAAGTACAATTGCTGGTGTCGTTGTTGACTCTGGTAAGTTTCCTTGGAAAAAATATCCAAAGAAGTTCCCACAATTTTCTGAGCCATCGGAGGGATATCACGGGTTAATTCTCAATGATGCATTGGGTGACGCTGCTTTCATTGGTCATTTAAGAATTGAACTTTTAAGAGATTTAGGTCCAACTTTGAATCCATTTGGAGCATTTTTATTACTTCAGGGTTTGGAAACGTTATCATTGAGAGTTGAAAGACAATCTTCTAATGCCGCAAAGTTAGCTGAATACTTAGAAAAGTCTCCATATGTGGAGTGGGTTTCTTATTTAGGTTTACCATCTCACGAAGACCATGAATTGAGTAAGAAGTATTTAAATAACAAGGATGTTTTCGGAGGCATGCTTTCCTTTGGCGTTAAACAAATTGGAACCAAAACTGATGATCCGTTCAAAGAATCGTCTCCTAGCGTAGTTGATAACTTAAAAATTGCTTCGAATTTGGCCAATGTTGGTGACTCTAAAACGTTAGTTATCTCTCCATGGTACACAACACACCAACAACTTACCGACGATGAAAAAATTGCTTCCGGTGTCACTAAGGATTTAGTTAGAGTATCGGTAGGTACTGAGCACATTGATGACATTATTGGAGACTTCGACCAAGCCTTTAAGAAAGTTTTCAGTTAACTCATTGTGACGAATTAAAATATTTAGAGATATATCCATTTTGAAAATGTAAGTAAAACCAAAAGTGAATGCAACATAATTGAACATAATTTCATACCTAGTAGATAAAAACCGGTACTGATTTTAATTTCTGCGATATCAATCTCATCGAAGAGTTCAGTCAACATATTATAAAAGACAAGTTCTCCACTCATTATTATTGAGCAAGCAGTAAAATTTATTAGTTGAAAAATCAAAACCGATCTAAAATAGGTCCTAAGTTGATCTTCAATTGAATGCTTATGTTGATAGTATGATATTAAGATCACGAAATGAAAAATCATAATGAGAGCAGAAAGCATCAAGGACACAATAGAACTTATTTTCATCACAACTCCAAACTTTTCAACGAGTTTTATTTTATGAACTAGGGCCAACGAATCTATATTCAAGGCGTTACCATCAGAGCTTTTTTGTTTTTCTTGTAAGTATAATTCGTTTAGACTATCCAATGCTTGAGAAAAAGCAACAGCGAAGCTTTTACTAATTTCTTTGGAGCTACTTGATTTTGATACTACTCCTAACTGAGAGCCTATGTCCCTTATGAGGCTAGAAAATATGTCTATTCCATTACTGTATGAGCACTTTTGTGTTTTCGTCTTTTTATTTAAACGACAATATCCACCAACATTGAATTTATAAATGTTGGAGTCTGAAAAAGTATCTATAACGTCGAAGTCATCTATTTCACGTACTAAACTATTGGACCCATTTAATGTAATACTGAAATCTTTTGCAAAATATGACATCAACTTAAGACCTTCACCTATGCTGGATAATAACATCTTTGATTCTAGAGATTTTGCTTTAATCTCTAACAAAAGCTGTGGATAGCATCCAAGAAAGCTATTGTTGCAAGTAAGTGTTTCAGCTAAACTAAAAACTAAAATAACAATGGATGAGACCAATAAAACAACGACTATTCTTTCCAACCTGACCGTCCTATACCTCTTAATATTGGAACTGTGACCAGTTTGTGTTCCGGGTACTTCGTTATGCTCTGTAAGCTGGGAGTATACCTTACTTTTGCCGCAGCCTATATATTTAATATCCACAAATTCCCCATCTCGCTCTGCGGAACTGCAATTGTAGTCTCTATTCCTCAGACCATCTGCTCTCAAATCGGTTGACTGTTTTCTTCCCTCTATGCCATTCCACCAAGAAAGGAGCCATTGGTAGCTGAAGAAAGGCATTATCAAATGGATCAAATTGCTTATGGTGGTCGTTGTAAGTTTTTTTTTTTATGGAACTCGCAAAATGACTGCAAAATAAATGCGCGACCCTAGCACACAAATGAACCTTTTATCTACATCTTCATTATGAATATAAGTTTGTAATTAGGCCCTACAAAAAATATCTGAGAAGTATAATGTCTATATCAAAATATCTGCGTTGAATCGTTCAATAAATTAATTCAATCTTGTGGCGGAGTCGAATGGATTACTTCCATTTACTTTCTGTATCCTTCTAGCTCCTCTTCCTATATCGTTATTGGTGGAATCTGCATACCCATCGTATGTTTCTTCCTTATAATGCTGAGGTCCCGGATACCGAGGAAATGTGTTTTCCGAATCGTCATATAATAAATTCATTGTCTCTTCTTCAGAAATCGGATTATTAATCTTAGTGCCCAGTTTCGATTTTCTTGGTCCGATATGACGGACAGAAGATTTTCTGGAAAAGGACTCACCTAATCTTCTCAAGGCAACTTCACTTTCCAGAAGAGAGGACCTTGGCAACCCGTATAAATCATCCTCATCTGACTGATTTTTTGTGCTGTACAGTATGCTTTCTTCATCGAGAATGTGTTCAGATTGGTTCTCATCGCTTGAGCTGCTCCACTTCCGTAGCTCGTGGACTTTCTGCAGAGACGTAGAATGCAATGTTCCTTGACGACCTCTATTCCTCATGCCATGAAAACTTTCCATATCTTCCTCATACACATCATCAGGGGGATTGGCAAACCAAAGAGGCAATGCCCAAGAAGCCATAGACAACATAGAAAAAATAAAAGCCGACCATATCAAGGAAAACCATATCTCACCTAAATGTAAAGAAACACCGAAATCGGTCAAATTTTTGCTCACTTCCCTTCTCACCTGGATTAATATTCTAGTCATAATTCCGCACACAATCGCTATGCTGATAAAGGAAGCAATGGAAAGCAAAGATACAACATTAAGAAAGATCTTTGATGCACCGCTTAAATCCCTTGAGTCGCCTCTTTTCAAGTACAAAAAATATGTCAAGATTAGAATAGCAGTTTGTGACGAGGCACAAAATATAAGAGCAGAAGGAGCTAACTTAACCTTGTTTCTCCTTGCAGCGACCTTCTTGTCATATTTTTTATCCTCTACATCTGATGATTGGAAGGCATATGCTAAAATGCTTTCTAAACCAATATCCTGTAAATCCTTTCTATAATCGAAAACGTAACGGCTATTTGTTCTTTGACATACGAGAACATCATCATGCTTTTTATACTTGAGGACACCATATTTATCGTAATACAGGGTTGTGTTATAATTGCCGTAGCACCAGCTCCATAAAGAACTTAAGATATACTGAGGTGCATCAGCAACTTGCGATTCTGCGTACTCAGTTAAAATAGCTATTTCTGAGTTGGTTAGGGAGGAATCGACAGGAAGCTGGCTAGTCTCCAGCTCGTCAAGTACAGATGGATTCAATGAAACGGAGTTCCTCAATGATTTATAAAGACCGTAGGAAACATCCAAATGAGCACAATTGATTCTAGCCGCATATAACTGATGTATGAATAGTGGGCCGACCACGGCTGTAATAGTTAAAGCAATAACAGCACAACCCATAAGGATTCGGAATATTTGCAATAGTCGTCCTTGCGGAGACAAATTTTGAAATGGTGATATTAGCCCCTTCGTATGATTTAACATTCTAAGATAATTCTAATTATGGTGACGGAACTAAGGTGTATAGTTAAAAGACCATCTCTTTATAGAATTAACTAAAGGGATTGCTCGAATGTTCCAACAAGAGATTTACTCTAAGGATTTGTCTATTTTGTTTTCAAATGTCTAGGTTAGCAAAACTAAAGATAACTACAATAGCGCGATGATTGTCTTCGGCAAACCTTGTCTAAGGGATAAAATACTGCATACACCACGGAAGTTTTTCAGGCTCAATGTCATCATTTTCAATATAGGTTAGAGACACGGCCTAGTAATTTACAACGAAGATCGACTAAAAATAACGTAATCATGAAAGTAAACTATAGATATAATACTTAATTCTCAAAACTCTTCATTGAACTTTAAAGCGCCATATTTTTCCTGATATTGGTTCAAATTAACATCTGACAGAGCCATCTCATCCAACTTTCTTTTATTTCCAGTGGAAGGAACATCTATAGTTTGCAAAGGCGTCGAAAGCTTCTCGTTCCATTCTGCCAAATTGGAACCCGAATCAAAAGTTGATCCTGAGCTCGTTAATCCTGGGGGCTTCGTAAGGTTTGAAGGTAAGGGAACTCGCAGAAAGCTGTTATTCAGTACGTTGCTTGGAACGCTATAACCCTCCGCTACCGCCTTTCTAATTCTCATTCCCACAGTAGCTAATGCTCGGATGTCAGGGTTAGGGTCTTCATGTGTTACACCTTGGCTCATTTGCCTCTTATAACCCGTCATAGTGTCTTTTATTTAGTGAAGTCGCTCTTTTATTTGTTTCAGAATTGAATAGTTCTATTCTACTAAGTGGGCTTGCAACTATAACTTCTTAATCATAAAAACGATTCAGAAAGGTTTAGCACTCTCTGCGAATTTTTACTTCTAGACGATACGTCAACTGTAATAACTCCAACGTGAATATCTATGACTCTTCCCAGCGTCTCCGTATGACTTGTTCAAAAACACGCTTTGTCAAGATTAACAACTCCCACTATTGGTATTTGATTTAAAAAATAATGCCGCCTATGTCTGACACTATCTGTCTTAAATCGTGCTTTAACTTGACCACTATCCACAAGGATAATCATGTTAAAAGGAATGATCACATGATCACACACGGGGTATACAGTCAAGCTTCTCTTAGGAACCTTCTCGCTGTAGCATTCCATTCGGGGAAATTTGCTTCCTCATGTATTATTGTGATTCAGTCTATGACAGTGTAAACTATCGAATACGGCATAAACCTTTAGCTTTAGGAAATGCATACCGATCATGAACACATATATAAAGACGTGATTGGAAAAGTTAATTAGTATTGCTTCCAAAAGGCCTTAAAGTGATTCAGAATTAAAATGAGTAGTCCAGACTTTAGTGTTTCTTCGGAAACAGCAAGAGAATACGAGTCTGAGTACTCAGCACATAACTATCATCCATTGCCAGTGGTTTTTGCGACAGCAAAAGGAGCCCATGTATGGGATCCGGAGGGAAAAGAGTACTTAGATTTCTTGTCTGCTTATTCAGCTGTCAACCAGGGTCATTGTCATCCTAAAATCATTGAAGCACTTGTCGAGCAAGCTCATAGGTTAACTCTCTGCTCAAGAGCATTTTCTTCTGACGTGTTTGGTGTATTCGCTAAATACATTACAGAATATTTCGGTTACGATATGGTTTTGCCAACTAACACAGGAGCTGAAGCCGTCGAAACTGGCTTAAAATTGGCAAGAAGATGGGGTTACATTAAGAAGGGTATCCCCGAGGGTGAAGCTATAATTTTGTCTGCTCTGAACAATTTCCATGGTAGAACTTTGGGGATAATTTCAATGTCCACTGATCCAGATGCTACCACCAACTTTGGTCCATATTTGAACGGAGTTGGTCCACAGATTCCTGGTGAAAAGACAGGCACTTTGTTAAGATATGGTGTCATCGAGGATGTTGAAAGAGCATTCAATAATGCTGGCGACAAGATTGCAGCCATACTTTTAGAACCAATTCAGGGTGAAGCTGGTATTGTTATTCCTCCTGCGGATTACCTCTCTAATGTTCAAAAATTGTGTAAGAAGCACAACGTTTTATTAATTTGCGATGAAGTTCAAACTGGTATTGCAAGGACTGGTAAGATGTTATGTTATGAACATTCAGCAGGAGTCAAACCAGATATAATCTTATTGGGTAAAGCAGTTTCTGGAGGAGTCATACCGGTTTCTTGTACTTTATCTTCAAAGGAGATCATGCTCCTTATGGATCCAGGTTCTCACGGTTCAACTTATGGTGGTAACCCACTAGCATGTAGAGTCGCAGTTGCGGCTTTACAAGTTGTTAAAGATGAAAATTTGGTAGAAAGATCCGCTCACTTGGGTGAAGTTTTCAAAGAACAGTTGAACGAATTGAAGAAGGAATCTAACGGAGTTATTTCAGAAGTTAGAGGGAAAGGGTTGTTCTGTGCAGTGGTGATCGATAACTCTAAAACAAATGGAAGGACCGCCTGGGATTTGTGTTTGCTTATGAAAGATCATGGTGTTTTAGCTAAACCAACTCATGACAATGTGATAAGATTAGCACCACCCTTAGTTATTTCTGAGGAAGATTTACTGAAGGGCGTTGATGCAATCAGAAAGGCTTTGAAAGAATTACCAACCGTGCCAAAAACTAGCCATTAAAGTGTCATTGTTTGTGATCAAAATAGCGGGAGATCATCCTTTCTTACGGCTATTGTCTAGTAGTATATTAATGTATATATGAATCTTGCTTGACATATAGTAAGCTAGAATGCTCAACACAAAAGTATTATTAAATGCTATAAACCCAAAATGTAAAGGAATGAAGCTTATTCATCTTCTTCATCCTCGTCATTACGTTCTCCTTCAGGTAACTTACCTAAAGCAGCCAATCTTCTTGATCTCTCGACTTCACTCTCCTTTAGAATGTCATTAGAAGCAGAATCATCTGATACATTCTGAGCAGCTTGCTTTTTTGATTCGTCTTCGACAGCTTCTTTTGCTATATGCTTGGAGGACCTTCGTGATATATTCAAACCGCCCTTCTTTGCAGGTGCGTTTAATAAATTGGTCAACTTAGTTTCAATCTTACTTTCAATCTTCGGATTTGATAATAGTGATTTCGGATCTCCGCTCTCTGGAATCAAAATATCGTACCTTTTATTTTGTTCTAAGTCATCATTCAATGATGCTGTTGAATTCTTCTCAGGGGGAAGATTGTCTTCAGGTATGTCTTTTTTGAGACCTACCATCATTAATGCCTTTCCCATTATACTCGAAGATCTTGGTCTTCCTTTTTCTGGGTTCAAATGCTTATTGACCTTATATCTTCTTATGACTTCACCATCTTCATTTTCAATTACTAAAAAGTCGTCCACTTGATGGGCGTAAACCTTGTGATGACTAGGGTCACTCTTTTTATAAAATGCCCTCCTTCTGAATGGTGCGCTCATTGTTCTGGTTATTTTCTTCGTAACAGACTGGATCTCATTATCTGTTTCATCTGAGTTGATGGATTCACTATCGTCTTCGTCTTCATGTTGAGGGAAAGGTGAATAGGATGATAATTGCCGACGCAAAGAATCATATGAATGAACACTGACGTTGTCACCCAGAGATCTCAGAGATCTCAGCGATCTCCTCATTGGAGTGCTAGACTGACTTGGTGATGCCAGGGGTTTCTTTGAATTCTCAGACTTTGAAGTATCCGATTTTTGGTTATCATCGGCAATTGGAATCGTTTCTACTTCCTCACCATTATCTCTTTCGATGATGATATTATTTCCCTCTTGGTAAGCATTGAAGGCAACACGACCTGCTTCTTTAGCTGTGTCTTCAGATTTGGTCGTGTCATTGGGGGATACTTCTTCGCCGTTTGTTTCATTCTTCTCCGTCCACGAGGGACTAGACTCTGTATCATTATACTCTTCTTTAGTGCTTGTGGCGCCTGTATTAGGGGAATCAGTTTCTTCAGAAACACCATACTTAACCCCCGAAGAAGTCCTTCCTAGCTGTAAAAATTCAGTCGGAGGTCTATGCCTTTCAGACTTATCCTCTTTCAGTTCATCACGGGAGTGAACCTTAGATAAAGTCTTCTTAATCTTTGAACCAGGGCTCCCTCTTCTCTTCTTTTTATGTTTCCTTCTTTTGGCACCTCCGGCTGGCCTAACTTTGATTCCGCTTGTTTCAATTGTGTTACCCTTTTGGGATTCATCTCCTTCCTCTTCTGGAGGAGTCGCCACTGCAGTATCAACTCTGTGTAAAGAAAAAGATGTTGAGGCAGGGTCTAGTTTTTGTAAACGAGCCATCCAGCTTGGTCCCTGTTCCTGAGTATTTGTAGTTGTGAAAGTCATAGTAATTGCCATTCTGTTAAGTCTCTTTCCCAAGGTTAATACTGCAACAGATGAGCCATGGACAATAATAGATGTGATGACAATAAAACAAACGACGGGCCAAATAACAGCGATCAACTGATAATGAGGAAAGTCTTTTGAAGGTAATTTCGTAAGAGGGTCTTTCTCATGAGTGTAAGTAGTCTCTAAATCCTTTCGAGCCAAAATAGCTGCAAAAATAGCACCCACTCCAATTGGACCAAAATGGCCGCAGAAAAAAGCTTCTCTCCAGGTTTTAACATCGGGCGTGAATGGTTTTAGAGCAATTACAGCCGGCATACGTCTCAAAAAGATGATAACAAATGCTAATACAACTAGCCTCCAGCAGTTTAAACCGATATCAGAATTATTAAAATCAGACCATGGTACAATTGCACCGAAATAAACAAAAAAGGCTAAGTTCAATAACAAGTCGATTACAGTAGACACATGCGATTCTTCAGTTTTTCTTGCAAAGCTACCGTCCCAGCCAAAGGCAGTTCCTGCAGCAAAGGAAACTAACAAATCATCAACCCCTAGCATCGATCCAATTCCTGCAGAATTGAAGGCCAAGAATACGAAAATCGCTAAAAAAGATTCCCTATCGATCAAGTCTTTCTTTTCGGCAAACGCAACCGCATGCCTTAAAGTGTAACCTATCACAACTCCTAGAAGTATCCCAAAGAAACACTCCCATAATATAGTTAGCAAAAACCAATTCTTTACTATTTCACGAGCATGACCACTGTGAACGACTAGATTTAGTGACAAGAAGATGAATGGAAAAGCCATACCATCGTTGCAGCCAGACTCTGCAGTAAGTAGATTTCTCAAATGGCCCGGTACTCGTTCTGCGAACTTACCTTTACCAACAACAGCAGCTGCTAAAACAGGATCCGTAGCTGTAACACATGCCGAAACCAACAAAGCATCAGCATAATTAAAATGAGGTATAAGAGCCCAAATAAATAAACCAACTACCAACCAACCGCATGTCATAACCGGAAGCAAGAAAATAGCAACCGAAAGCCAATGATTTTTCATATATTTTCTCGGTAACTCTACGGCCACCGCCACGATTTGAATACACAATACAATTCGGCATATTTCCAATGTGATGTAGTCCGTATTACCCCATGATATTGGATCAAACCAGTTCAAGCAATGAGGACCTAAAATCAATCCCGCAATGGACGCAACACTTGCTTCGCCAATATATAATCTTTCTTTCACAAAAAGCGAAACCAAAGAGAACACCGTACTAAATATACCGACACAAGCATACGCTATGTGAGGTGCCTCTAACTAAAAAAAGTTAGTAACAGAAACTCTCATCACAAACTTTTAGTATTCCATTTATATCTATTCGGTATAAGGGCCCACCTTTGCAGACTGTCAGCCATAATTTATGGCTGGTAGGATGGTTTGGATGTTTTCTTTGCTATAATTGCCATGTCGATGGCCCATACCAAAATAAGTTAAGTAGAATCACTTTGACAGAACAAACGTACCTCTAATTGCGACCACATAGGTAGTCGAAATTCTTAATATAACCGGCTCAGGAGTCTCAGACCTTAATACTTGCCGATCACCTTAGTTGAATATAAGAAACCAAAGGAGCTTGAATAATATCTTTTATTATTATGTGAGATTAGATACCAAGAATTTTGAGCAACACAAAGTGAAAAAGTTGCCCGGTTTGTGCCACTTATCTCAATCACGATGAAGATGATCACGTGCACAATGATAAAGTATACAGTCTCAGTCTCATCGCTTAGACTAACGAATACCTTAAGTTTAAATAACTAAAGAAGATATTCTGGTAATTCGTTACTTTGTCTAATCATTAAATAACTTTAAATAATTTTCATGACAGAGGCCTAATATAATTTTTTCTTTAAAAAATGACTGTAGAAGGTATGTGGGTTATTGGGTATGGGTCCCTCCTTTTTAAGCCTCCTCCAGTCTATTCATTTAGAGTAAATGGTTATCTTAAAGGTTTTGTGAGAAGGTTTTGGCAGAGTTCGTCGGACCATAGAGGTACGCCTGAATTCCCTGGAAGAGTTGTGACTCTCATTCTGTTGCAAGATCTCAAAAATAATGAACAGTTCCATTCAGACCTATATAAATATGATTTGGGGCCTGATGATAAAATTGAACATTTAACGGAGGAACAATTGCGAGTTTGGGGTTGTGCCTATTACATTGAGCCCAAAGATGTTGAATATATTAAAAACTATCTCGATGTTAGAGAGCAAGACGGCTATACTACACATAAAGTTCCATTTCATGTAGTCAGTATGTCCAAAGAGCATGCCGACGAAAAGCATGTCTTAGAAACATTACCTAGGAATGATGTTACAGGTGACTATTATCTCGAATCAGTGATATACATAGGCACAATCAATAACTCATCCTTTGTCGGACCCGAGGATATTTTATCTACATCTGATGTCATAAAGAAAAGTGAAGGTCCCAGCGGAAAAAATTTTGAATATCTTTTTAAACTTGGACGAGCAGTTTTAGAGCTAGATGAACTGGGCAAGTCGAAGGACAAATATCTCGAGAGCCTTCTCCAAAAGGTAATCACTTAGGATGTAGAACTCTTCTTTACTGCTACAAAATTTACTAATTGTAAGTATTCTTAAATGTTATATTTTTTTAAATAACTTAAATTTGAAGAAGACGCTCCGAGGCCACTTCAATCAACTTTGAGAGGTATATTATGCGATTCTGTGCCTCCTCGAAATTTCTATAGTATAAGTTGTCTCTAATAGACGGAAAAGTATTCCACTCATATTCGTCGTTGAATACCAGGGGGGCCATATACGAAACCCCAAAAAGCTGATTAATATAGCCGGTTCTCGCAGGCCTTGATTCGCTAGATAAGAACTGCTGATTGAATTCAATCATATTATCATTTCTCTTCCATCTATTCATGGCAATAAGAGAAGGCTCCATCTCTCCTGAACTAGTTAAAAACTTTCTCCATTCCTGAGCCCATTCTTGATATTTCATAGAGCTTGACTTCAAGTTATCTATAGACTTTTTGAACAAGTCAAAACTCAATGCAGATTCCCCATCGTTGGTCATATCCTCGGCATATTTCTCTAGATCACCTTCATAATCGCGTAATTTGTTGACTAAATTATCAAAATCATAGGGAACAATAGGTTCTTCAGCTAAACTTAAGATAACTAACGACAATGCCTCAACCAACTGTATATGTTTTTCCATGTTTACATCAACTTCAAACTTTTCAAAATTATCAAAATTATCGAAGCAAGAATTCTCGGGATACTTCATTCCAGAAAACTTCATTTCCAAAGAAGGGATATTCATCATATTTATAAAAGGAATGTAATTCTTGTTTTCGATCAAATTGTTGGATATTGTATCTGATTTTCCATTGCCCTTTTTGAAGAGGTCATAAAGAGTATTTGGATGATCCGAACCACTTCCATCGATCTTAACTTTTTTCAAGGCTCTTTTGATAACTTCATGTAAAAATGGATGCGCCTTAATGGAAAGTTCATTACCAGCAATTGCATCACTTAAATCAATATAGGCAAACCCTTCTTTCTTGATCAGTTCTCTTCTATTTTCAATCCATTCTGTGGCACCAGCTAAATTATATTCGGTAGCGTCGAAGGAGACAAAATATATAGACCTAGCTGGTGACCAATTGTACTGTCTCTGTAAAGAAGTAAACAACCTAATCAATTCAAGTAAAACAACACTTCCTGTATTTGTTGATAATGTACCATAACAAACTGAATCGCGACTTGCACCAATTATGATTCCTTTCTCTGGTTGTTCTCTTCCTTCAATTGATCCTACGACGTTCCAAATTTTATGAGTTGGTCTTTGTTCATTTGAGATCTTTAATTGGATCTTTATATCCGAGCCACGGATTCCCGAAAATGACACTTTATCCATCTTTACACCTTTACCCTGAAGTTTTGAGATTAAGACTTCACCATCTTTATATGATATAGGGATTGTTGGTATCTTAGGCGTAGTATCAGATTTCAGCCATGATAATCTAGACATATCACCTTCTGAGGACCAGCCAGGGGTTAAGAGATCGCCAGGAGCAATTCTAGTCAACCCAACGTTAAGTTTTTGAATAACATCATCTTGAATTACCTTGCGACCATTAGTCTCAATTTCAAATTTTTCGGATATAAAAACAACGGCTTTGGCCTCATTTCCCTGAGCTAGTAAAACTTTATTTGGATCAGGAGTTAGTCCGCCATATCTTACCAATAGTATAGCGCCTTTAATATCTATATTGTTTTGCTGTAGTTTTGAAAAATCCTCTGGAGAGCCAAATCCCGCATATATGTAAAAGCTCTCAAGTTCATCGATGGCATTGAGAGAATTAGGATTAAAAGCTTGAAATTCCATCCCATCCTCGTTGAATTCATTGAGCGTCGCTTCAAAAGATTGGTCTGATAGTCTTAAATAAGTACCTCCCTTAGAAAGAGTTGGGTAATTTGTATTGCTCCTTAATTCTGTGAAACTGTTGATTTTGATACCGTTGTTTGTCATGTAAGCTTCCATGTATTTACTGAGAGCCAAATCACCTTTAGTACCAGCTAAATGGGGCATCGAAGAAAAATACTCAAGGTTTTCTTTCATGACTTTTGGATCAATGTAATTTCGTATAGAAACACCCAATTTATCAATATCAAAGAATGTTCCCGACGTAAAAGCACCCCCACTGCTTCCAGTAACTCCGTCGCTAACTTCCCATTTTGTGACAAAGAAGACAAATGCCATCACGGAAAATACATAAAGCAACCTCTTCACCACCAAAGGATTACCCAACTTTAATATTGATTTCTCATATTGTATGTTAAAGTATTTGTAGCATTCGTATATGGGATCTATTATCCTAGTAACGGGATGCAAGACATTATTGCTCAAGTTATTAGCAAACTTTTTCGTGGCAATAGACGCACGAACAATAAATCCCTCTCTATCAACTGGCTCTGCGCCGAAGCCTTCTTCAATTTCGAATTGCTCGATAGATGGTTCATGACGTCCGTCGTTTATCGAATCCAGTTCAAGGTCTTCATAGTTTGGTGGAAGAGTAGGTAAGCCTCCTCTGCCGACCGCTAACGGTCGATAAGGGTTCCTGCTACTCATTAAATGCGATCTAGGATTTTCTTTAATCGGCTATAAAGCTGAAGTACTGAGGATGTATAAGTATCTTCGCTAATTATTTTGAATTTAGGCATTAAACAGGCTATGTGTATGTATATAAATGTGATTAAAGATTTCCGGGGGCAGGGGCAAAATGTAATTCGAGGGTATGTCCGAGAATATATTGCAAGCTCAGAACAAAATCCAATACTTAATACTCCTGACAGCTCTGAGAGCCCAGACCTCCGACATCAACTTTATTTAACAGAATTTTACTATCTTTAAGAGGTAAGTGGATTCACGTACACTCTAAATAAAATTTGAGATCATATACACTAGTAACTTTGGAGACCATTGAAGGTTCATAGCTTGCTATATCATTCTATCATGATAAAGAGCCGATAAAGAATCACGAAATTTGCTTATCACTAATGCAGAATTCCAAGGGAAAGGACAATAGGAAAAAGAATAAAAATACAGGACCTGTTATGGATGATCTTTCCCAACAAATAGATTATCAACTTCGGAAAGGCAATAAAGTTAATGGAAACAGCAGGAAGAATCAGATTTCAATCAACCATTTGCTAGATTTTCAATCATACAGGGATCTGAAGGAGTATCATGAAAAGCATTCGAAACAACAGAGCAAAAGAAGAAATAGCTCGACTAGGTATAGATCCAGGGAGAGGCCCAACAGGGCCCCTCTACATGGAATGTCTTTTATTAACGTGAACTATAAGTTTGTTGTTGACTACAGAAATGACTACAAGCCCCAGAAGATTGATCCTAATATACCGGTTGATTTAAGTGATATTTTGACAATTATAGTTCCTAAAGGAAACGCATGTCCTATTTGCCTTTCAGATGACCCGGTTGCACCAAGAATGATAACTTCATGTGGTCACATAATATGCTTGAGTTGTTTGTTATCCCTTTTAGATAATGATGTTCCTAAAGCGAAAAAGAAGGAATCTCAGGCAGTAGTTGAAAAATATCGTGAATGCCCCCTCTGCAGTTCTGTCATTCGAAAAAATGAAATAAAACCAGTCTTGATAAATAACATAGATGAAAGATTTGAGATTCCAAAAGTAGAGGAAGAGGTAGTACTTACTTTAATGAGTCGGCCACACGACAGAGTTTTTGCTTTGCCTGATGTAATGAACCAATATTTTGACGTTATTGAAGATTTTCCTTGGATCAACTATCAGAGAGAAGACTTTGGTTCATATCTGAGAATTTTTAAGGGTGACTTGGATTATTTATTGGAGATTTATGATGCAGAGAAGGAAAAGATCTCGTCGCTATATCAAGAAGAAAAGGAATTGTATTGTGATGATGGCAAATTTGTTCAGAAAGCAATAAATTCTATAAACGACGATATTGAGAGTTGGACTTTAAAATTTAGTAACCCTTTACCGTTAAAGAAAACGATGTCTAATCATGATGCTAAAAAACTAGGCGAATCATACTACTTTTACCAAACAGGATTCAATGCTCCTAGTATTTATGTGTTGTCACCATTGGATATTAAAGTATTAAAGAATACTTACAATAATGACTACTCGGCTTTTCCATCATCTATAGTAGCAAAGATAGAGAATATTAAATATGAGGAGCTCACTGCTGAAGCTTCCATGAGCAGATATAAGTATTTATCGCATCTTCCGATAGGAACGTTAATTGGTTTCATGGAGTGTAATTGGAACAATAATGAGTTTATCAGCCAGGAAACTTGGGAAAGATTCAAAGGAGATTTAATAAAAAGATCTCGAGGCTCGCATAAAAAATTTCAAAAAGAAGAGAAAGACAGGCGGAGAGCGTTGAATGAAGAAGAAAGGAAAGCTAGAGATTTCATTGAGATGGAAAATAACAATAATCACGATTTTGACCATGATAGGAGCTTCTATGAGCCAATGAATTTTGGAAGTCTTACCATTACCGACTATCGTGACCTCCCATCCTTACCAATGCATGGCTCCTCTGATAGTCATGGGTCAGGTAGTGATTCCTCCACTGATGCAGGTAATGCAAATGCTTTTAAAACCACAATTTGGGGTACGAAAATACCTAAAGTTGAAGAGAGCGATGATGAAAGTGAAACTTTCGATGCAGAAGAAATGATTCGTAAAGCGAGAGAAGCGAATGAATTAGAGGAATCTAGAAATAGGAATTCGAAAGGTAAAAAGAAGAAGAAGAAACTTGTTCTTCTCTCGTCAGATTCAGTCTGGTAGTATATAGATATTTTATATCAATGTATGATTCTTTCCTTAATTTTAGATCACAAGTCGTGTGATGTCAAATTATGGTACTTTCAATTATATCTTTGAGAGTACGTGTTTTAAGAATAGCCTATCTAAGAAATCTTAGCACCAATAATCTTGGAATGTCTTCATTAAAGAGAGTTAATTTGAAGTATGTACCAGCTATATTAGCTAATGAATACTTACTAACTTACTTATAGCTCAGTCTCTGAGTTACGAACGCTAACAGATGAGAATCTTCCATCGATACTAGGTGAATTGGGCTACGAACAATCGTTTACGCTCTCGGATTTGAAATTAGCATTAGGATATCTGACGGTTGCTATATCAGTAGCATTGTTTGCAATGGATAAAAAGTTTTCTTTTAAGGATACTTATTATATAACAGTAACGTCAATTCTTGTATATTTCATCATAAGTGCTGTTCTACTTTATCTCACTAGCTCCAAAAAGTACAAGAATAACAAATTTATTGGATATAACGATAATAAGCAAAAAGTTCTGGTGGCAGCATGGACCTCAAAATATGATCCAATTTATAACATGGAATTGGTGCTTAATGACGATCAGCGGAGATCAGTCTCAACTCAGATTGAGTTCAGTAAATTTTTCGACTCACATGGCTATTTCAAAAGAGATGCATTTATTAGTCTAATTAAAAATGATTTGAAAAGTCTTGAAAAGAAAGATATTTAATTAATAAACAATCTCATATTCTGTCAGCGCTTCAAAGCTATTTGTACGATCAATGATCTTTTCATCCATCTTCGAAAATCTTCTGCACAACGACTGTAGCAAAAAGGGGAATACTTTTATAACTGGCAAAAACTTAGCATATAACGGCGCACTAAGAGTCCCAATCTCACCACTGCTAACTTTATCGCATATCATTTTCGCCAAATCAGAGGAATCAAGTATTGGAGCAAAAAACTTTCTCGATGGGTCAACGTCTTGAAACATTTCCGTATTCAATTGTCCTGTGACCACTGAAAGGAAACGTACTGTAGAAAACTCTTTCATTTCTTCTACTAATGCTTCATGTATTTGAATTAGAGCAGCTTTCGAAGCTGAATAAATAGATAAATTTTTGGGAGCCAATATCCCAAGTATAGAGGATACCGAAACAACACTGAGTTTTGCATTTGGCACATCTTGTAATACATTGTAGATATGATTTTTTAGTATTTTTCTCAAGATCCAGATTTGTGCAAAAGTATTCACGTTAAATAGGTCTTTTACTTTGTCGTCCAGCAAATGCAAAAGCGATTCAGAATGCCTCTGTGCAGCATTATTCACTAATATGCTTATTCTTTCACGCTGAATAATATGGTCAAGCTTGGAGTTCAAGTCTTTGTAATCACCAACATCACAGTTGTAGTATTCAATTTTGTCTCCCCGAGTTTCTGGGTCTATCAAATCAATAATTATTACTTTACCTATATTCATTTCTATTAATGTATTAACAATATCTTTCCCCAACCCTCGAGAGCCCCCAGTTACTAGAGCCACGTCTTTTTCGTTGATAGGGGTCCACTTATTTGTATCTGGAAGTTTCGACTTCTTGTTCACATAATACAAAAAGTTAAGAACCAACACAATAATACAGAAACTAAGTGCTAACTCTCTAAAAGCATGTTAATATACGCTAATTATGTTAAATTAAGACTACTGAAAACATACTTCTTTAATATCAAAAGGCTCAAGAGCTCAACCCTATACTTGATCGCTCCGTAGACAATGGTATCGATATTCCAGGATAGGAACATGATTCAGAGTCAATAGCTTGAGATTTTTTTTTCCTAAAGAAAGAAAAATGAATGAAATAGGAAAGATCGTTCCGCACATATGTGATTAGAGACTTTCTATGTAAAATACAAATTTAAATATATTTAATTAAGGTCTCTGTGACTGAATATCATAATCATATCCTCTTGCAATGCCCACTGTACCCTCTTCAAGAGTTGCTCCTTTGCTGCTATCTTCTTCTTGTTCATTGAAATCGCTTCCCAATCCTGTCCAATGTCTTCCTTGCAAATGCGAAGCAGATGTCGATACAGTATTCTTCATAACAGCACCCCCATTAGGTCTGGAAGACAAAGCTTGGGAGCCCTTAGGAAGCAGTTTAGAGTCCTCAGTTGTGTTGGATATTTCTAGATGCCTTAATGCCCTTAAGGGTCTTGAAGTACTGACATACTGTCCAGTGACAGGATTAAATTCTGGTGCATCAGGATCTACTTCTTCGCGATGCGTTTTGTCTTTGTTTTGCTCAGCTTCGAAGTCTTCTAAAACCCTCCTAAAATCTGTCACCCATTGCCCCGTCCATTCTAATTCTTCTGATAAAGCCAAAAATAATTCATATGGCGTAACAATAGGTTTGTAGTACTCTTGATTATCGTCAATGATGATTCCCTGGTGGTCGCAGCCCAAAACACACCACAAATCAATGTTTTCGAAGTTAGCCAACTTCGCAACATTAGGTTTGCCGACAACGAATATATAATGCTTTTTATCTGATTCCTTTATCCTCTTGGTAATTGCATTGATCAAGTCTTTTGTGTTGGCCAATGATAAAGTGTTGACTAATAGTCCGATGGTGCCAGCCGATCTTGCCAAATGAAGAAGACGATAGCGACGCATTAAGCTGGGAAATGGGCCCAGCGAGATTTTTTTGTGAATCGTGTCATATATGGTAAGAGATTTAAATTTTGTAGTTAGCTGTAATAAACGAGGTGCTTCAGGAAACGTTATATGAAATAAATCAACGTCTGTTAAGCTCTCTACTTTATTTGATCCCACAGCAAATCTGTTTAGTAGCAACGGTGTTGTATCATCGGCTTTGAAAGGTTCGTACCCCAAAATAACAGCTTTGGGATTATCAGCTAAACTTAAATCTGCATAACTTAAATTAGGGTATTCTTTTCTTAATTCGCCATATATGCTTCGTAAGTGAAACGTATGAGGTGCATCTGCCATTAATAATATTTTCAGATTTTTATCACTATACCTCTCTTTAAAAAGCAGTACTACCTTTTCAATATTCATAATTGGCTTACCAAATACATAAGCTGATGAAATCTTGTCAACGGGGTTTAAGCAAGCATCTCCAAAATGTACAACGAGATCGCCATTAACATGCTCAGCTGCAACTTCATCTATACAGCAGGGTGAATAGGATGTATCTGCTAATATCCAAAGTCGTTGAGATTGAAAGTCTTCCATATCAACTCTAGAACAGCAGCTTCCCTCCTTACATCTCTTCTGCTCATGATTATTGATGTTGCACAGCGTCAATTCCAATCTTTTTTGAAGCTCATTGGTTATTATAGCAGAATCGCTAATCAAAGAATCAGGGAACTGAAGTGTTACTGTCTTGAATTTTCTAGAGAAGCCTTTTTCGCCGTCTTTTTGAGACTCCGTCTTCAAATAATCAGCTAACACATTTAAACTATAGTAATCAATGATGCGATCCACAAGCTCATCTCGATTTTTCACATCTCCTAAATGCTGCCTAAGTTTATCCTTCAGTTTAAATTTATCAAATGAATTAAAATGACTTTCATCTTGATATGAGGAGAGAACGGGAGCCACTGTCTCTCCACTTGACATATCAAACTTATTTGCACCTCTAAATGAATACTGCTTTAAGAGAGAAGTAATCAAATTTATCCATATGTCGCAAAACATTACATAAGCACCAGAATCACCATTTTGAATATTGAGACATGACAGTTATATCTATTTAAGTTAAGCTATTTACCCAGTCATTAGGCACCGGTCTATAAGCAATGAGTGTACCCTTAGCCAAGTTTTTAATATTCACCTCTCCTTGCTGAACTAGTTTGACGTTTTTAACATTTTGCTCTGCAACTATAAACAGATGTCCTGTATTTTGTAAAACCACTGAAGTATGATCTGGATCACCAGCAGTCTGAACACTTCCCGTCGACTTATCTTTGAAGACACACGAGGTATACTGTAAGATATCGCCCCTTCTAACTTCATCGGAGGGCTGGGTATCATTTACAGGTGAAGCACCTTGTTCAGTGCCTTGCACTTGGAGAATTGGATACCCATGAATGTTATACTCTGATACAAAGGCATGATTTCCGCAGCCCTTTTGTAACGCATCATGGCCAAGATCCCAGCATTCACCTCTTCCAACTTGTTGGCCGAATCTGTGTTCACACCAAGACGCGACGTATTCACCAAATCTTTCGTGATAACTCATGAGCTCTCCACGAGAAGGTTGGGAAGTGACTATCGGAGACGGAGTATGTTTCTCGATCTTTCCATCCGCATTCATGAAGTCAGAATTTCTCCAATTGATAACGATGCGTAAAGTAGACAAATCTTTGAGTCTGACAGTTAATGTTCTAGTGTGTGATACGACAGGGCCAGAAGAACTATACCTATATGAGGTCAGATAATTAAGTCCCGATAATGACGTTGGCAATTTAAAGTGGTTCACATCGTACCAGCCTGTCGTTAGCTCTAAATCGATGGTCGGACTCTGTGTCAGCACTGGCGGGGCTGCTGCCTTTGGTCTGTTGTAGTTTCTCGAAGGTGGTGGTGGCGGTGGGGTTGACGATGCACTTTTTGGTCTTAATGAAGAACTCAAAACAGAATGAGAAGACCCTGGAGAATTTCCAAACAGACTTTGACTAGATTCAAGTCTCAGTAATACTGGTTTCGGCGCAACATGTGGTTTAGGTTTTAATTGAGGCTTCTGCTTAGTGACAGGAGGCTGGGGCTTCAGAGTGCTTTTGCTTTCTTCTCCATAAGATCCTGGTATCACTTGCGTTTCATTCATTTCTGGCTCTTCTTGAGTGTTAAGCTTTTGGACCCTTTTCGATATTTCTTCCGCAAAATTTGGCATTTGAGGAATACTTGCAGATGATGAAGTGCTACGTTTGGAAACAGCTGGAGCATTTGCAGTCTCCATATGGGGAGGCAGAGAAGTACCCAAGGAAGTTAGGTTTTGAGGCTTTTTGGCAGGTTTTGGCGGTGGAGCCTTCTTCTTGACTGCACTTGATGAAGAACTCGTCGAAGACGGTCTTAAAGGCATCGGTGGTGCACTAACTTCATTTAAGTTCACAGTTGATGAATCCGGCGACGTTTTAGATACGGATACAGGATTCGAATCCGGCCTTGGATTTGAATACTGATATTCATGATCAGGACTAACGGTGTGGTTCAGAACATCATTTGTTCGTCTAATTGGGGGAGGTGGTTGGAAACTGGATGGATTTAACTGCAGAGTGTTATTTCTGGAGGGCAATGGCGGAATATGGCTAGGACTCTGACGCAGATTAGTTGTCTGACTTTTCACTGATTCTGCCGATTGTCCTCTATCGCGACGAATTGGTGGGGCCGGAAACGAGCTAGGATCTGGAAGTGGTCGCATAGGTTTTGGAGAAATAGCCTCCAGTTCAACAATTGGTTGAGCTGGAATACTACTATATTCATTCTGAGGGATTATTTGGGGACCAGATCCAACGTTTGGTGTTGTTGCAGAATAGATAGGCGTCTCGGTGACTTGTGGGGTGCCTTGATACTGGTCTTGGATCCCTTGCAGTGGAGGAACTTGTACCTGGTATCCTTGGGGTTGCTGCTGGTATGCTGGTTGAACTTGTGGGGATTGTTGTTGCTGCTGTTGCTGCTGCTGATACGCTGGTTGAGGTTGAGGAGGTTGAGGAGGTTGAGGAGGTTGTTGCTGCTGTTGCTGATACGTTGGTGGAGCTTGTGGAGGTTGTTGTTGCTGCTGCTGCTGATACGTTGGTGGAGTTTGCGGAGGTTGCTGTTGTTGTTGATACGCTGGTTGAGCGTGGGCAGGCTGTTGCTGATATCCTTGAGGCTGCTGTTGCTGATATACTGGTTGAGCTTGCGCAGGTTGTTGATACCCTTGAGGTTGTTGCTGCTGCTGGTATCCTTGGGGTTGTTGCTGGTATCCTTGAGGTTGCTGTTGCTGTTGCTGATACACTGGCTGACCTGGCGCAGCCTGTTGCGACGAATACACCGGAATCGAAGTACCAGTTTGGTGCTCGTGTATGTCATGAATAGGCGCAACTCGTTGTGGTGGAGCTGGTAATGTATTGAGGTTATCATAACGGACCGGTGCAGACGGATACAGCTGTAACTGTGTATCCTTTTCTTGCTCAGTAGGCTCTATTCCCTTTTTTCGAGATTCACTATTCTTATAGGTACGATAACCCGCTTTTGAAATGGCTTTGGTACCATGTCCAATTCCCTTGACGGTAGCTACACCTGCTGCCTTAAATGTGCCCTTATTATTCTCCCAAAACGACATTTGTATCTTTTAACTCCAAGAAGTTTTTAATCAAATTAAACGTTTCGATGTTAAGCTTTAATTAGTGCGCACAGTAAACGTTCAAATCTTATTGTTTAATAGGCTTTTATGTAGGTTTAACTAATAATTAATACAAAAAGGTAGCTGAAAATACTACCAAAAGCTAAACCACAGCTTAAAAATACTGTAGTGAAGCCACCAGCAGCTTCTTTTTCGTCATCATTGTCACAATAATCACCTACTATCATGAAACAAGAAGTGCACAATTGACCATTTGTTAAGCCGAATGAAAGTTGCAAAAAAATGTACCAAAGGTCAGAATCTATAACAGCACTGGACTTTCCAGAGGCAGTATATGGATGTATGTTGCATGTTAAGAACAACGGAATGAACAATATCCGTGCCAATGAATATAGGATTAATTTCTTAGGACTCTTGATAAGAATTATTGAGTTTGGGGTACCACAAAGTATGCGACCTAACAAATCACCTAAACTCCATATCAAGTATATGAATGGAATAAAAATTTTCTTTTGAAAGAAAACATTTTTAGAATCCACATGAGTAGACTCGACTGTTGATGCGAAAACGGGAAATACCAAAGTTATACTGAAGGTCAAAAAAATAGTCGATACAATAAGTTTCAACTTGGACCAAAGAAGCGAGAAAGGGACATGCTTTGATTGAACCATTGGGACCTCGTTTTGATCCTCATCACTAAGATCAGTTTCTTGTGGGGTGTCGCGCAAACTCTGGTACTGTGCTTGCCGATTATAAAAGTTAGTGCATTGAAGGAGGAACATTGCCACTATGGAAATCAAGCTTGCTGTGATGTAATAGAAGAAAACCCCGAAATTTTTTTGCACGAAATAATCGTCTCCAGTTGGTCTATGATTATTTTCTCCAATTATTAAAATCGATGCTATTAAAGCAATACTCGGTAAAACTCCAGCAATGGCTTGTCCAACCATTACAGCATTAGCATATATGCCACCCCAGACATTGACAATTGCCATAGTACCGTTTTGGGCAAGGCATGTTGCCATCGAAGAAACCAACACGGTTAGCATGAGCATGGTAAAAAAGATAGAATCTTTCATTCTAATGAAAATATTAGTGACGCAAGTGAGGGCCATCAAAACAAAGACCCCAATGGTAATAGTCAACCCGAAGTTCACTCGGTGGTTGTAATTTACTCCCGACTGTGACTGTGACAAATAGTAATTAAAAAGTGTCGACGTAACTGTAGAAATGCTCATCATAGTCGACGAATATATCTTAATCAACGACGGGGAATGCGCAAAACGCTCTCCATAGTATGCCGAAGCAGCTAAGAAGCAGTTCCATGGCCATAATAAAGATATTCCAATCGCTATAAAAGTCATATACTTTAGATACGATAAATGAACCTTCAATATCGATCCGACTTTAAATATCACTGGATCATACTTTACTGGTTCAGGGCCCCCCTCTTCTATTGACCCATGTTCTGACATATCGTCTAGTTCAATAGAGTTCGTTTGTCTCGTCAAACCGGCAACTTGTGTAGATAAACAACTTTGCAAATGGACTTTGATAAGGAAATATCAAAATAAGTTCATCGACGCGACTTCTCTATCAAAAATTCATTGTCCTTAAATAGCATTTACAAACTTATCTAAATCCACTTTCCCATTGGAGTAAAGTACATTTAAATTATAGTGATTGACATTGAAGAGCAGTATGTCTAAATCTATTCACAAGTATATACATTTTGCACGAATTGGGAGTACGAAAAAGTTCGGTCTCTCTAAGTTCTAAGCCACTGACGACTACATTATAAAGCGACAGGGCATTCGTTCTTTGGATTAAGAACAAATTTCCTCAATATATTCTTTTGAGTATGCGGTTTAAGCTCCTGAACTGGAGTCTTTGACATCTTTGATAGGACATCTTCTCTGAAAGAAGTGAACTCATCACTCATGAGCCTTTCTAATATGGGCTTGATATTAGCTATCCTATTTTCAAGATTTGATAAATCCTTTGCAGATTCGTTTATTTCCAATTTCAATACTGGTTCAGTAGAGGGCCATGATTTGATACCATACTTTTCCTTGATTGAGTTAATTTCATTCAAGAGGAATTGTCTGTCGGCAGAAGGATCAGCCAGTAAAGACCTGGTTATCTGGTCTAACTTCCTCAAATCTTCTACTTTGTTTATCACTTTTTCGAAATCATTTCTCTTTTCTATGAATTCTTCGACCTTTTTTTGTTCTTCGTTAGACACCTTTTCTTTCGCCAATGTTTCATACAATGCAAACTGTTGACCCTTGTTAACCTTGATTTCTGCAATAGCAAAATACTTGCGAGCAGATATCTTTGGAATGGCCTCTATTCTAACTATATCGCCTTCTTTACAAAGATTTCCTTCATCATGAACTAAGTAATCTTTTCTCTTAATGATTTCCTTATGTACCCTATTATCATATGCCTTGGTTTGGACTCTAACTTTCACAGTCTTGGTCATTTTGCCTTGTGATACCACAAGGCCAATAAAGTTTTGTCTAGCCATCGCTGAATATATTCTTTATTTGGATGTTCCGTACCGGTATTGCTCGTAGCTCAATATTTTTCTTAAAAATAAGTGAATGAAAAATTATGAAGACAGTTCCAGGCACGTGATTGTTTTTTAAAAAATTTCAATCAAATCTTCCGAACATGCTTCATACGGAAATAGTCGAGTTAAGTTTTTTTATTAATGTTTTCAAAATACAAATAAAGTTCTCTATACATCTAGCTAAGTATTTCATTCAAACATTTTTCAAACTTGCGTACTAAAAGTTCATTTTCTTCAGCCGTACCAATAGAAATTCTTAGAGCACCTGTGCAATTTAACTCCTTACCTCTAAATCTAACGACGACCTGATTCTCAATTGCTAACTTCTGATACAATTGATAAGCAATATCATTAGATGGAGTTCCACTTTTATCTAATACTTCTAAAAGCAAAAAGTTTGCATCTAATCCTCCAATATTCCTACCGATTCCTCTCAATTCTTGTAATTTCTCAAGAACAATTTGACGTTGCTCGACAATAGTATTAACGTACTCTTTCATTTTCTTTAAACCGTCATTTGAATGAGTAGCCTTTATGGCGATGCTTGAGGTTAGCGAAGAAATATTGTAAGGATATTTCATCGAATTTAAGTGGAAAGACAATTGAGTCGAGCAATACGTTATTCCTAATCTTATGCCAGCTAATCCAAAAGATTTTGACAATGTTTGCAAAACTACCAAGTTTTGGTATTGGTTGACAAGTGTACATACCGACTTGCTCCGTCCCTTTTCATCTAGAGATGCGAAATCAATATATGCCTCATCAACCACAACAAGACCATTCCATATCTTGCTTAACTTCTCAAGTAACAATACGACATCCTTCGGGTTAATTAGTTTTGCAGTTGGGTTTCCAGGAGAGGTGAGGTAGAGTATTTTAATAGCATTGTCGTTGGACAATTTCTCAATAATCGCTTCACGATCAATTTGAAAGCTTGGATATACTAACGGCACCTGGCTAATCCCAACGTCATTTACAGTTGCACAGATGGAATACATACCGTAGGTAGGGGGGCATGTTAACATCTTATCTCTTCCAGGGACGCAAATGCACCTCAAGAGCATATCTATACTCTCATCAGAACCGACCCCTAGGCACAAGTTATCGGTGGTTAGTTTGAATTTATCGTAATCGTTTAAGTACTCGGAAGCATTAGAATTACGAAATTGAACAATCTGTTTCTTGAGATCAACTTGATGAGGGTCAGGGTATCTATTTAACTCCAACGATTTTTGATCTTCTGTTAACGAGCTCAAAGCAGGTCCATAGGTATTCTCGTTTGCATCCAATAAAATTCCAACTTTAAAATCATCTCTGGCACACCTATATGGTTCAAGAGTCAATATATTGGGCCTCACAAGTTCTTTCAAGTTGAACATTCTTCCTTGAAAGATATTTCAGTTCTTAATCAATATATATAAATCAGTGATATTTTTCATTTATGACTCTTCGAGAGTATCGAGGAAAATATAGATAGAGACTGCATATATGTCTACAGGTCTAATTAAGTAGCATTGGACTATCATATCACTATTTAAATAAATAACAGAAGAAAGAACATAGTCAAAAAACCTTAAAATTGGTCTACAAGTGTTATTGAGGTGTTCAAAAAAGATGGAATAAACTTTCTTTCTTCAATTGGTGCCATTACGTGTTACTGAGCGAGAAAAAGGTGGTCCCAAGGTTCTCGATTGATCTTCACTCAAATATGAACCATTGCGCACCATCTTTAGTAGTCTAGATACAGGTGAGATCAACTTTGGTGTTCCTTGAGCCTTTCAGAACTTCCCTATATTAGTTTTCCTTTATTGAGTTCAAGATTTAGGATAGAGGTTGAGGTTGACCAGTTTGCATAAGGACAGATGGTGACGTCTTTTGACGCTTATGTACGTAAGGCTTACATTTATTCTGGATTTTAACTATCACCGCACTAAGCGTCTCTGAAAATCCGCGATTGGGATATTGCGAATACTGAGCAGACCCTTTCATGGAGATAGCTGCTCTTTTCTCTTTCCGAGAGTTCAGAAAGAACCTTGAGAGACTGAGATGCGACCTGGATACTAATGTTGCTTTCTCACTTGAGTGTAACAGCTCATCAAGTAAGTCATTCATCGAAAGCTGCTCGCCATATCCAGAAACATCTCTTTCATTATGAAGAGCATTGTGCCAGCTGCTACGACAAGATCGTTTCTTGTCTTCCATGTCTTCGAGTCTTTCAATAGTTGGAACGTCACTCAAATTTGGTCTATGTGTCTTCGGAGAAAATATCTTATTTTCTAATTCAGTACTTTCACTACTAGGCTGATTGAATGTATTCACATTCGGTAATTTGTGACCTTTCGGGCCCTTCTTATTTATTACTTCAAAATTATTTCTTGACGCCTTATGGAATTCAAATGACTCTATTCTTTCTGAGAAAGGCTTGATAATTGAATTAACTTCTGATTTTGGATTATTGCGGTCACCTTGATTATTTTTTAGAAGCATGGGAGAGAAAGATGACCCTTTGAAACTACCTTTTTCTTTCCAGATAGATGATTCTTCTTTCTGGTATTCTTTTTGTCCGACTGGAGATTTAGCAACATTATCGGGATGCGAGGACCCAAGCTCTTGTTGCTTATCTTTTGCGATTAGCTTGAGTTGGCTTTCAGTTTCTTGTTCTTTTGATTTCGGTTTTTGCTTTTCTGGATTCCTTCTGTGAAACACTTCTTTGATTAATCTGATCAGCTTCTGGCCAAAAACGAACGATGATTCATTTACATGACGGCCACCAATACTTTGATTACCTAAATTCCCTTCAATATCGCCCGATAATTGATCGCTAGTTTCATTTTCATCTCTGAGACTTAAGTTACCTACTTTTCTCTGCTTAGTCTTGAGATGGCTCGCTATACTTGGAGATTCTTGTATTAAGCTCTCCTGTTCCTCTGTGGCGGAAATAATAACTTTAGGGCTATCGAACTTATTGCCATCACACTTTTCTCTAGACATAGTATTACCTCCTTTAGCCTTTTCTTTTACCGTGATACTATCTTGAATCTGTTCCCTTGCGGAAGTACCGTTTATATTACTGCGAATAATATTCTCTCGAGTAGAACCATGGTCCATTCCAGGTACATTAATATTTGCTATGTTACTCCCTGTACTCCCACAGAGAGAATTAAAGTAGTGAATTAAGGGCGTTATAGTAGCAGGATTATTTGAGCCTGAGTCTACTGAGATGCTTACCAATGAAGCTTGATCGTCGAATGTCTCTGTCATATATCTAATCAAGAGCTGCTGCTGTAGTTTGGTTTATTTTTGCAGCTATATTACATTGTATCAAATCTTTCTAAAATAACGGCATTGTGTCAAGTCCAATATCGCAGACCAACAATGCATCCTGGACCATCCAATTTTGGATCATGTGGGTATGCTATATGTTCACAAATAGGTCACTTCTGTAACGCTTTCTAGTTGAAAGGGCCGGAAATTCAGTTATCTCGGTGATACCCTCGTTTTAAAAATGTCCGATCTTTAAATTTTCTTCGCTTATACAAATAATAGAGACAAAATAAGATCATATTCAGTATAATAACTAGAGCAGAGCCCATTTTGTCGTATTTAGAGCCAATATGAACGTGTCATTGAGTTATGATCCTAAATCAAAGAAGTTGGAAGTACCTGATGAAGTCGACTTAAAAGTTCCTGAACTCAAATTGGAAGTTAACCAGTTGAATACCTTAACCTCAGAATTGATAAAATGTGGATCAGACGTCCCACCAGTGCCATCAATGGAAGGATTTAATAAGGATTTATCTAGAATGATCAAAAAGCTCTACGAAAGTGGCGTCCAGGCCTTCAAAGCAGGCAAATTCGAAGATTCTGTAAAGCAGTTTTCGATAGGTCTTGAAATGATATCAAGGAGAAATAAATTCGAACTGTTTCAAGGTACACTTCAAGAATTGAGTTTATTTCTCATGAGTAGAGCAGATGCGTATCTCAAAACTCAAGAATATATCAAGGCATTTGGTGACGCAGATATGCTTATAGGAATGATGATATGTACACCAGAGAATTTCTTGAGAAGAGGTGTAGCAAACTATTTCCTAGGCAATTACGAGTTAGCTAGAGCTGATTATCAAAGAGGTTTGGCTTTTGACGATAATAATAAGAGATTGGAAACTGAACTTGTCATTTGCTTAGATAAGATTTTGGAAGAAAATGGTGACTATCTTTGAAATAGAGATTTATTGTCTACTTTTGTAAAATAGGGCAGTCTGGAAACTTCCCAGTACTTCCATTACTATCACTTATCTTATAGTTTGTATGGAATTCGATAAAACTAATAAATATAGATTTCTCGACACTAATATTAATAGTGCGATATATATTATGATATAGAAATTCTGATAATCAAAGCCTTATTAATCTTTTCATTTTAACAATATTGACTCAAAAACTATAACATAAGTGATACATGTGATGATAGATATTTGTGAATAGAGATGAACAATAATAATATCGTTTATATATCGTCAGATGAGAATGATGATGCAGTAGACCTGTTGAAACGACAAATTATTAATGATAAGAACCGAGATATTTCAAATGGATCCAAAATACCTGTCATATCATCGAAGAAAAGACGATTAGAGTCATTGAATGCGCGTTCAAATCCTTTTCGTCCTTCTAGTCCTTCTAGAGAACCGATGCATCTGCAACTACGACTACAGAATGATATACAAGGGAGAGTATTTAGTGAACAAGGATCTCCAATGGAAGTCGATTCCCCTATTGAGGTTATAAGTATTAGTAGCGATGATAATGAAATGATAAACAGAGATAATTATGGTCGTCTGGAAGACGTCTCCAACAATATAGAACCTGAAAAGAATTTTGATTTATCACATATCAGTATCAATGATGAAAATGGTACTACTACAAATTTAAGCAGCGATAGAGAAAATTATGTTCTTGGAAATCGCTCTGATGATGATCTTGTTATCTTAAACCCTGAAGAAGCTTATAAAAGTGGTAAGTTTAAACAATCCTCATTCGAGAGAAGACCTGTGGAGGTACTGAATTATCCTGAGCCCATGATATCCCCTTTTGATAATATGTACAATCAGCCCGCACCTGTTCCTCATGTTTCAGATGCTGGATTTTCTGCAAATGACCTTAAGGAGAAACAAGGAAGAGAAAAGTTAGAAAACTACTTGCGCGAACAACAAAGTCTAGTTGAAAGTTATTTGCCTGCCTCAACTGAACAATCCAAGTATAAGGATGCCTTGAAGAGTATTTCAGATGTTGTGCTTAAACTAACAGAACAAGCGAAGGTATATCAATCTAGAGGAGATTCTACTCTGATGGAGATGTGGGGTAGCATTAATAGTATTCTAGAGGGTAAGATTTCACAGTTAACGGCTGCTAAGAGGAAATTCAGTGAATCCAGATCAAAGTTTGATACAATTGTGTCAAGGTTAAACATGGTAAATGATGGTATAAGAAGTCTACGTGTCACTTTAGGTTATGGCAACCATGAGAGCCAAGTGCCATCTTCTCAATTTAGAGGGTACGCATCCAATGTATACTCTCATAATACAGATGACGAACATATTCAAGACTTACTTGACAACATCCGACCTGATGAAGAATTAAAAGATGGTTTAGAGTTGACACCCACGGATTTATCAATAAATTTAATGAAACATCAAAGGATGGGACTCGCATGGTTGTTAAGGATGGAAAATTCCAAGGCATTGGGCGGAATTCTAGCAGATGATATGGGTCTAGGTAAGACCATTCAGGCTCTTGCATTGATTATGGCTAATAAACCAAAGGGAGATGAAACTGTGACTCTAATCGTTACGCCTGTATCTCTTATGAGACAATGGGTTGCTGAGATTGAGTCAAAGCTAAAAAGGTCTGCTAATATAAAGATTGGTATATTCCACGGCGCTGAGAAAAGGAATTTACTGACATTCAAAGAATTCGAGAGATACGACATTATCATGACATCGTATGGTACCCTTTCTTCTGAATGGAAGAAGCATTATCGTGAAGAGCTTCTGAAGGAATCGAGCTCACGAAGTAGAAACATACTTCCATCACTTTCTTCCGGAGGTCAGAGTTATACGTCGCCATTTTTCACCAGAGAAGCCAACTTCTATAGGATAATTCTTGACGAGGCTCAAAACATCAAAAATAAATTTGCTATTGCTTCGAAAGCATCTGCATGCTTGAAAGGAAAGTATCGGCTCTGTTTATCTGGTACGCCTATACAGAATAATATTGATGAGTTATACCCCCTCCTTAGATTTTTGCACATTCGTCCGTATGATGACGAAGTCAAATTTAGAGCTGATATTGCGTTACCGTTGAAGTCTAATAACGACTCTTATGATGATTTTGATAAGAAGAAGAGTTTAAGGAAACTAAGAGCTTTACTAAGGGCTGTGTTGCTTCGTAGAACTAAAAATTCCTTGATCGATGGTAAGCCAATTTTGCAACTACCAGAGAAGCATATATTGGAGGACAATGTCACTATGCGAAAAGAAGAGAAAGAATACTATCAATCTTTAGAGGCGGGTATTCAAAAAAAGGCACGTAGTCTATTAATCGAAAGAAGCGGCAAGAACCCTGGCATAGCATCAAACATCTTGGCTTTACTATTGAGGTTAAGACAGGCATGTCTACATAGCTTCCTAGTAGAAATAGGCCTACTGAAATCTGAATCTGCAGATGTCGCGGAATATAATTCCAAAAACTGGAGGTCATCATCTCAGAAAGTCAGGAATTTAGAACCAAAAGTGATTGATAATGTGAATTCAGTTTTGTATAATGCTGACAGTACAGGAATATTCTCCTGTCCTCATTGTTTTAATGTGACATCTTATGAATCAGTCATGATCTTCCCAACTTGTGGTCATATGATTTGCTTCAAGTGTGTTGATGATTTCTTTGCTGATAATGATATTAGCGAAGGTCAAGATGATACAAGAACAGCATCGTGTAATCAATGTGCAAAGCCGATCAGAGACTCTGATTTGATAGAGTATGAAATATACCATAAAATAATAATTGAAAAACTAAGTGACATGGAATTATCAACTCAATTTGATCAAAAAAGCTCTTTACTTTCTAAAAAATCAGTTGACTCCGTTATAAAAGGCTTGATTAAAGATAACAATGGCACATTTCCTATGTCAGCTAAGTTTGAGAAATGCTTATCTCTTATTAATGAGGTTTTTGAGAAGTTTCCGAATGAAAAGATAATAATCTTTTCCCAATTTACTACTTTATTCGATTTGATTAAGATTGTGCTAGACAGGGAGAACATTCCTTTCTTAAGGTATGACGGTAGCATGTCTGTGGAAAAAAAGAATTCTACCATTAAAGAATTTTATCAAGGGGACAAAAAAGTTTTACTTCTTTCCTTAAGATCTGGTAATGTTGGTCTCACATTAACATGTGCATCCCATATTATAATGATGGATCCTTTTTGGAACCCCTACGTGGAAGAGCAAGCTATGGACAGGGCTCACAGGATTGGTCAAGAAAGAGAGGTTCACATTCATAGGATTTTGATGGAAAATACCATTGAAAGCAGAATTATGGAGTTACAAAATTTAAAAAAGGAGTTGGTCAGCAATGCCCTCGACGAAAATGGTATGAAATCAGTTAGTAAGCTTGGACAAAGAGAATTGGGTTTCTTATTTGGCTTGAATACCTTGCGATGAATCTAATTCGTGTATGTATTTATATTTTCTTTAATTATTTATAGACATCAGAATTGATGATTAGCTTTTAAAGTTTTTGACTTTTGCTAAATTCCTTAACCAGTCATCTTCACTTATAAGTTTATGTTTGTAATATATTTCCAGGACTATAGCACACTCAAAATCCACATTAAATTTGGCCAATGAATTACATAGATACATTATTTGTAAAATTAAGCCGTCTTTTTGCCCTTGTCTATCAACGTCATCCATTTCGTCTACCCCGTTTATTTCATCTGAGTCCCCAGGATGGAGAATTTCCGGTAAAAATTTGATCAAATTTTGAGAAAGAATAGACACTAAGCTTTTAACGAATTGGCCTATTAAGATGCTGTCTTCGCCTTCTCTTCTTTCGTTGAGAAGCTTCGAAACTGGATTGAAAATTGCATAGTAAATTGATAAGGAGCTGAAAATATACTCTCTGTAAATTTCGATTAATCTCTTCAAATAAGTGAGTTTATTATATTTTATCAAAGGCTCCAAATTTGCTAACTCATTCATGATGAATTTGAACCTTGCATTCAAGTATATTATCTTTAAGAACTTATCTTTTTGAATTTGCTTCGCCTGTTCGGATTCATCACTTTCCTCCGAGAAACTATTCAAATCAAGTTTATTAAGAATTTGAAATATTTTTAAGATATTTTTCTGGCTCAAGTTTTTATTCAATAGCCTGACTAAACCCTTTGTCATTAACTTCAATTCTAACTGAATCTGCTTTGATATCTTTTGGAAGACTGCCACCTTCGGAAACCTGATAACTAAAGTCTTCACTAACATGGAAATTTCTAGCGACTCTTGATAATTTCCTTGCAAGATACACAATTTACATAATGTCGGCAACTCCAATAAGTCCAACACGGAGTCCATGTTTGATAATATCGAGGCATTAATACGAATCGAACGTCGGGATTTTTCGTTGCTTGATATCTCAAGTTTGGTGGAATGACTCTCAAAATCTGAGAGCTTGAGCATCGAATCAACTGAGTTGCGATATGTTTCTTGTAATTCTTTCTTTAGACTCGCTAAATCGTCGTTTATATCGATAATCAAGTCTGTGTTATTGTTGGTAATTCCTGCCAACTTTATATCAATGGACCGCTGTTGCTGGTCTAGCTCTGCAATTTCTTCCATCAATGTCTTCCCTTTGGAATTTGTTTCGCTTACCGTAGTGTAGCTTTCGGTAGATAACAAATCATAGTTGATCAACAACTCATTAAGGAACGCTTTCGCTGTCTTTTCACCCTCTATATCATCCTTTAAAAAGTCTTTTAGTTCTGGTGCTATATCTCTTTTTAAGCTATCCAATAAGATATCCGACATGCCCTTGGTTTCTTTAAATATTATTCATTTGGTGTTTATCGATTTTTTATGTGTTCTTCACCAAATTTTTTGTGATACTATAGATATACGTTCATTGCGAGAATTTAATTAACGAATAGATAAATACCATCAGATATTCACAAAAAGACTGTCGCTAATCATGGAAGGATTGTACTTCAACATTGATTATGGCTACCTTGAAGGTGTAGTTAGAGGTTATAAAAGCGGACTATTGGGAGGTAGTCAGTATGTTAATTTGACACAATGTGATAATTTGGATGATTTAAAGCTTCAGTTGTCCTCAACAGATTACGGTAATTTCATGGCCAATTACAATGGACCCTTATCCACTTCTGTGATACAAAGCTATCTTTGTAGGAAGATGTATCAACAATTTCAGTATTTGAAGAGTCAATCTTCGGGAAAGTTGACCAAGTTTTTAGACTACATTAGCTACGGGTATATGATTGACAATGTATCGTTGATGATTACAGGCACATTACATGAGAGGGACAGATCAGAGATATTGTCCAAGTGTAATCCGTTAGGCTGGTTCGATACATTGCCAGCTCTATCTATTGCGACAGACATCGAGAGTTTGTACAATACGGTTTTGATCGATACTCCGTTAGCCCCTTTTTTCAAGAACTGTTTAACAGTAGATGAGTTGGATGACTTAAACATCGAAATTATCAGAAATAAGTTGTATAAAAATTATTTGGAATCATTCGTCGAGTTTGCTGAAACTGAACTCTCATATCCTGATAAGGACATTATGACTAATTTGTTGAAATTTGAAGCAGACAAGAGAGTAATTAATATCTCTTTGAATTCCTTGATAAATCCAGAGTTAACTGCAGAAGATAGATTATCTTTGTTTCCCTCTGCTGGGCGCCTTGAGGTGTATCATAATCAATTGTCCCAAATCGATGATGTTGAACAATTAAAGCAGATCGTGGAATCAATTGGCGAGTACAAGGACTTTTTCAGCGAAACAAATACTAGCGATTCTGGGGCAGGCTCAAAGAACTTACAAGACTGGTTCTACTTGTTAGAAATGCAGTACTGTAAAAATGCCTTTGCTCAGCAGTTTACCGTGTCTGCCGTTTGGGCTTGGCTCCGTTCTAAAGAGCAGGAAGTAAGAAACATCACATGGATCGCTGAATGTATTGCTCAAAATCAAAAGAGCAGAATCGAGAACTACATCTCCGTTTTTTGATCTTTTATTGTATCTGTTCCAACTGTGTCTACTTGTATTCCAACTGTTTACATTTTTATCCTATAACTATAATACACTTTTAAGAATAGTATTTATCCGTAAGATTATTTCAATCCCTATTTTTCATATAGATTATTCATCGCTTTCCTAATTATTAGTATAAGGCTTTATTCTGTCTATATCTCGTTATTTTAGTGAGTAATCTCGTAAAAGATATACATCACAGAAATCAAGGTATATGCTTCTAGGGGCAAATCCAAATCTCAAGGCTTGCTGTGAACATAGATTATGACACTGTTGTTCGTAGCATCACAGTTGTCGGAAAATGATCTGAATGGGACAGCTTTTACGGCGTCAACGAATCAAATAACTCATTTAACGGATATCTTTCAAGCAGCTACATCGATAAATTCTCAAGCACTACTAATAATTAAGCCTACTGGGATCATTCTTTATACCGAATATAATCATATTACAAACTTCCAAGTTTCAATAGATCCTTCATTGTTCCTAATATATAACTTTTTTGCAAATAGTCAAGAAACGGAAGTGAGATTAGGAATAGATATAACTTTGGTTTGTGATGCTTTTGCTTCAGTATCTTCCTCAGGTTCATCAAAGAGGGCAAAGGACCCGAATGTTGTTGATAATGATGTCACTTGCTATATTACCTATAATGGGGAAGGTTCCCCTTTGACTATAGAGTTCCAAGATGGTTTAATGACAGAGAAACTTGAGTTTTTAACTTTCTACTCAGACTTAGAGTATCCCTTCGATCACATTGACGAAGCTGAAGAGCGCTTGATAATCAATCACGATGACATAGAAGTAGAATTGATGTTGAAGAGCGACGTGTTTTTTAATTTGTTACAAGATCTACAACAGATAAGTACTCAAGAAATGTTCATGCATGTATCTAATGAATCCAATCTGTCCAATAATGAATCTAGCAAAGCATACAGTGGGAGTTCAAACTTTAACCAGTTGAGCTTCATATCGTGTGGCCCAATTGGATTTCTGAAATTGATATACCCTAATGAGAAAACAATACTCGAGAAACTAGAGATCTATGATACAAAACATACGAGACCTACAAAAGGTTCAGTACTATCATGCTACAGCTTCGAGAACTTTTCAAAAATCTTGAAATCTGTTAAGATCTCTAGCAAATGTAAATTATTAAAAGATACAAGAGGATTGTTATCTGTTCAGCTTCTATGCAAAAACAGAAGACTCGCTAATTATTCAGGAGCATTAATCACTTTCAACATCTTAGAGTTAACGGACCAAAATGCAGTCGATATTAGCCAAATGTTTGATGCGCACAGCCATGAGTATATGAGGGCTGATATTGAATCAAGAGACAGGCTCTCTCTTTCGGCATTTCGTGAGCAAAATAGTGTAGAAATAATCGAATCTATGAATGAAGGTCCAAGAGATCACTCTCCAACATCATCTGCATCCCCACCTTTGCATGAATCGAATCAAGGCATTGATGTCCCATTATTTTTATAGGTAACTAATCTTGAAAGCCATCAGAATAGTTTCTTTCAATCTAGACTTGACATCAATATTATTCAACCTTGCAAACTTTGTAGCTCCAAACAAACACAATAAGACAATCAATATTACCAAAGAGTTTTCTTTAAGATAATGCTTTGTGAGTTTTGCCAAATATATGACTTTAGACTTCAATTGATTCGAATCACTAGTAATGCTCTTCTCTGGGGCGACTTCGCTAGCATATTGGTTCTGAATCTCCTTGAGGCTTTTATATTTAAGATTGTTTTGCTTCTCCATTGCCTTTGATTTTTCGAGCTCCCTTTCTTTGTTTGCCTTTTCCATGGCTAGCCTTTCTTTCTCTTTTTCTTTGGCCATTCGTGCTTCTGTTTCTTTATTCTCTTTAATTCTGTTCAACTTTTCGATTGACTCCCCAATTTCACCACTAAAGTTGGTAGATTGTTCAATAATATTTCTTGCTAAATCAAACTTGTCAGAAATAGGCAACACCTCAAACACGTACTGCTCTGTGATCTTCTTCAGATATCTGCCCCGTTCATCACTAGGGATAGAAGCATAGATTTCTTCAAATTTAAACAAAAGCCAATCTTCCTTGCCAAATAAAGAAGCATAAAGAACATACACTAAACACAAGTGGTATAGTATTTCGTAAGGAACTTTCGACCTACTCTTATATATGGTTATTAAATCATTCATGATTAAATCTTCAGAAAGTGTTTGGTGTATAATTCGCTTTTCATTATCAGGAAGCATATCGCTGTTTTTGAGGCCAAACCCCAATTGGACTAAGTATAGGTCAACTATCTTTACGAAGAGTTTCTCATTAATTAATCCACCGTTGAGTTCATCAAATGACTTTGAATATAGATCTTTAATAAGAGAATATGAATTTTCAAAATTTTTATTTGTAAACAACTTAAGAGACAACTTATAATTGTCTTCAATAAGCTTTAGAGACGAATGGTTCGTCTTTTCTGTCATTTTATAGGTATCTGTGGAAATATTAAGTATTTAGATTTTTGTTATGAAAGTTATAGTGTCATTACATATTTGAGCCTCGGCTTCTATTCTATATAAACTACCTCTTTACCGTTTCTCTCAGAATACCATTTTCTTGAGTAATAGAAACCGGCACCTGAAAGTAAAACAGCAGATCCAATTGTAGGAAATAACCAGTAAGGTATTTGTGATCCTTTCACTGGAGGTGGAATAAATGGGAAAACTGCTAGGAAAATGTTTGCAACTAGGAAAATTGCAATGCATATATAAGGTGCACTTATCGGTTTGTTTCTGGTCAGCCTAATGGGACCAATCGAAAAATCATCGTTAGAGGGAGCATCAGAGTCAGGGTCTCCTTCAACTTCTAGATAGTGATAGTTTCCCCAGTTTTCTTTCTCTTCGTTTACCTTCAAGTAGATCAAACCTAAAGTAAGAAGAACATTAATCCAAGTTCCTGGATAAATGTAAAGGTTTACAATGAATTCGTAAATCTCTGTGGATGGAGGCGCAACCAATACAATAACTGTGATAATCCAATGCAAGAGTAAAGAGTTTCTGAGGTTCTGAAACCACTTTGAATAGGGAATATAGTTATTGTCAGCCAATTCTTTATTGAGGTGTCCATGTGCAAATGAGACTACCAACACATTACCTAAATTGCTCATTGATATGATCAACGGTAATATTCTGGATGCGATTGACTCTCCAAATACCTTACTGAAGAATATCCCAGCGACAAGCACTCCTGACCTTAAAAATTCGTCTTTTGGAATAACTATTAAATATGCTATAACGACCAAAAAATAGAGCAACGAAGTTATTATGACCGCTAAAGGGGCAGCTATTGTAAGGATATGATACGGGTCTGATACTTCATTAAGAACGTAGTTGGCATTTTCCCATCCTTTGAATGAATATATGACTTCAAGCATTGCTACTGATATTGAGTAGAAACTAGGACTCTCATTATTTTCGTAGCTCCAAATATCGTGAAAGTTATCAGTGTTTGTACTTGGAATAGCAAATATACCCACCAATATGATCATGATAAGAATTAAGATCTTAGACATACCCAAGAAGTTAAATAATGAGGTACCGTGATTTGGATATTTGATATGCAACAAAATGCAAAAGGTAATACAACCAACACCTACCAACTTCACCAAAGCTTCATTTTCCGCGTCAATTGCAAACAAGACGTATTTACCAAAAGCATAACTATTCCCGGAGCTAAATCCAAGTAGAACGATTTGAAAAGCATATACGCATCCAATTAAGCCCTTAGGGTATCTGTAAGTTCTTAATAGGTAATTCTTTTCGCCTCCGTTCTTGAATGGTAAGTTCAATGCATATTCAAGGTATATGACGAGCCCACACATGATAACCACCGTCCCCATTAGAAATAAAAGTAATAATAAACCCACGCTTCCATTGGTATATTGAAATATGGTGGCAGGAATCAGAAAGATTCCTGTGCCAATCATCTTGTTTGTTATGAGAGACATGCATGATAACGTGCCCAACTTCTTGGGGGCTGGATTATTTAGCCCAGTCATAATATTTGAAGCCTGAGACTCTGAAAATCACTTGAGGTTACAATCTTATGATGATGATTAATAACTAATTTTTCAAGTTTCCGATGTTCCTTTTATGTCTATTAAACAAGTACTGGTCCTACGCCAAAAACTTAGAATAACGTAGTTGAAGTCTATAGTTCTATGCTATAATATATATATGCTTCTGCCTATTGAAGAAGCGTTTATCATTAACTTTCTACTTTCTTTAAATCAGGACAAGGTGCCGGAAAGGCACGAGAAATTGCAAAAATGGGGCTCTCTGATACATGAAATCTTAATGATGAATTATGTTATATTATACAATAATAGCTGATTCAGCAGAACTATAGATATATGCCATATTAGTATCTACGTGTAATGTTTAGTGGCTCTCTAAACGTTCCATTACATTCCAGTAGTTTGATGGGAGACCAGATCCATGGTCAAGATTTTCGACATTCACAGAAATCGAACACTTGGTTAATGCTTTGAATTCTTCTCTATTTTCTGATTCCTTATCGCTGTATGCTAATCTCTTTATGGTATCCAAGTAGTAGGAAGATTCTTTGTCGACGAAAGTTGCAAGCTCATCCTCTTCGGCTGAGATTTTGTCTCTTGGCCTTTCCTTATCTAAAGTCTGACCATATTCTCCATCGAGTATTATCTCATTTACACCCATTGAATATTTGGATATATTCCTTTTCATGCGAAGTGGAAGTTCTTCTTCTTCATTATCGTATGATATCTGAACATACTCTGGGTTGGCTTTGAGTGAGGTAGAACACTGGGAGTTTTCGTGATTCATGGAGGGAAAATTAATATTAAGGACAGTTTTCAGAGGAAAGTTTCCGATTTCTGATATCAACTGATTGACTTTTGAGCAAATAAATTTTATATTCTTACCAAAGGCGTTATTTTTGAATACCTTTCTAAATGTATTGTCAATATTGAAAAAGTTTTCATCTTGGAAATAAACATGATGATTATCTTGAGTAGATACACCAATACCTGGAATATCCTTTATCATTAGGAGCTGAAGCATGGACTGAAGCTCTGTGCTCTTAGTGGTATTGGTCAAGGCCAAACCTTCATTAGGACCAATCACTACTAAATCAGGGACAAAATCAGGATAGTAATGAGGTAATATCACATCTAAGCCCATCGATAAAGTTTCCAGCGGTAATGAATTGACGTACCAGACGTCTTTATCCATTGGATCTTGTCCTAATGTAGCACCAGTTACAGAACCAAGTCTATCTATTTCAGCTCTTGTAAGAACATTCTTTGCTCTATTCAAGCGCTTCATGTTTTTGTAATATGTTTGGTGAACGGGTAAAAGATGGCCAAAGTCACCGCCATCATTTTCAGGCTTTCCTGAGCGCCTAGTTAATGTAGACGGTTTCTCGTGACATCCATACAAGGGACCCACTAATATCACATTGTGCCCTTCTTCCTTCAATGATTGGTAAAGAAATCTAACATTCTTGGCTACCCAACTGTCAGTAGTCGAAACCATCACATTGAGAGCCACACACAATGATACATGAAGAAATAATAAAGGAATTATCATTCTCATGAATTATTATGAGTTTTTGCTGTTATGCTGAAGATAATTTGGTGATATCAAGTGAACTAACAGAATCAAAAGTGTATTTTATCGGTTCTTCAACCTTTTTCCAGCTCTATTTTCTTACGCTGTTATCGTAACTAAAAAATCTGGATTAAAGCTTGCCTCAATCCCTTATGTTATATAGTATTGTTTATTTTGTTGCCAATTAATAGCTTTCTCTGTGGACTTCAATTATTTTTATATCGAGGAAAACGTGGGTCCCGAACTTGCGAATTTTGCACCCACGTTGATCGTACAACAGAAGGGGGACGTGTTCCACGTGATATCGGCACACGAGATTACCGCAAATGAAGCAGATCTCACCGACGTCTACCACTAACTTACTATACCGAGACCCAAGGCCTTGGCATCAGCATTTAGTCTTAGCTTGTAAGCGTGTGTCCTTACCCCTATAGAGAAATAATCCCACCACTACCATACCATATTTCTTTTGTGATGCTTCAGAGATAATAACACTAACAATTATTCTTCTACCCACGAGCCAATAAAGGGGTTGACATTCCTCCGTGGGTTCGATCAAAATATGGTCACACCGTTACTGTGAGTGTGGGTGTCTACGGAACTATGGGCACGTTGAAATTTATCTAACGTCCCGAGTGCATATTATTAGGCCCAGGTGGCGTGAATTGTTAACTATGATACGCTGTTCTGTATGCAGGACTCCCGGGAATTAAACGATTCGATTACCCTATTCGTACTTTTAATTTACATTCCGATGGATCTTTGATAGATCGTTGCATTGCAATTTAAGGCTTATTATAGTATAAAAAATGGAATTAGATTGCCAATACCTGACTCTATATACTGATCTACCGTCGAGACTAATGTGTCATGCATTTAACTGGTCATAGTTATTATCAGCTTGATGATATCCTCTTCGGAACCACCCAAGGATCCGAATAAGACATTATATTTATTTACATCTTGATTTTTAAGCGATGTTACAAAGGTGCTAAAGACTTCAAACACATTAATTCCATCCAATGGATTTGCCTGCAACGGGTTCTCTACGATCATTTCGTCTTCTTCGTCAAAGAACGCCGAGCCTTTTAATTTGAAGTTTTCTTCCAAAATCACCTTCTCTGTATTATCTAGTCCTTCAACGGAGTCATCGCCATCCTCAAAGTCTTCCTGGCTATAATTGACGCCAGATAAGCTGTCCAGATTATCCTCCCAATCTGCGTCGAAATTATTTCTCTTTTTCTCCAATGTCTCAATGGCTTTCGGCAAAGCCTTCAATAACGTTGCAACCATATACCCTATCCTTGCAACGATAACTTCACTTAAGCTGTTCATGGCATCATTGTTACTCATAAGGCTAAGGAGCCCAAGGATTGACAACTTGATATCGAACACTCTCGAAAGCATCGGTATCAATTCAAACCATTGTTCAAAAAATATATGTAATTGTTGACTTTCTTGAAGCATTATTAAAACGTTATTAGAATCATACACCAATCCTGCCACTACGACATTCTCAACATTTACATCGAATACACTATTTTTTACGTGGTGTTGCTCATTCATGTTACTTTTAGCAATCTTTAAGACATCCCCCACAAGACTGGGAATAAATGGAATGGAACTCGACTGCAAAGATAAAATAAAAATCTGTGCGATTTCACAGGCATACGAAATATCTGTCAAACCAATTTGATTTTCGTCTCCTTCAATTATTAACTTGAATATGCTGCACATACTCTGTGCCAACTTTGGGTTTTCGCTAATTTCTTTACTTCCGTAAACTAAAAAGTTTTGTATGCATGGCACCAACTCTTCAACATACATTAGAGCAATACCATCAGCGAACAAACTGTACAACAATTCAAAATCCTTCCACATGCAAGGACTCACTGACCTTAGCAAGAAGGTCGAGTTTTCCATTAGTTCTCCCACTTCTGCCAAAAAGTCATCAAGCTTGTTGGCTAAAACATATTCAATAGCGGGTGAGAACTCTTCCTCAAGTCTAATACATATATCTCTAGATGTTTCAAATGATAAAAGGACAGTAATCATAGTGTTGAGCAAACCAATAGCAGCCATGACTTTGTCACTCTGGTCCTCAAACTCTGCGTCAAGATCAACGTCAACTTGTAAAGACTGATTGATTTCAATCGCTAATCTCATAAATTGTTCAACCAACTTACTCATTAAGTCCACTCCAAATGGCTGTAACTGATCCGAAAAGCTCTCAACACACTCTTGCATAACCATTGAAATAGCATCGCTATCAATTTCGTTCGATAATTCAAGCAATTTAGACATGGTGGGTAATATAATAATTGACAACGCTTCTTTGAATTGAGGCATGGGCAAATAGGCTTGGATTGCTAGTGCACACTCGAACTCTACTGGCAAGCAGCTCGCCACCTCATTGGTAAAATTATTGGTAATTCCATGAAAGAGTAGCGACAAGCTCTCATTTTCTTTGAATTCTAAGTCTGCAAATTTAGAAGAAACTTCAAGTGTTCTTGCCCTCAAAAATTCAAATTTTGAGTTGAGATTAGGAAAAACTAAAGTTTTTAAGAATTGCTCCATTTGAGAGTAATATGGAGACTTTGGCAATATTAGATAATGAGAAATTCCTCCTATCAACCTGAGGGCTCCTTCTTTCTGTTTCGCTACCTCTAGAGAATCTGTCTGTTGAAATAAGTTATTGAGTTGATTATAAGCGAAGGAAAGAATGGGTTCTAAGGTGACTGATTTTCTTTTATCCACTAGTGTCACCAACAAACCAACAGCCGCTACATCAGGACTATCGAGTTCATCATAAATATCGAAGTTAGAATGGACATATTCATGCGGGTCGCTTTCAAATAATTCTAAAGTTTCATCTGAAGGGCACAACAAAGGATAAATAAAATGGGATACCAAATTTTCAAAAAAAGGTCTGATTAATCCCCATGCTTGTTTCTGAGTTACACAGTGGCTTAAAAACTGTAACAAGTAGTAAACTGCAGTTGAACTTAACCACTTGTTTCCAGTACAGTACAATTCAATCACATTCAAATAGTTCAGAATCAAATGTGGGAGAAATTCTTGTGTGAATATTTCTTGAAAATGAGGATAATTGAATTTCTTTGTAAGACTCTGGGAAGCATACCTAGTAAAGAGGCGATACAAGTTTGCAATTGACCACTTCGTGCACTTAGTGAATTCCAAAAGTGACTTCTCCTGTTCAGTTAAATTTTCAGATAAAACATAGGCTGGAGGTTCCAAATTGATTATCGATCCATGAAATTCTCCCCAAGATATCAAAGATTCTTTGTTCTGTAAAACTTGTGGTAAGTCGAAATAAGTCACAAACTTATAAGCTTTCAAAATTAACTTTAATATTTCGCATGAAAGTTCTGTCATTCTTTCACGTCTTGAGATAATGGAATTACCAATAGTTAATAAATGTGGAAAAACACTCTCTATCATGGGATCTAAATCCTTACTCCGATCATTATTGTCAACCCACCTAAATCTTCTAGTTATTTCTGTAAAGCAAAGGATTCCAGTATATAAATGTGCATAGTCTTCTTCTTTGACTGAATCTGTTGTTGGAACTTGTTGAAGAAGAGTTCCTGTATCTCTCAATAGGTCAGGCCATTTGCTAGGGAACTCATAACTCACCAAAACTCTCAACACGGGGATCAATTGCTGTTTAGTATCATGAAAGCTCGCACAGAACACGGGCAAGATTCTAGCTTTAATCTTTTCTCTCTCATTGTCTTGGATTGTGTTATCGCCACTATCATGGTTCCAATACCTAACTACTCTATTTTTAAAGTAAACTGCCACGGCTTTTTTTATTGTACCATCCACTTCACTATCCGATGCAGAAATAATATCAAGACATCCCTCCAAAAATCCATTACTTGCTGCAAGCGTCTTTAATTGATTTTCTGCTGACTGTCTGATTGATTGATCAGCTTGCAAAGTCCCGGAGAAGACATTCAATATTACTTTAGCATCCATCTTCCTTCATTTAACACTCTTTTATATATCTATTCTTGAATAGTCAGGGGATTTTGTTCTTCCTCCTACGATATTATGCCAGTTTATTATGATTAAAAGTAAGCTTCAATCTAATTTTTTTTTTTTACTTCATCACCAAGTTACACAAAGTCGTCTATCTAGCGTTTTAGATCTGATGTCTTATCTTGTATATTACAGTCTATATAACGATTCTTTACGAGCTTATCCGAACAATTGGATATAGAAGAAACATATCGAAGTCTAGATTAGTTGGATGTGGAAGTACTAAGTATAATCTGCAAATCTGATAGAATTTTCTCCCTTCATTAGATCTCATAAGGGAGTATTAATCGTAGTAATTTGCTTTCTTTTTTTTTTTTTGACAACAGAATGATCCAAGCCCATATCACTTCTTCCATCCAAAACATGAAAATCTTCCTTATACCAATCTGATGTCGAATATTAGATATTGATTAGCATCGCTAAAATAGTAGGTGTACTAATTTCATTCTAAATCCAGGTCCTCGTCATATGCTACTCCATTATTTTCGAAGTACTCTTCAGCGTCCTCAAAGTCATCATTTTCTCCGTTGACAAATGGAATATCTTCGTGATTAATTGTTTTGATACGAGGAGACAGTAAAGTATGATTCTCGAGTCCATCTCTTAGCTCAGCCTGTGACTTCAAAAGTTGAAGTCTCCCTTGTAAAGATAACAAGCGTGGCATTAATTTTAATCCCTCGTGGAGCCCTCCTCTTAGCTTTCTAAGAGTTTCATCCCCATCTGGCAATCTTGCAAGGAAACCACCATGAATTAGTAATATCCATTTAAGCCACAATGCTAGTACCTTATTTTTAGAAGGATCAGATGCAACTTCGTCGCTGATAATACCAAAAAGTTCTTTGATAAGTTGCTCCAGCCCAACCAACAATTTAACGACTTCTTTTATATTAACCTCCTCGTCGTTAGTTGAACAAAGTTCTATTATGCCTGGTTTGCCGATAGGCTCTTGCGTTAATAAATCCTCCAAGCGAGAAAATAGTTCTCTTGATTCAATGTTCTCTATTTTGGTAGGTTCTTCAATTGACAATGTATCTGTGCGTACATTAGACGCATTGGTGACCTTCTCCTTGTAGTCTATAGGAACTTTTATCACACCACGAGTAGAAGGAGACCAGCTAATCCTAGTGAAGTTTGGTTCGTTTACATCATACCAAATCCCAGTTAAGAAATCATCGGATGACTTAAATGCATCGAAGAATCGAATTTTATCCTCCGAATCATGGAAATTTGTTTTAATTGTAGATGAAAGTAAATCATCGTTGATAATTTGAATTCCATCTTCATTCAACGCTATCACTGTATTTTCTGATATAAATGATATTTTATGCACATTCGAGATAGGTAATTTCTTGACCACAACTGATTTGGACACATCATAGGCAAGCAACTCATCCTCAGTTGCCAAGTATACAATGCTTGAGTTTGGATTTACGTCCAACACTTTAAACTTACTAGTAGATTCTAATATTGGCACAACTGATTTCTTTGACGACTTGGAAGTATCATACAAATACACTTCATAATCCGATACCAATAGCAAATACTGATTCTTACTATTGGGCATGCTTTCATTGCTTATGGGAGCAAGAAACTTATATGATTCTTGCGGTATAAAATCTTTTGCCTTCACTTTACCTTCGTTCACGAAGATTTCAACTATCTTGGACTCATCATCGATACCCCAAATCACACCATTTTTTAGTGAGCTAGTAATGAAAACAAGAGTACGGCTTATAGGTATGCGATCAATCACTTTTCCATTCGTCGGCGTGATTATTAAGAGCTCTTTATTCGTTGTTGCAGCTATTAGGGTAGGTGTATGATCACTTTTCTCTGTCACACTTTGGTCGCTCCGTCTCCTCTTTCTGAGTTGTTTATTGCTCAAGTCAGCCCAGCAACTACTTGTGATTCCATCCTCCGGTGTGAGTTCAATTTTGACTACCTGTTCTTCAATAATTAAAGAGTCCAGGTCTTGCTTCTTATTAATTGGATAGACTTGAACCTCATTTCGACCATTTTTAGACAAAACATTAGCAAAAAAAGACCCACTATTGTCCAAGTAACTTCTATTGTCGGTCATGATGGTCCCTTTGACGTACTTTGTCTTGAATGTAGAGAAAAGCAGGACTTTATGAGAAAGAGTTAATTTGTCTTGAAATAAGTCTTCTCAAGGCTTTAAAAAAAAAAAAAAAAAAAAAAAAATTTTAGTAGCGAGGGAGTCGATATTATGGAAGTATACACTAAATGATATTAATAAGATTGATAAAATGTATAAAACGTCTTTATTTACCCTGCAATTCAATCATTTGTTGAACCTGTAATTTACAAATTTCTTTCAAGTCTTGAACGTCGGCTTTTAACTCTTCTACTCGTTCAGATTTCTCGCCGATGAGCTCTAACATTGTCTGTTCTTCTTTCGATTTCAGATCAAGTTCATTTAGCAAAGACTGAACTTTCTTATTTAGGGATTCTATATCCTCTTCTAATTTGATTTTTTCCATTAATTCTTGTTGTAAAAGCTCCTTTTCTTCATTAAGTTTACAGTTTTCTTCCAGTAATGTATGGATTTCGATCTCTAATCTCCGAATGTTGGAGCTCATCTTGTTGATTAATTGGATATTAGAGTGGTTCGTTAAGGTAGGGATACCACTGATTCCTGTGGCACTACCACTGGTATTGATAATATGACTTTGACTGGGTTGACGTGATCGAAATGAGTATAGGTCTTCATAACTATCATCAGGACCATTGAATGAGGTCAGAGAAGTATTCCGCGACTGATTCATGAAAATTCCAGTGAAATCTTTTTGAATTGCCGGAGTTGTGGAGGACTCTCCAAACTTTATCTCATTCCATGAAGAATTATTTATCGAGTTAGTACGTGTAGGGCTCCTAGGGGGATCGACACCAAGGTGCAAGCCTGTTTCTTGGCTCCTTCTGCCATTTTGAATTAATGGAACTGTAAGCAGATGTTCGAATGGCTCTTTACTCTTTTCGATATCCTCGGTCAACCTCTTGATTTCATTATTAAGCTTTTGTCTGTCGGTGTTGTAAATCTGGTTGAGTCTCTCGAACTTGTCGACTTGCTCTTGATAGTCGTCTCCTAAGATTTGAAGCTTTAACTTTGTATCTTCGTTTTCTTTTTCAAGGGACACAAGCTTATTTTTCAAGACATTATACTCATCGGTCTGATTTTGCATCAAAGATTGATGCTTTTTTAATTCATTCGATAATCTTATTTTTTGCTTTTTCAATGATTCGAGCGATGATGACATATTATCCACTTTGTTCAACAAATTAGACTCTATCAACTTCCAATTTTCTTGCGAGGATAAATATTGTTCTTGAAGATTGTGATGCACTTCTGATAGTTTCGAATAATCTTCGTAATCAATCGTATTAGGTGCACCTTTCTCTGGCTCGTTTTTGTAAAGATGTTGAGATTTCTCATTTTCGAATCTGAGTTGTTCAATCTTGGCTTCTAACCTTGCAATTTCAGATGAGCTGTGTCCTTTGGTATTCGATATCTCTCTTTTTAAATCTTGTATTATTGTATTTTTTGAAGAGAGATCCAATTGGCTTTGCCGCTTTGACATATCAAATTGAATCTTGAGTTCATTCAAATCTTGTAGATACTTTTGTTTCTCCAATAATGTAGCTTCGTGAATCTTCTGTTGCTCTTTATACTTGGCCATCCAGTTGGCATTCCTTTCACCTTCCAATTCCTGAGTGAGCTGATTTATTGTATTTGAATTCTCGTTGAATTTTTCTATCAATTGATCAATGGACTTGAACTTGTTGAGTCTCAAGATTTCCTCTAGCTCATTCTGCTTCAAAGAAATCTTTTCGTTTTTTTCAGAAAAATCATTCAAGGAATCTTCCAAATTTGAATTGAGCGATCGCAATTTTTTGATAGTTTCATTAAGCTTCAATTCTTTCATGGAAAGAGCTTGCCCTTCCTCCATAAGCTGCTTGATTGTCTCATCCTTAGAGGCAATCTTATCTATTAAGTCTTTCTTCTCTTTCCCAAAAGACGACGACGGAGGAATAACATTATGTTCCTGGACTTGATCTTTAAGCTCCAGATTTTTCAAGGTTAATTTCTCGATCTGCATCTTAAGACTTTCAATTTCCTTGTCTTTCTTATTTTCATTGGCGTCTAGGGACAGTTTTATATCACTATTGGAATTATCCGTTATATGTTCGTTGACATGAAGAGCTGCTTGTTCTGCCTTTCCGTCGTCCTCCAGCTTCATTTCAAAGCCCTTCTCAGCTTCCACTGCCTGCGCACTTGTTTCATCGTAACCTTTCTTCACAGGCTCGCTCTGTTTACTTTCTTCTCCAGTCTTGGATTTCGGTTTCTCTTCAACACTGGTTACCTTATTTCGAGGCTTCCTTGACCTGCCCTTGGCCGCCATTTCCAATCTTTCCTGAAGTGTCAACCTTTTCTTCGACTTTGGCGGAGAAGACGGCGGTATTTGCTCAACGACACTGGATTCTGTTTCCCCGTGTTTCTGTTCCTTTAATTCCCCAGTGTTTTGCTCTTCAGCATGCTTACTAGGCAGATTTTCGGCATCATGAAGTGATTTGTCATTGTTTTTACTCTCATCAGCCTCGTCATATCCTTCATTTGACGTTTCCTCCTCTTTTAGATTCCCTCCATTGGAAGACCGTAACAAGGTATTTTCTCCACCATTAGCGTGCAATGCTTTCAGTATATCAGACTTTTCTTCGATACCTATAGGGCCATTCGATCCATTGATATCTTCCTCCATCGTCACGCTATTGATTGATGCTATTTGCTAATGATGATCCGCTTATGAGAGTATGTTAATGATGATTTAAAGAATTTATTGATCTGATATGCGAATAAATTGTACAGTCCAACGACCGTTATTTGTTTCAATGTCCAAAAGATTCATGTAATTGAAATAATCTACGGAATTGTCACTCAAGAATTGTTACTCAAGAGTTTAAATATGTCTAAGGTTTCACTTTGTTCAATTGTATATACATTATCTCTGATAGAGGGATTGATTTGGCCGGTAAGTGAAAAATCAATCATAAACATAAATGTCTTTTTAAAATACAAATCCTATTCAGGAGCCCTCATACGAACTGGAGCTCGACCCACTTGAAAGTGACCTAGCCTCTACACGGACATGTACCGGCAGAGGAGCCGATTCTAAAGTTTTACTTTTTTGATCTTCAATTGGTGATAAAAACAAGCTTAAAGGTGCGAGTCTTGGTCGCTTAGGGGAGCTCTCCTCTTGAGAGGACAGCATGATAGAAGCAAAAGATCTTGGGTTTCCTGATGATGATTCGGATGACGATGCAATTGCAGCGGCCGGTGTTGAAACTGGTACGGACGCTGAACTCGAAGTTGAATTTGAAGCAGGTGCCGATGCTGATTCTTGTATTAAAGCGGAAGCTCGTCCCGATGCTGTATTTGATACTGATGCTGATGTGGATGCAGAAGGTGGATTAATCTGAGGAGCCGTTGCCGAAGATCCAGGGTGCGGAGTGCCAGAATGGGACCATCCTCCGACTTCCTGAGCGATCGAAGGAGAAGGACTTGTAGTATAATACATATTTCCCGTACCTATGGCTCTTGGGCGCCCATGCGGTGGAAGTCGCGGCTGCAGAGGGACTCCTTGCAAATACTGCGGTGGGGGCAAAAAAGGTCCTCCGTGTGTTGAGCTTCTTAGAGGAAAATAAGGGTACTGATATCCTCCACCAGGATAGTCAGAATATGCAAAAGTATTTTGGCCCGCTCCAGGATGATAGGCAACTTGAGAATGAAGCTCTTCACTACCCTGAAAATCGGCCTTTGACTTTCTTTGACCATGTTTCTTAGTAACTATATGGGTATTCAAATGATTTAATGACCCGTAGCTCTTGTTACACCCAGGAAATGTACAATTATAAGTCCTCACTATCTGATCGTATCTTCTGCGAAATCTTCTTCCTCTCCTGCTCTTACTAGAATCGTGATCTGATGATGAAGGAGAATATAGCAGTTCTGCCGAAGATATCGTACCTTGTGCTCCTTGATAAGGATCTTGAGCAGAAATGTTATCCTGATAATATTGACCACCAACATTTGAAATGGAATATTGCACAGGGGAGTGTTCCAGTAATGGAGGTGGGGGTAAATGGACTTGATATTGGTTGTGATGCTGTTGGAATGAAGGGTGATTTATATTCTCTTGGGGCCATGGCTCATGCGGAAGTCGCACAAGTGCAGTGCTTTCTTTCCAACTCGGAAGAAACTTTTCACCAGATGTAGAACTTGGAACTTGACGAATACCCGTCGAACGGCCGCTAGAAGATGAGCTGCTAGAGATCTCACTATCAGCTTTGATTGAAGATGTTTTTTTTGTTTCTTGTAACAGTTCATTATCTTCTTGATCGGGTCTTTTATTTAGTATCAGTTGAATTGATAAGTTTTTTCTTTTGGAGTCACTTTCTTGTGCTTTCTTCTGTGGTTCATTAGATGAAGTGTCATCATCTTTCAGTGACTCCAGGTTATTGTCCTTTGGCATTTTTGCGAGTTTCTTGAACTCTTCTTTGCCGTAGGCTTCACTTCAACCCACACCGAAGACTTAATCCCTTGACTTACCAACTCCTCGCAGTATCTTGTCGTCTGCCACAAATCGTTCCAGTGTCTATTTTTTGTCTGAATAAAGCCCTCAATGGCTCCAGTCAAAGAAACGGCGGGGTCGACAAATTTTGAATACTGCTGCGGTGGCTCTTAAATGTAGCCTCTGTGATTCTGTCTCACCGTTGCTCGGTCTCTCTCGGTATCTTCCTTACGCGTGAAGTTTCAACTTCTTCTACTTAGTCTATATAAATGTCTGTTACGATACGACGTTGAGAATTTGACCAAGCTTATATCCGAGACTTTGAACATTCTACGAGATGCATCTACTTATCACTTAAGGTTACTTTCATTTGTCATTGTACATAGTCGAGTGACAAGCTTGCATAGAATACTGGACAAAACCTTGGTTAAAAAAAAAAAAGAAAGTATCAACTTGCATCGATGCGCCTTAGCCTGTAGGGGCTGTTGTTTGTTCGCGCTTGTACATCTTGCTTGTGCCGGAGTCTAGGGCAATAGTTGAAATTCCGCCCCTCGAAGGGCGACCACTCCGATGCGTTGCTGTCTGCAAAGGCGACTTTCCTAAGCGATCCTCTCGTCTTTACCGTACCCTAAGGTGAGCTGTGCGTAACAGATTGGAGACGATTTGCGACACGTATATCTCTATGGAAATCTGATATCTCAATGTATACATAGTGAAAATTTCAAGACACCTTAGCTATAGGATTAGAAGTTTTGTAAGTGATCACTAGCATTCCTTTACGAATCCGCCTTGCTTAGCTCTCCTAGTCCCGTAATAGACTTGGAACTTACAGGAAATCAGCAGACAGAGCTGAAACAGCCTGTACGTATGCGGCGCGGTTTACACTAGCTAGGCGGTCTAAAAAAAAAAAAAAGATCGCAGAAGAAAGAATCTTCCACTTTTTCAATAGATAATGAAGGCTACGAGAAGCATGTGTTGGCATCAATTAATCTGATATTAATCAAAAGCATTTGCGTACCTAAACTTAATATTATTTCCTTTGTGAAATAGATCACACATTCAGGTTGAATATTATAATGAAACTCATGCAATGAGGATGGAGATCAGTCTTCAAAGCTCGGCGGATTCCATATTCGAATATTTATTTTATACGTAGTCGCAAAACTTATACTTTATGGGCCTGATGACTAAGATGACTAAGTAGCAAACTAAAGACTTTTAGAACCACAGCAGGTGCGTAGGCGAGAAATGTAATGCATCATGCAAAATATACTTAAGAAAGCAAGTAATAAAACCTAATACCATTTGCATGCGTATCGTCCACCTTAAGCGGGGCTTACAACAAATTGGGCCACGCGCGCAAATTAAACTAGTAGCTTACATGTACCTCCTCGGAATTTCATACTCATATGGCGCGAAGTATTATTAGGAGCGCACACTTCGCATGACGGGAGCGGGCAAGCGTAAGCGAGAATCAAAGCTTTTCAAACACAAATCCAATATAGAATGCTACAGCTTCTTTCTCAGCCCCTTCAGCACCATATTTTCCATCGGAACGCTTCATGCTTTCCACTAAGTTTTTATTCAATTTATGGAAATACTTTGGAATTTCCTGATTGAAAATATCGACAAAACTCTTTTTATATTTCAAGACTAAACCATAATCCTCGCACAACGCCCTGAAAGCTTGAAAAGGAACAACATATTCTGGAACATTATCTACAGCATCTCTAAGATAATACGTGTATCTGTGTCCGAAAGGGGGCCTAAATTCGCCATCTTCAGGAGGAGGGTTATCAAAGGTCACAGAATAAAGTTGGTTGCCAAATTTGCGACCATCTACTAATTCCTTTCTAAGAATCTTGTCCCTAATGAAGTCTGAAGAGGGAATGGTACCAATGAATGTTCCTCCTTTCCTAAGAGATCTAGAGACATTATTCAAGAGCCCCCGAACTTTATCTTCTGACTCGAATGAGTAATGCAACGAAAACTGAGTGGAAACAGTACTGACAGGAAACAACGACTGCATTATGCCCGGAAAATTAGGCTCCAATATATCGGGCACAGTACTTTGAAAACAGTCCCCCGTTGCGAAGCAAGCTTCAAAGTTATATCGCCTTGAATCTTTCACAGACGGATTGCGTGGAATAAATCTTGCTTTGTTTTTAGAATATCTCGAGAACCCCTCCTTCACTGAAGCGTCCGATATATCAATACCAATATACTGATCTATTGATACAAACTCATACTTATTTAAGTCGCCTCCTTTTCCACAGCATAGATCGAGAATTACTGTTGGTTTGTCCAGCACTTTGACAATAAAGTTCCCTAGTAGCATGTACTTTATGGCATTATTGAAGTTCCGTAACTTGTAAATAGGAGATTGTGTACGAGAGCCTTGGTGCTTCGCTTGATATGCTCTTTGATTATAATGAGAACGAACGATACTATTGATATCCTTTTTATCCTTGTTCGCTATATTACTAGTAAATGTCTGATAATATTTTGCAGCTGGGTTTGTCACTTCAAGATTGTTATAGGGTAAAACTGCAGAGTTGTCTTCTTCGTCAACTGCATCGTTACGCACACCATATCTAGAGGATGGAGAAGATGCATCCCTCTCATCTCTGGTGCGCTTTAGTCTACTGTCGACTCCCTGAGATGATGCAGTGCCATATTTCTCATACCTTGCGTCTTTATCAGAGCTAGCTGCTGCCCTTATAGTTGGAATATTGGAGCGTGAGCCGTATTTATCGTATTTATCATCAGGTTTGCTTTTTAACCAAGCAGGGAGTTCTTTTTTTTCATCTCCATATACTGATGGGGTAGTTGCTCTGTGCTGTTCATGGTCTGATCTGATTTCTTTCCTAGAGAAAGCCCCAGATATATCATCTGTCTTCACTCTCTTTACCGAAGGTGCTTCTCCAGACTGATCCTTACCATCAATGCTTGGTGATTTGAGGGTCGCTACCAGTGAATCAAGCTTTTCGTCTTGATTGTCATCTCTTTTTGTTCTATCCGTAATGTTATTCGACACTGTAGAGGTCGTACTTGGTTCTTCACTCATTGGAGTTACAGAGACAAGTATTACGAACTTATGTCTTAATTTACACTTTGAGTGAAAAATGAATTTCGTCACGTGCTTACTCTTTTCGCTTTTCCAGTTCACATCAGACATAGGGACGAAGCAGCTAAGAGAAAGTTAAGAGTTGTTTCGTATTTCAAATGGCTCTGCTCATATCATCATCCAACAAGTATCTTAATTTTCATTGTTGTGGGAGTTCTGATAGCTTACAGTTGCCTAAAAAAAAAAAAGTAACACGATATACTGTTTTTAATTATTGCAGCTTATGGCTCGCTAATGATACCATTGAAGCTTAATAGGACAGATTGTTCTTTGGCACGTTTACTTCTTTATAGAAATAGGGGATTTACGAAGAAAGTAATCCAGGTCTCGAACAATATTTGACGACGAAGGTCAAGTGATGCATGATCTCGTAAGGGACCAGGGCGAACATCTTGATCGTCGCTAATATTTACTTAGATTCTAAAATCGACAGAATTTTCCTTGTTCTATATGCTTCCCTAGTACGCAGGCAATCGAAGATAAGATTCGCCGCTTCGAGCGAAATACTATAGATGAATACATGTTTTAGTCGTGCTCCCTCGTGACTTCATATTAGTCCAATAGTAATAGTCAAAATTTGTCTTATTCAAAGATTTTGTAAAGTATGATCACGTGGGATGGCCTGATAGTGAAATCTGAGTTATGAGTGTTCACTAGCCACAACACTTTGGTCAGCCAAAGTTCCTTAACTATGAGGAAATGAGACACTAGCCTCATGTGATCCTGTATATCAGCTTTCATGCTTCTTTGTTACATATCACGTGGTTTGCGATAATCTGATTCTCGTTCCAGAGAAAAAATTTAGCTTACAGCAGGAGTGGGACAGAATAAAGATATCTTTTAATTACGGCAAAAAGCTTTTTTAAGGGGCCGATTGAACTAGTTTAATATCTGAAGGCATAATGAGTGCTATCCAGATAGAAACAAGTAAGTATTATATTACAGAAGTTTTTGGTGCAATCTAATACACATCATCACTTTGTATTGACTTAAGCTGCCTATCAGAAGTTCTACTGCAGTAGTCATGACAATAGTAGATTAATTTCAATATATGATATACTAACATACAGTTTCTAACGTTATCAGGAAGGTAGGTGGTCCAGTGTCTGTGACACAGTTAGCGAAGTCAGTGGATTCGGGCTTTGCAAAGCATCTTCCAGAGTCCTCAGTTGTGATCGGATCCAATGATGCATATGCCATTATAATTAATAGCTTGAGCGATTCAGATTTTGATCAACTTCAGACGATAGTCACTGATAGTAACACTGTTTTGAAAAGTCTTCCGGTTTTACTGTCTCTTGGCTTTAAAAGCAAGAAGATAGTGTCGCATGTGAATGTTCAAGATTTTGATTTCTCAGCCGTAAGTAGTTTGAGAGATTTAGAGTTCCCTGTATTAGTTTCACAGAATGCTGCTGATGCCTTGAGAGTTTGCAAATTAGCCTACAATCTTTCTGAGAAGCAGAATGGGCCGGTGTTTCACTTTTTTGCGGCTTCAAATTTTAACAATCAACCTGCCAAGCTTGATGACAGAAATGACATCATTATTGACGTCTCTAAATATCAAGTTGAGGATTTATTTACTAATTTTAAGGTGAATCCATTCGAAATTGTCAACAAAGTTAGCAAGCCTTCTGATTCTATATTGTACTTGGGTCAGTTATCTTCTGAGTTGGTAGAGGCTGTTACCACTGAGCAAACAGTATTAATATCTGTCCAGGTGTATCAACCTTTTGACTTACAAAGCTTATTGAAAGTAATACCTTCATCTGTTGAGACAATAACATTAGTTGAACAGTCCACTTCGTCTTCACCTTCATTTTCACCATTGTTGTTGGACTTCTTTCAGGACTATACAAAGTACCATCATTTGAAGACTTTTAGCAAAATTGTTGCAGCCTCATGTGGATATATTAAACCAGAGAAATATACCGAAAGTATTTCTAACTTATTGAAGAATACTAGAAGTGAGCAACCAATTCAAAACTTATCATTCGGTAAAATCAATACTGAGTTGGCAACCAAATCCTCTAAGAAGCAAAAATCCGATTATGCTGATGCGATTGATAAGGCATACGTTTTAGAACAAGCATATTTCAAACTATTAAGACAAGCTACTTCATCAAGATTAAATGTTTTAAATGAATATCAATCTGATAATATAGGCTTTGAATCTACGCCCGAATACGGATTTGGTTCGTTTTTATATGACGAAGAGAAGAGGCAGGCATTATATGATTTGGCAAGTAAATCCGTGCAGGAAAACAACTTCAAGTCCATTGACAATGGTGCCTTGATTGATGCTTTGTCTAAATGGTTAGTTCAGGTTAAAGAAGGTGAGCAGATTCAAGATACTTTAAGTGAACAAATAATATCGTTACTTCAATCTGATGGATCAAGTGCTAATTCTAAAGAGTTATTGAAACTTTCCGAATACTTCGATTTAAAACAAAATTGGTTGATAGGTTCTGATGCTTGGTCATATGATCTTGGTTCATCCGGTGTTCATAGTTTGATAACTTCGGGAAAGAATATTAACATGTTGGTAATTGATTCTGAGCCTTATCAAGACAAATCTGCTGACAAAACTGTAAATGGATTCCGTAAGAAAGACATTGGCTTATATGCAATGAACTATGGGGGATGTTATGTTGCTTCTGTCGCAATCTACTCCTCGTACACTCAAGTTTTACAAGCCCTTATTGAAGCTGCTAGTTTCAATGGACCGTCAGTCGTTTTGGCTTATCTCCCTTATAATAGTGAGTCAGATGATACGTTGTCTATTTTGCAAGAGACAAAGAAGGCTGTCGACACAGGCTACTGGCCATTGTATAGGTACAATCCTGATATCTCCGATGAAAAGGAATCATTCAAATTAGACTCGTCTAATTTGAGATCCCAGCTCCGTGGCTTCTTAGATCGTGAAAATAAGTTAAGTTTGCTAGCATCCAAGAATCCTCTCTTATCAAGAAATTTAACTGCTAACGCAAACACAGAGATTAAGCGTGAGCAAGAGAGAATAGCAGACGAGTCTTATGCTAAGTTGTTACAAGGTTTGTCGGGACCACCACTCACTGTTGCATTCGCTTCTGACGGTGGTAACGCTGAGGGCCTTGCAAAGAAGATACATAGGCAAGCTATAGGAAGGGGCTTGAAATCATCTGTATTGGCTATGGATGATTTGAGCATTGAAGATTTGCCCACCGAAACAAACGTTGTTTTTGTCACCTCTACGTCGGGTCAAGGTGAATTCCCTACCAACGGAAAGCAATTTTGGGACTCATTGAAAAATGCAAATGATTTAGACTTATCTGCTGTTAAGTTTTCTGTTTTTGGTTTGGGTGATTCTGAATATTGGCCAAGAAAGGAAGATAAGCATTACTACAATAAGCCTGGAAAGGATTTGTTTGCGAAATTGAAATTATATGGCGGTGTTGAGTTAGAAAATCTTGGCTTGGGTGATGATCAAGATCCTGATGGGTTCAGTACTGGTTACAATGAATGGATTCCCAAAATATGGGATGCCTTAGGTGTTGGCAATGTCGAAGGCGTTGAAGAGCCGAAACCTTTGACGAATGAAGATATGAAGATAAATTCTGATTATTTGAGAGGAACCATCGTGGAAGGGCTCAATGACCAGTCTACTGGATCGATTTGTGCAGTCGACCAACAGTTAACCAAATTCCATGGTATTTATATGCAAGATGACCGTGACATAAGGGAAGAACGTAAGGCTCAAGGCATGGAACCAGCATATGCATTCATGGTTCGTGTTAGATTACCTGGAGGCAATGCAACTCCTAGGCAATACTTAAAGATGGATGAATTAGCTGACACGAGAGGTAACGGTACGTTGAAGATAACTACTAGGGCCACTTTCCAACTTCACGGAGTTGTGAAGCATGACTTAAAGCCTGCTATCAGAGGCATGAACTCAGCATTAATGGATACCTTGGCTGCTTGTGGTGATGTCAATAGGAATGTTGTCGTTACAGCATTACCGTATAATGCAAAGATTCACTCTGAAGTGTCTCAAGCGGGCGCGTTTATCTCAGAATACCTCTTACCAAGTACTACTGCTTATCATGAAATTTGGTTAGAAGGCGAAGATCAATCTGACAAGCCAGGTGATAGAGCAACTTGGGAAAATAGGAAGGAAGGACCGAGAAAGAAAAAGACTTTAGTAGCAGGTAACGCTCTAGCAGATGTGGAACCTCTTTATGGGCCTACCTATTTACCGAGAAAGTTCAAGGTCGTAATTACTGTCCCACCTTACAATGACGTAGATGTCTATGCACATGATATCGGACTTATCGCAATCGTTGAAGACAATACAGTCATCGGTTATAATGTTTTGGCTGGTGGTGGTATGGGTACCACCCATAACAACAAAAAGACTTATCCCAGAACAGGTTCAATGTTTGGATACGTTAGTAAAGATAAGGTTCATCTTGCGTGTGAAAAAATCATGCTAGTTCAGAGAGACTTTGGTGACAGAACTAATAGGAAGCATGCGAGGTTGAAATACACCATTGATGATCTTGGAGTCGATGTCTTCAAGCAAAAGGTTGAAGATTTGTTAGACTTCAAATTTGAGGATCCAAAAGAGTTCAAGATAGACTCCAATGTAGATTATTTTGGTTGGTGTAAAGACGAGCGTGGTCTCAATCACTTCACTGCTTTTATTGAAAACGGTAGGATTGAAGACACTCCAGATTTACCTCAAAAGACAGGATTGAAGAAAATTGCCCAATATTTGGATGAAGGAAGATCTGGTGAATTTAGATTGACTGGTAATCAACATGTTTTGGTTTCAAATATTAAGGATGAAGATTTAGATCACGTCAAATCTTTGTTGTCGCAGTATAAGCTTGACAATACAGACTTTTCGGCTTTGAGATTGTCATCTGCTGCATGTGTTGCATTCCCAACCTGTGGCTTGGCAATGGCAGAATCTGAGCGTTATTTACCTAAATTGATATCTAAGTTGGAAGAAGCGCTTGAAGATTATGGTTTGAGACATGATTCAGTCGTTATGAGAATGACAGGATGTCCTAATGGGTGCGCAAGGCCCTGGCTTGCTGAGGTTGCACTCGTTGGAAAGGCGTACGGAGCTTACAATCTACTCTTAGGAGGTGGACATCATGGTCAAAGATTGAACAAGATCTATAGGTACTCGATCAAAGAAGACGAAATCTTGGATATTTTGAAACCTTTGTTCAAGAGATGGAGTTTGGAAAGGAATGAAGGTGAGCCATTTGGTGATTTCTGTATTAGAATTGGGGTAATTAAGCCTACGACAGAAGGTAAATATTTCCATGATGATATCCCTGAAGATGCTTAGGGCATAGGCTAACTGTAACCTATAATTGACATTTAATGTTATTTATCGTATAATATACAATTTTTATTAATAGCCATCTATCTATAAAGATGAATCAATTTATCCAATTATTTGCTTGGTCATGATTTGCTTGAATTATACGAAGCAGATAAACCCCTATTAAAAGGAGAGTCATCTCGCAAAGCTTTTATATCATTGAGTAAACTTTTTATAGTAGGTTTGTGATGTCTTTCTACCTCTAATACTTCTTTTAACCGTACGTTCCATAAGGTCACACTGACAGTATTCAATCTTCTTAAAACCCTATGTTCATATATTCTTGCTTTATCATCCACCATCTTGCGTATACGTTGTAACCTCTTCTCATGTTCAGACTTAAAATGCCGTATTATCTTCTCCTTTTCTGCTCTAGTGTATGCCATGAGTTTCGTATGAGTTCATAGCTCTTCTATAAAGATCTTGTTTGTATTTCTTTAGACTTTGTTTTGCCTGCACATAGATCATTGTCTCAATAAATCTCAATCGGTGGCGATATAACGCCAAAGCAAAAGAAAGGTACGAAGTAGAACAAAAGGGAACAAATTAATTGAACCCTTTTAAAAGTAGTGGTTCGTCGTATAGAGGATACAGGATTTAATTGGATTAGTGTTCATCAATCAATCGAGTTTTTAAAGTTGAGTTTATTGTGTTGAATTTTACTATAATTACGAATCAAAGATGGTCCTCGAAGCTACTATGATAGCTATTGACAACTCAGAGTATATGAGAAATGGCGACTACTTATCCACAAGATATGATGCGCAATTGACAGCGATGGAATTTATTTTCCAGAATAAGGTCAATTCAAACCCTGAAAATACCGTTGGATTATTATCTTACGGTGGTAATGATCCTCAAGTTTTGTCGACCTTAACGACTGATTTCGGCAAGATATTATCAGGAGCTCACCAGACAAAGATCTTTGGTGAAAACCATTTTTCAAGTGGAATTCAAGTAGCGGCCCTAGCATTAAAGCACCGTCAAAATAAAGTTCAAAGCCAAAGAATAATAATATTTGTGGGTAGCCCAATTAATGACTCTGAGAAGGAGCTAGAAAAGATGGCCAAGAAGATGAAAAAGAATAATGTAGCAATTGATATTATAAATTTTGGAGAAGAATCAGTGAACACAGCAAAATTGGAAAAGTTCAATTCAATTGTAAATAACCATGACAATTCTCATCTAGTCACGATCCCTCCGGGACCCAAGCTATTATATGAAGTTATAGCCAGCTCACCAATATTGGTCGAAGAAGGATTTGGTGGAGGTGACATTAACATGGATGCATTCAATGGTGGTAGCGGCGCTGGTGATATAATTGATCCGAATATGGATCCTGACTTAGCGCTTGCTCTAAGACTTTCTTTGGAGGAAGAGAAATTAAGGCAAGAAAGAGAAGCATCCGGGCAAGCTAAGAATGAGGAAGCTAACGGTGATGGTAATGTTGATGGTGAAGGGTCCTCTAACAATCAGTTAGAAAAGATTGAGGAAGACAAAGAGGAGCCCTCGAACGAGAATAAGGATTCCGATAACAAAAATGGTGCTTAGAGGTATTTAAAGGGTTTTTATCACCAAATCTATAGAATTAAATATATTTGTACTAATTTGATGAGTACTTCTCGGTCCGTCAAACATAAGTTGGATATTTTTACATGATATTACACATTTTTGCACTATTTTAGAAAATTTGAGAAGCTTATTTATTTTAAACTATTCTATCTAGTGAAAATTTTGAATAATAACCAGAAACAGTACGTTTCCTCATGTCCAAGAAGCTTGAAACATTTGATATGCAGAAAAAACAGCTTTCATTAAAAATTTATTGGGATATTAACATTTGAAAGGGTAATACAATCGAAACCTCTCGAGTACTTTGAGCAGAAGATATAAATATATACTAAGCCGTCTAAGCATTAAAGTCATGAGTCCATTTCTCTCATAATTTCCAACTCGTAGTCATCTTCCATGTCGAACTCCTCGGGGTATTCCTGCTCACCTTTCGCATCAATTGTATGTGTATCAGGGAAAACTAAGTCGTTGTCATCTGAGAAACCATCTTCTGCATTTTTCTCCTCTTGCTGATGGTCTTGAAATATCCTAGATTCATCATCCGGATTTTTGGTTGTCATTTCCTTATCCTGCGGTTCACCGTATAATTCCCCGGAATCGGAATCATCATAGCCATCACCAACAAATAAGTCATTTGATTTGTAGTTCTTTCTATTCATAAAACTCCAGTCATCGTCATCATTGTCATTATTAGTATTTAGGTTACTTTCCGGATTATCAATAGGAGATTCAGGACCATTTGGCTGCTCAGGTAGTTCGCTTTCTAACGGCTCTCTTTCTACTTCATCCACGAGCCCCTTTTCGGTCTTCAATTTCCTGATCTCAAGCTCGATCATCTCCTTTCTATAAAGTTTTAAAGAGCTGGACTTGACTCCTAAAGAACGAACTAAACGCAAACAATCTCTAAAGCGAGCCTTTGGGAACAATCCATGGCACCAAAGTTGATAGAATTGAATTACAGACTCCAAGTTAGTAAATTCATTTTCAATCTTGAGCCTCCTGATTTGCTTAGTTGAGTAATGTGAGTTGTTTGATAATGTTTTTGCAAGAGTCTTATCATTCTTTTTCATTCGGTGTGAAAGTTTTTTATGGTTCTTAATCACATATGGTATACCTCTTTGTTTGTCAAATATCCTCTCATTGTCAACCTTAGCTATTTTGCTTCTAGTTGAAAGTTTGATTTGCTTGTCAAGCCCTAAGAAATCGTCATTCTCATCTTGTTCTGGCGGCTCCTCTAGCGCTGTTTCGGTTTCTTTTGCAGTAGGACGCGTCTCATGTAGTCTTATATCTTCATGCAATAAACTTAACTCTTCCTCTAAGTCCATTTCCTATGCTTTGGATATATTGGCAGTAGTCCTTATTTCCTTATTATTATGACGTAAAAACAATTCAAATATTTACGCGTTCCGTTTTACAACCAGCATTACAAGAAGAGCAATGAACTACTGGCACAAATATTTGAAAAGAGAGAAAGCATCCTCAGACATCACTGTGTGTTGTATAAGACCCTCCAAGTATATATTGAGCAATTCTCTTCCTTGAATGTTTATTGTTTGCTAGTGTAATTTTGATTTCCACTTTTTTTCGTTGTATTGCAACAATCAGGTTACTTGGAGAGATGAAAAACTTATAGAGAGAATGTTGGGATTGGGCTCCCTTTACTACCAGTTACAAATACAACAGCGACAACTACTACTACAACGCTGTATAACAGCTTGATAGCATTCATCCAAGGGTCTCACTGGATTCTTACTTACCGAATGGCCGATATTACATTCCTGGTGTGCTACGACCTGTATTCTTTGTGTTTGAAGATTTCCCAGGGCCAGTTCCAAAGTCGAGCTTATAGTGACCTCATTCACTAGCGGATGTTTCAGATGCTGCACTATCCTTACAAAGTCTCAGTGCAGCTCGCTAGACGATAAAGCAGTTTGTGTGTAGCAGACGGTAATTTGCTAAAAGAAAATCTCTGTGCGCTCGGAAATATGTCACACTGCGCTATACCACAAATAGAACCTTGAGTTCCATTTATGGCTAGCAACCTTCAGAATATATAAAATCTCCTTAAACCACTGCTGAAAGACAGAGTATATCAAAGAAATATAAAGGGGTACAAAAGAGGGGACCAAAGTCCATTTCGAATTTATAAAATATGCTAAGTTTCCTAATATCGCTGCTATCAGTTGTTAGTTGCTACCTATTTCCTTTGCTACTAACTCTTAAGCTGTTGAACACTTTGACCGTGGGTACGAACAATTCTGAAGTGACTAAGAATATCATATTTCTTGTTAATTATTGGCTTTGCTACATCGGTGTTAGCTATGTCCAGAATCTCTTTTTCATCCAGCTACTTTCTTTATCTGGTGTTAGCCCATTCTTGGAACTAATTTTTTTTGTGACCAAGTTTTGGCTCTTTTATGGCCATGGATGCTTAGTGATCAATTATGCATATCCTGGTGTTGTCAGCTACAAGGTTCTTGGACTCAGAATGTATAGCTTCAGTGATTTTGAAGAGAGGTTCATCGAGCCTCTAGTGAGGGTAGTTGCAAGCAATAACATGTTGTACAATAGGATATTAGCTTTGTCCCTGAACATTGCAAGGCAAGTCTGCGACATGAGCAATATTACAAGTGGTATTCATCTGTATTTCTATATGTTTGCATCGAGCTTTTCCCAAGACAAGAGCTTTCTTCAGACTTCATTGGATTACATATGTTATATTGACTCACCAGAAGACTTGCTGACAAGATGCAAGACATTTGAGCGAACTATCAGCGCCTTGGGGCTTTTGGGATGGGTAAATAAAGAAGCATTCCTGACATCTTCGTTATCAACATTCAAGAGTTTGAATAATAATGTTCAAACTTTTGCAATTGTTGAAGGCAATGTTCCCAAGAAGGAAGAGAAGCGTTATTCAAAGCCACGAAGTCGCAGTGGGAGTCTATTGGCCAACGACACCGCCGAGCCAATAGCACATGTTGATATACCGAAGATTGTCAACAAAAATCATCCGCCATTGCAACAAAGAGCACACATCTCGAAGCATCAGGAGTATCCTTTTCCATTACTTCTGCTTTATACCCAGGATATGAATTTACAACATCGAAAACCACCGCCGAAGTATTTCACTAACCAAAATGTGATGGAGCAAAACCAGAACCATCCTAGTAAGTCCAATAGCCAACCTGCATCTCGGGTGCCCTCTGATACTCGGGTACCTTCTGATACTTTACGACCACTTTATGAATCATTGAATGGAAATCAGATAAGGATACATTCAGAAAAGGTAAGACCTTCTTGATAAGATATAGATATTTAATTTGCTAAGCATATTTATTTAAATCCTTTATTCTTTATATAGTCATAATATTAAACGATCTTTCATATTAAACAAAGTAGGTAAGAAAAACAAAAAAATTAATAGAACTTTGCGTATCCTTGGGTCCATGAACTGCTGTGAATATTTACCCAGGGTTAATGTGCTATCTATAATCGTTGACTTTGATGAGTCACTTCATGACTTGAAAGGAGTTGCGCTTCAATCGAAGAACCATCTCTTGATCTCATCTAAGAAGAAACATACCGATGTGGTCTTACCAATATACTTACCTCATAATAATTTGAAAATAAAAAGTGTTAACAAAACGAAGGACTGCTTAACGATATCTATAAGTCTAGAGAATCCTAGGATTGAAAATGAAAGGACTGAATCGTTTGTAAGCTCAAACATACAAAAATGGTCATGTAAAGACTTGAAAAATAAAACACCGAAAGATGGCGATATGGCAAATCTTTTTACTTTCAATTGCATATCTTGTGGCCAAGGAATAATAGATTCGAGAAACTACAAGTTTCTTGATATGCCTTCTGAGTATTGGCATGAACTAATGGACTTTTGGCATTGTCACAAACCTCATTCTGATGAGCAAGTAGAGAAGGACTACAATGGAAAGCTTCAAGCAAATAACAATGACGTAATAATGGGAAGCTACTACCTACAGTTGAATGAAAAGTTTACACCCCAGAGCATAAATACACATGATGGTGTTACTTGTACCCAATGTCATACAAGTTTGGGTGATTTAAATGGCAGTAATGTTAGGCTATTTAAATGGAATCTTTCTCTTGCTTATGGAACAAGAAAAGAAACATTTCCGAAGTGGTTGTACATTTACAGTGTGATATTGGATAAGATAAACATATCTGCTTCAAGGAAGTTTAAAATTTATAACGGGTCTGAAGGTATATTCCTTTGGATTATAGGCATTGGAATGGATGTATCATACAGCGATCATATTACGAAGAATTCACTAAAAATCCTATATTGTCCTGCAATTTCAACTGGAATCGAAGAACTTGAAAACGTCGAATATATAGAGACATTTCCCGATGTATTAAAAAGCTTCAACAACAAGATAGACAAAGTGAATAGTCTATTACCATCTTCTAGTAAACAAGTTTCCTTTGAAGAAGGTGGCGAAGTTCGAAATTATAAAGTTGCATACATTGGCACCAGTGAAGCCTCTTAGTATATAAATATCTTATTCTAATCATGTTCCTCAAGAACATCTTTAATCACAGGAACCACTTGCTTTCGAGATGCTTTGATATTTACCTGGTTAAAGATTTCTAGTTTATGTCCACTTGAGTTGACCTCATTGAGCTTGTCAGCGAACTTAGTACCCTTGTAAATATCCAGATTCAATTTTAATTTAGGGTCCGCTAACTTGTATAGTTTATCAAATTTGGCATTTTTCAAATCATAATAATATGAAAACTCTCTAGTATATTTTCCACTGGATGTGGTATACGAAGTGGTGACAACTAAAAGATCCAACTTGAGTGTTTGGAGCATCTGGTTTAAAGCTTTTTTAAAGTGCTCAGGGGAATATTCCTTAAAAAGCCAGAAGTATGATTTGCCAACTGAACTAAAGCCAACAACAGTATCATTAGAGCCAAATGTAAATTGTTTATAATCTTTGCGCAAAATATCATATAGGGAAAACCCATGGAGATCTTTCTTGGCTTTCTTGAGCTCTGAATAAAAACCTGAAAACGGGTCAGAATCCGTCTTCTCTTGTGAAGAAGAAAACGTTGTGATAGTATCAGGATTTAATAGTTGCTTATATGTTTTGATAGCATCCTCGTCTCCCTCTTCAACCTTCTGCGTCATATTTGAAGTATCAATGAGCAACGGACCCAATAATAGCTCTATAATTTCATTTTGTTTCAAGACTGTCTTATCGTCGAACTGTGAATACCAGTAATTGAAAACAAGAGCTGAACAGGACCCATTGGAATGTATTATCCTTGGATTTGCATCTAAGAAAGCATTTTCGTCTTCATGGTGATCTATTATACCAACAACTTTGACCTTTCCATCTTTGAATGCGTTATTCAAGGCAGAACCTTGAATATTACAATGGTCCACAAGAACAAGCTCAATACTCGACGCAACCTTTGAATACGATTCAAAATCTTCAACAAAGTACAACAAGTCTTCCGTTATTGAATGACGCTCTAATAGCAATTTAATATCTCTTCTCAATTTAAAGTCATCCCTAGGGATATTAATTAAGGGAATCAAAATTGCATTGGAATTCTTGATATAGCTAAAATATGAATAACTGATAGCGCTTATAACGGAGTCCATATCCGCAGACTGATTGCCAGTAGCAAACCTTAAAGGAATCTTCGTGACATTGGCTTCCAAATGGTGTTTTATATTGACAAGAAAAGCCTTGACTGACATTGTGACGGGATTTACTTTCTTCACTAGTTTATCATTTAGAAGAATTTTGCTCGATCATCACCTTTTCTATACAATATACAAGGTACTAATTAAAGAATGTAAATTGATTCAATGAAGTATTGATTTGTATGTATTTATATACTTGATTACTTAGCGTAATGCAAGTTAATGTCTAACCAGTTCCTTCTCTTTACTTCTTCAATAGAAAGAGAGACATCTCCGTAAGTTACCGGTCTAAAGAAGAAGAAGAACCAAACAACTGCGGAGCAACAAAGGGACACCATAAGGACGATCTTGTTTCTTTGGACGCCATTGACACCATGATCCCTTTTGGTAGAATTATTCGAGCATATAAATTCTACTAGACCACCCGAGAACAAGGCTGCAATCAAATGAGCAGGTAAGTAATGATGTAAGAATTTTTGTCTATTCATCAAAAAAAATGGAAGATAATGGGCACACCAGCCAATGAAGAAGAATCCCAATGTATTGTAAAGTCTTGATCTAGCCTGCTTGGTGAGCAAATGAAGGTTACGGCGACTCGTTACTTGATCAGCAAGAACCAAACCCAAGTAAATTGCGATGAAGCAAACTTCCAACCAAAATCCAATAATATTTCCAGTGAAAAATATTTGCTTCCTAGCCTCATTATCATTCCAGAAAGAGACTCCTGACAATGCTAGCGGCCAAGCCTCAGGCATTGATGCAAAGGGATGGCTAGAAGTGAGCTGGTTATTATGATGAAACATCAATAACTGTAACTCCCACCATTTCTTTAGGAATGGGAGTGTCTTGACTACTTTGGGCACATATTTCTTTCTTGCATCATCCTCAGCCATATTTACTATACCGTCAATGATCCAGGTGTTGTCCTTATCTTGAATTTTTTTGTTTCCACTGACCTCCTGTTGTCCAAATCCCCATTCTGGTAACTTTTCATCGTCGTGTGTCCACATAGCAACGACAGTATCAACATGAATAATCTTGATCGGAGTCGCCAAAGTTTTCACAAGCTTCCTCTTTTTGGCATTATTGCCGGACGAGGAGAATCTCAACCTAAACAATGTTTCATTGAAATGAGTTACATCTGCATCTTCTCCGTGGGCGATTGTGAATTCCTCATTCGTTGGCTTTAAAGGTGATGCGACATCATGGGTCAAAAGGAAACCTCCGGTCCCAATATGTTTGAGTCGAACGATATCATTTGTGTAGACACTAACATCGCTGTTAACTTTCTCTTGATCGACAGGCAATATTTGCCACTGGTTATTTACATCCTCTGGCTCTCTATTATCCTCATCAAAAACACAAGTTACCTGCTGAGTGTTGGAAGAAATTCTTCCATCCTCATACCGTAAGGGGTAATCAAATAAATGAGAATGTAAATATGCTTCAGTATCCTTATGTTTAATCGTAATGAAATCGTAGTAATGAACGTCTTTCGAATCTTTAGCCATTGGAGATTCTAGTAACGTTTCCTGAAACTCAGATGACATGAACGAGTCCCCCGGACCAGATTTAGTCAAGATCGCAAAATGTAAATAAAACCAGAACAAGTAAATAAAGAATGGAACAACAATCAAACTCCATAACCTGGCAACAAAATGCTTCGAAAACTGAGTCATAGTTAACCCCTTTCTATAATCAAGAAGGATCCATAACTCATGTAAAACACCAATGCCAATCGTAAAATATGTGAAAACACCCACGTATTTCGTAGAAATGACACACGAGAGAGAGATTCCAGTCAAGGACAACCAAATCCACCAATATTTTGTAAAAGGTTGCTTTCTATATGTCGAGAATTTGGTGTAGCAATATATAGTCAATGCAACGCTTAAAAGTAAGGTGGCATCCAACAAAATTAAGCGAGAGTCAATGACATGAGCATTATCAAAGCAAACAAGAACACTCGACATAACGCAAGCAGGCACAGAGAAGCCTAATGTCTTCATAGTTAGAAACAATGTAGGAACAGTCAAAACACCTTGAACAGCCAGAAGAGATCTGTATCCGATATATGGCACATTGTTTTGGGTGTAACTATCGTTGATAGAATCAAACTTGAACAGGCCATCATATCCCATCAAGTATCCGACAAACGCAATGAGTAGTTTTGCAAATGGAGGATGCAAATCAAAGAAATATGTCCTTTCCAAATAATAAGATGCAAACTTACCAAAGTGCACCTCATCAAAGACAACTCTATCAGGCGTTCCAATCTTGTCAAATCTTGTATAAATGGCCAATAGGGTAACTACCACCAAACTTACATAGTATTTCAAGTTAGATTCCTTCTCTCCTAGCACATTAACGCTCTTCTCTTTCTTAATGTCGTCATCATAAGAAGATGTTGAAAGCGTATTTGTAGTAGAACTGCTTCCTTTCTTTGCTCCCCTTTTTCTTAAACCTTGTGACATCTTTCTTCTACACTGAAAAATGATTGAAATAAAGTCGAGAAATACAACTAACTTTTGTTTGAGTCTCTTGTTTTATAGCTTGTGAACTCAATTCTGGATATTTTATCTCAATAGCCTGGAACAAAGCCTTAGAAGAAACAGTAGTCTTCCAAGCTTGCAAATGATGTTGTATTATTAGTTGGAATTGACTATAAAAGAGATTGTTTTTTCAAAACTGACCACGTCTCAATGAAAATATCTATATGCAGAACTTCGTTCTCTAAAACGGTTCCAGAGTTTTTGATTGCGAAAAACATTCGCCAAGGGGCCACATTACATAAATTTCTTTGATCTCTTTTGATAACCACCTCTTCCTTTGATAATAGGCTGAGTATTGGGCGGAATGGAAGGTCTCTGGGGAGGCGGTGACTGAAGATAAGGGCTTGTATGCTGCTGCTTTGGGCTAGTAACATTACTTGGAGAAAGGCTTGAGCTCCGAGAAGATGACATTGAGGTGTTGAGCCGATTGTTGTAATTATTATTGTTATTACTGCTGTTATTGTTGGAATTCTCATTGCTGTTCCCATTGCTATGGATACTAAGAAGTGGCGTCGGAGTTGGAATTGCTACAGGCTGAGACATAGAAATCTGGACAATTCTAGCATTCTTTTCTTCCAAAAATCCTTCATACTTGCGAACGGTGGCAGTTAGTTCTTGAATCCTTTGTTCGTAATTCAAAGTTAGAGCCTTAGCCCTCTCACCAAGCTCCTGTCTTAGGACATCAATTTTTGATTCATACGACTTTATAGACGAGTCTAATAATGCACGCGATTCGGTAAGATCTTTCGAAAGATCCAGGTTGCACTCAGTTAAGATCAATATTTCATTTTTCATGCTATGCATCGCCTGTTCTTCCGCGTTGGGGCCCTCTTCACACCTGATTTGTTGAGTGGAGTTTTCAGAAGCCAGCAAATTTGAACTAGTATTATCAGTTGGCTTTGTAGTAGACAGTCTGTTAGTATTCTCGAACATAGCTGCTTTGGTTTTCAACTGATTAATTTCGAAATCCCTTTCTGATAACATTTTGTTGAGGTAATTCAAATCCGAAACCTTGGACTGTAGTTCAGTATTCTTGAGCTCTAGTTGTGAAGAGATTTTTTGCTTCTCAATTAGAACTTGTCTTAGCTTATCAAGGACTAATTCGTCCTTGTCATGCATGCTCGAAAGCTTTTGATCATGTTCGAGCTCAACCAATCTTAAAGACTCGACAACAGAATCATATTCTTTCTTTGATACATAGTTGGATTTCATCTCGTTAAATTCGTGTAATTCCTTCTCCTTTGCAAGCCTATTAAGCTTTATTTTTGCTGTGAGGTAATTAAACTTATTCAAATGTTTCAAGTAACTTCTGAATTCTAGTTCGTTTTTCATTAATAGCAACTCACGTTGATAGAAATCAATCTCAGAGCCTTTCATTTCCTTCGATTGCATTGCACTTGCAATGGCATTAGAATTTGAGCTCCCCAAGGAAGAATTTAAAGAATTTTGATGCACCACGGCGGTTTCTAACGAAATAGTAGGCGAAGAAACGGGCTTCTGTATATGTAATTCGCTTTTATGTTTTTCATTAACCTGAGTCGAAACCGAGGTTCTGGTTGAAGTCTGATCTGCGTCGTTCACAGACTCACGTAATTTGACGGAAGGGACATACAACTTTTCATGAGTTTGAAACAAGTCATTGAGATGTTCAGTTGATCCTAAGGCTGAAGGTATTAAATGAGGCGATGAGGTTGCAGAAGCATCCGGGCCCTTCAATTGGCTATTAGTGTCGATGTTCAATAGCCCTGTATCGTCTTTTTTTAACCGTTCTTTATCAAACGCAACTTCCTTAAACTTGATTTCCAGGCGAGGTGCAGAGCTTTCAAGATATAAATCAGTTGGAACGACTGATAGTTTTCTATTTATGTTTTGAACTTCTTTCGGCAACAAACTTTTTACGAAAGAATCTTTAAAACTCATTAAGGGGCTCCCCAAGGAAGAAGTCCTCGATACATGCTGTGAGCTGGGCTGCGAATTTTCGTTCGAGCCACCGACTCCATTAAAGACGAAGCCTGAGAGATTACTATCATGACCCAAAATTTTGGTGTCAAGATTCAAATCAGTCAAATAATCAGGAATGCTAACCATAATATTGGGATTAAGTGATAAGCAACCCAAAGAAATTTTCTCTATACCGAGTGAGTCTCCATTGCTTTCTTCAAGTAACCATGCGAGTGGATTTTTTAGCTCATTTTCAATCGAAGTTTTTCCTTTTATAATTGAGGGATGCAAAATGAAACTTCTCAAGAATCTGTTTGTCTTCTCTCGTACAAGCATTGGATAGCTTACTTCCCGGGGATCAAGATCCTCCGACATACGACTAAGCTTAACCAAAAAATCGGAATTAGTAAATTTTGGTTTATGATTGATTAAGTATTGAAGCGGAGATTCTGAAAATCTCATGAAATTTATTGGAAACAACCCATATAGTAAGGTTACGAGATACAGAACATCCAATTCGACTTTCGAGTTTTGAAAAAGTGGATGATCCTGGGATTCTTGTTCTGGGAGAGCCTGATTCCATTTAATACCTTCTTCTTTAAGAAAATTAGAATAGTTCTCCACACGGTTTGGCAAAGTATGGTCTAAGTAATCCCAACTCGCCAATCTCATATACAATGTAAAATAATCGGGCAAAGCATCTGCGACATGGCGATGAATCTGTGGGATCAAAAGAACCAACAGCGATAAGGCAACTAGCACCAAACTCTTATCAAAGTCGTACATTAAACATTTTAATAGACTTGAATAGAAATTAGTATTAACAATTTGGTATGATTGTGAGTTGTGTGATACAAGCACATGCGATAATAATGTAATGATTTGGATTCTCTCATTAGGATTTGAAAAGTATTTATTGAGAAGTTCAAAATATGCAATGGTTTTTTTTAAGGCAAACTCGTAGAGAAGATCTTCACAATTTAGTTTGATAAATCTTATTCTTTCCCAGAAAACCTGTGATTTCTTCTCTTCATCCGTTGGGTATAGATTGATGATCTCGTAGTTCTTATCATGTCCTCCTAAATATATTTGCAAAACATACTCCATCACCATTACTGCAATACCATCCCGCTCTTCTTGTAGAATAGGATCATCAGTTTGCATGGAATTTATTGCCAAAGCTTTAATGTACTCTCTTGCCTTTTTCACGAAATTCAAGTCGAATCCAGCACTATCTACCGCAGGACTCAAATAGGTCTTTAACCAGAATCGAACATCATCTTTGTCTAAAACTGGCGCAATTTGTTGTAAAACCTCCAAAAATAAGATATTTAATTCAATATTAGTAGATTCTTGAACGTATTTCGTATATAGCCTCAAAAGCTCTTCATGAACACTACTTGTTTGTTTTATACTTTGGGAAGTATTATGTTTCTCAAGATAAAGTGTTATGGCTCTAAATGATTCTGAAGTGTCTTCCGACGATAAATTATCATTTCCCCCTCCAGAACTCTCGAATAAAGACGAAAGTGCCTTGTATAAGGATCTTGAAGATCCTTGCATCTTCTTTCTAACTTTAGACCACCTTTTTGTGCCTAGCCTACGGTTCTTCCTTGGTTATAAGATCATCGCTACAAAAGTTAGTTACTCCCTGCATGTTATTTCTCAGTATAAAACCAAAAACTTACGATAACAACGTCAAATCGGGCAATTGACAATGTCATACTTGGAAGTAATAACTAAGGTTGATAATTTTCCATACGGTGAAGATCCTGGATACTACAAATTGCTTTCTCATGATCGGAGTGCTATCTTGGGGTATATTGAAGAAGATATAGCTGCTAGATTAGCCGAAGAGCTGTGGTTTCATATCGAGAGATCAGAGAAGACCGTCACATTTGATAGTAAATTGGACATATTTGAAAAGAGAAATGAAGTTTTAAAGACCATAGCTGAAAAATGGAGAAAATTGCCATATTTCTCTGATAGTTTGGATAAGGCTTGGAGAAATGAACTATACGTGGTATATAATCCTACTCATACGCCCTATGTGCTAGTAGAGCGTGCACTCTCAGTACTTATCGGTGTGGTAACTTATGGTGTTCATATTAATGGATATATTCCCGCTTCAAAGACGAGTAATAAGAAATTGAAGTTGTGGGTTCCAAGAAGATCGAAGACCAAGCAAACGTATCCATTGATGCTTGACAACACTATCGCTGGTGGAATTGGGTTTCCTAATGGGATAGGCGAGACAGTAATCAAAGAATGCTTCGAGGAGGGCCACCTTTCAGCAGAATTTGTCAAACTGCATATCAAACCTACTGGGGTCGTTCTGTATATGTATCAGCCGAAAGGTGCACAAGGAAATGTTCAACCAGAGGTTGAATACACATATGACTTGGAGTTTGATAATGAAACAGATGTGATACCAAGACCAGAGGATGGTGAGGTTGAAAGCTTCGTTCTTATGGATTCGGATGAGGTACTTAAGAGATTATATAGAAATGAATTCAAGCCAAATTGCGGCTTGATTATAATTGACTTCTTGATAAGACATGGATATATCACTCCGGATATTGAGCCTAATTATTCAGAAATCGTCTCTAGGTGTCATAGAAAACTTCCTTTCCCTACTCTATAGCCCAAATCGATATATAACATTGTATACAGGAACCACCCCAAATCATAAGTTCAAAGCTTCTTAGGTAAATCTTCAAATAAACATCTTAAAGAAGAGCATCTATGTCAAGTACCTTTTCAGGAAGAACTGCTGATAGAAGTCCCGGAGATGGATTGGAGGAGCTAATCGATCTTATCATTGGGAAGCAGAATGATCTACTAGGACTGGTGCAGCTTATAAAGAAGGAATATACATTAGAGGAACTATCAGAGCGATTAAATGTGTTACAGGAATACTTTAATGAACAGCTTGGTACACTTTCTTTGTGTCAGCTAAAAGATCATAGTGTGTTGTGGGTTTATACTTTAGAGAGTTTGAGCAGCCAAATATTAAATTATAAAACCACATTCGATATCAGCTTATCTTTATGCGATGAAGAACAAGCAACAGAAAAGACCAACTTAATAGGGAACATTGCCGCTAGGTTAGGCAAATTATTCACTGACATGTATTATAATATTAACCAATTTCTTGCAAAGGAATCACAAAATATATCAAAATACTTATCTTCCTCAATTCTCCTCGAGACGTTATTGACTTTTTTGATAAAGAGTCTTGATACTATCATCATTGACAAACCCGAGGAGATGCTGTATTTGGAGGATAGCAAATCCACCGTCATCCTTATGAGCGAATTTATTCAAGGCTTTTACACCGCTCTTTCATCCTGCGATGAGAGTTGGAGGAATCAAGGATTATTTCTTTCATTTCCTATGTTGAGCCGATTTGTGAACGCAATTTACAAATGTGCATTGTCCTATTTACTAATTCCATTACTAAAACCACAGAAAGGGTTTCACGATCCCATTGTTAATCCGAAGTTTGCTATTGAGGCTGTCAAATCTTTTTCTGTTGACTATAATGATGTGATTAACTATTTCAAATACGTAGCATTCAACTTGGTTACTTTGTCCCTTGGCGATAACGTTACAATATCTGATTTTTACAATGAAGCTGCAGATACCTATTTTGTTGTGTTGCTAAATTTACCAAATATAAAGGTGGAGCAGCATCCTTTCACGTTTGCATCATACCGCGATGAAGAAATTAATACTTCTACTGAAAGAAAAGAACTCTCGATGCTTTATTTAATCAACTATCTTTTAAAGCTCAATGATATTGGCCAAATAATTAACCCGTGTGACAATTTCATAAGCGAACTTAAATTGCTAACAAATTCATTATCCAAAGATCTTACTAGTGAAATGACTAATTTAACAAGAAGAGGAAGTTCCTTCTCATCTGAAAGATCGCGATCAGAATCCGAATCAGATTTGAGTGAAAAAAGGCAAAATAGCACGGCTTGTCTGGTTTCGTTGAGTTCGATCCTTTTGGATGGTACCTATAAAGAAAAGTTAATAATGTTAGTTCACTTTTTTGATCTTTTTAAAAATGAAATAAAAATTTCCAAGATACTTAAAAAGTTATATGATAATAATGCGATGACGACTTTTCAACACATGGTATCGATGATAGACCCTAAAAAATATCCCGGCAAGTGCTTGTTTGCCAATGCTATTAATTTCATTTCGAAACTCTTGTTTGTCTTGAGCATCAAGTTTTTAGCATTTAATGGAGGTTTAAACAATGTTTCGGAGGTACAACTCAACGAAATGTTTGCAACGAATTGCTCGGTTATTGACGCTTTAAAGGTGAAGCATGTCTTGGACTATAAAGCAGAAATTGGGCCAGATGGAGACCTTGTATTTAATTTCATTTCTTTGAAACCCTCTCATGACAAAACCTTAGACATTCGACAGCAAATTTATATCAGTCAAACTACTAAAGAAGTGAGGGAAATAATTCATAAGCTAGCATAATAGTGATGATATAGTCCAATTATAAGCCAATATATATATATACTAATTCATAACTTATACATTTAGTCGTGGTGGCTACCTATATCAGTCATCTCTTCGCATTAAAAAACCAAACTAATAGATAAGGTGAACAGTTCATTAGCTAAAGATATATACCACTAATAAACTGACAATATCCTCGTGAATAATGTCTCTGTACTCTGAGGAGATAGAGAAGATCTTTCACTTATTTCAAGAAGAAATCACCTTTGAGTATGTGTATTATCAAATCACTATCCTGCTAAAACTTGACTAACGATTTGCAGAGACAGAATCAGGAATCAATTGAGTGACTTAGAAAAAGAATTTAATAGAGAGATTTCTTCGATAAGGTCTGATTATAATGGATTGCGCAGCATTGAGCCTGTGAACCTACAAGAATTCTATCATTTGGGGTCAGAACTGAAGCTTATCAACTTCAAGCATGAGACAAATCAAATAGAACTAAAAGGCAAGCATAGAGGTGCTATAGATGATATAAAACTTCTCACGACAGTCTTTCATCAATATATGGATACATTAGAATGCATTGATGGCAAAGATATTATGAAGGAGAGATTTAGAAGAAAAATTTGTCAAGACATATATTATATATTGATGCTTAATCGATATTTCAAAGTGGTAGCTTATACTTTCCACAATAAAGCTAATGAGCTCAAATTGGAAATACCATTTGTTACAACTACTGATGATAGACCTATAGGATTGATACTTACGCCAAATGAAATAGAGCAATTGCTTGCATTGGAGCTGATTAACTACAACGATTACTTGTTGGGTTTATTAAGGCTCATTGAACTTATGGCCGACTACACGAGTGAAACAATTATACAAGTCTCGATCAGTCCTAGTGTTTCCAACGAAACTAAGAGCAGACAATATTCCGTAAGTTTGCTTAATTTGCAGCTGATAACAAAGCTTCAAAGTGGGTTTCAAATGCTAGACCTCAAGAATGATACAATCAGAAGAAAATACGACGGATTGAAGTACAACTTGAAGAAAGTTAGCGGTATTGTTTATGATCTTTCTTTGAGAAACTTAATAAAGAATGACGTAGAATTGTATTAGGTCTATATACTGTTCTCTTCTTCTCTGTACTTCTGGTCTTGGTTTTAGCCTTGGTCTTCCACCAAATTAATGCCAGCTGAGTTAGACTCTCTCGCTTTATCGTTATCTTCGAAAGATTTACTCTCTGCACTAGAGGGTGATCGATGTATGCTATTCTTTTCTTGAGAACCATTTTCATTATCTCTCATGTCTCCAGCATTGGCTGTGACTTGCAAGTCACTTGGTTCGCTGATTGCATCATGAAATTCCTCGCCGTTGATTGTCTCTACGGATTCATTGTACATGTTGTCTGTTGTCCCATTCTCAGCTAAAGTTGCACCTTTGGCTCCGAGTTTCTGCTTTTTGCTAGCAGGTTCTCCGTTGTGCTGAGATACATTGGTTTCTATAGTGGCACCAAAAATTAATTGCCCGTTCGCCTTTTGTCCACTAGAGTCAGGGGATGTAATATTAAGATCAGAAAAGTTATCATTCACGACAGCACTCTCTTCTGACATGACACTTGAAGCACCGATTTCCGGTGTCTTCAAAATATCATTGTGGATTCCATCATTAGATGTGGAGCCTTCATTTGACTTCTTTTTGTCTTCTATATCTGAATCGCTAACGAATTTGTTGTAAATATTTGGGTCATCTTTAAGAGCACCTTCAACGCTTCTTTTAAGACTCTTCAAAATGTCAGCCGTGAATGGAAAGACATCTCTCTTTGCAAGTTTCTTAATCTTACCGCTTGGAGATTCCATAAAATTTTCATTTGATATGTTCTTTTCTCCTTTATTTCGAAGAACATATTGAAAAATTCTAATGTAAATCGCAACGATAGTGTCGTCTATCAAAGACGTGGGTCCAAACCCATTATTGAACTTTTTCATGTCATTAATAGCTTGAAGAAAGCAAATATGGGCTACCAAGTCCTTAGGAATCCCATCTTTCTTAAGTATATCGAGAACAAACTTAGATTCTTTCATGAAGTTTTGGTAAGTGTTTTCTTGCAAAAAGTTTTCGGTAAAACTATCGTCTACGTCCAACAGATTCCTAAGTATTTTGCATATCGTTGAACACAACTTTTCCCACGCATAGTACAAAGAAATCATCGTTGCATTAGAGCGACGAAGCTTGGGGAGCATTTGGATTAGCCCAATCATATCTTTCTCATGAGCTAAAAGTCTAATATATAGCTGAATGTATTGGAAAGTATAATAAAAGTGCTTCCCCGGGCGTTCATGTTCTGGCTTCCAAATCAGAACTAGAGTCTTGCTTGTTGCTTTTAAAGAGACAAAAGAAGACATTTCGGTTATTGCATCTTTACTATTTCCCAAGTCATCGAATAAAACCTTAGCAAGTCTGTATCGAGGTTTGTGATGCCACTTCTTTTTATCATAAGCGATTATTCGTTTTAAACATTCCACCACAACTCGATAAAAGTCTTGCTTTGATACAATTTGTACAGTCTTCTCCGTCCGATCGAACTGTATCACGGGTTCTTGTGATAAAAAGTCAAGAGCCTGATCTATTGAAAGTGCGTCATTTTTCACGTATTTGTAAATGACAGAACAAATCGCATAGTGTGGTTCAATTACAGGATCTGAAAGATTCGATTGTCTTTTAGAAAGGGCACCCGCTTTGAATAGCGTTTTGATCACTAATTCTGGATCCTTTTTGAGTTTTCTTTGAACTTTAGCTAAGTAATAATAGCCTGTCCAATCTTTAGGTTTAGACTTAATAGCTAAATGCAATGTTTGTTGAATTATGTTTAGGCAGGACTTTTTACTTACCAAACTATTGGTGGATATATTTACAAATGCTGCTCCTGATGGTTTTCTTATAAATCTTGGGTTACCTTGAACTTTAAACGCAAACATATCCATAGGCTGCATGCAAGCATTATACATCTCCTTTGCTAGTGAAGACATCAAAATTCCTATCAAAGGCTTGATCTGCTCTCTTTCAGAGGATGATTCAGTTTTTGTTGATTGATTAACTGCCATAAAATAACATATGAGAGATTTTCTTTGTAGATTTGCAGTTCCAACTTTTCTTTCTACTATGTTCAATTTGTCAGAAGTCCAAATTAGATCGTCTTCTACCAAAAAACCATACGCCTGACCTAAAAGAAGCCAGCTTTCCATTCTATAAGAGCAAAATATTAAATCATTTTTTAGTAACTTTATAATATTTTCCAATTCAACTGCTCTGCTTTGCATATTCTTTTTACGAATCTTATACGAAGCAAATATCAATAAACCTTGTAAATAGTACAAGCCATTTTTAACAATTTCATCGTCCGCAGAATCAGAATCGTTGAAGTCCAAGCTCACTAAACCATAGAAGGAGTCACGAATGAGTTTCGGGCTGATATTTGTAAGCTCGAGGAATGAGCTAAAAGTAGCATCATTTCTGCTGAGCGCAACATTATTTTCAAAATCAGGATTACCAATTACTTCATAAAAGTCGTCAATTAAGAGCCTCAAATCCTGCTTCGGTGTATGAATTAAAGGATTCCGACGAAAACACAACGGCAAAATAAACTTGGCAAGGCCATAGGTGGAGGACCTATCCAATTTATCTGCGACTTCAGTCTCATGATCTGCTGGGGAGAAATTGTCAATGCTGATGGTGTAGTGATATCGACATGATACTATTTGTAATAATTCATGTTGTGGCACAAAGCTTAAGTTTAACAATATATCCTGAGCCATTCTCAAGAATAAACCCAGCGCACTGTCACATAGCTTTCTAGGACCGAGTTGATCATGAATTAGATTTAAAAAACCAGCAACTAGCTCATCATTAGTAGAACTAGAGATAATTTCTTCACTTGATTGAAGCAAACAAGCCTTATAATATATTATAATGGCAGTTATAGTTCTCACAATCATATCTTTGAAAAGCTCATAAGCTGCCGTTGATCTGGAATTAATTGACACCTTTAAGCTAGATATAATCGAAGCTTCCTCATGAATGCTAAATAAATAAAGAATTCCAAAAAACTTTAGTAGTAAATTCAAAGATACAGACAAGCCATTATCTGAAACGCTTAGATTCCAATCTCTTTTGCTCAAATGTTGAAGCATAATCTTTACGCATTCATCATAAAATCCTAGCATTCTTAAGATGGTGCTTTCTCTTTCTTTTGAAGGAAGAGTGCAGAAGCAATGACTTTCCAAAAAGCATATAATGAAATTCAAGCATTCCTGAAATCCAAATTGCAATCTTTCAAAACAGCTTTTATCATTGTAGTACAGAAATAAAATATTCCATAGGCTGAGTTTCATATCTACGGGAGACTTGGATAAAAAGCCCTTAATAGAGTCAACGGCTACTTTGTCAGCCTTAGAGGTCTCATTGTCTTCGAATTCACTGTTTCTTGAAGTAGGCGAGTCAATAAGAATGCTTTCCAAGAGGTATACAGCTTCGTCAGTGTTCCCTTCTGAATCAGTAGAGAGAATCTTTGCGAACATAGACAAAACCGACGTCGTCGTCAATTGCGATTTTATACTTTCAATACTAATTTCGCTTATGTTCAAATAGTTTGGTAGAGCTATCACGAAAGGCTCGCCAATATTTCCGATACTGTCATGTAATTGTTGCAATTCCCGCATTATGAATTTGGTATCTTTCATAATAGTGCTTTGGGACTTTTCTTTGAATAAAGAACTCCAGATATATCTATATCTGAGTTTCATGACTACACCCATCAGCTTTTGCCAATCTCCAAAGCTATCAAAAATCTCACATCCCAAAAAATTATACCATTTCTTTATTTTATCGTTCACTCTGACCACTTCGACAGCCAAAGAGTTGATAGTGGCCTTTGAAGATTTCACAGATCCACTTCGCAAATTACTTGAAAGTAAACCATTAAGCTTATCTCGAATCGTAATATAATAGTCTATGAGTATTTCATAAATACTCACGGCCAACGACATATCTCGAGTTTTATTTGAAGCAAAAGAATTCAATTTCAAACATGAGAATATTTCAGTTTCAAATTGTATCGACCATTCCCTAATTCTCAAGTATAACTCTAGATCCCACGTTGTATCGACTATCAAGCATACAGAATTTGATGCATAGTCCTCGCGAATACCTAGGAGCCTATTCAATATTGCGATCTTGAGATCCCTATAATGGTATGAGTCATTCGTGACATTACTTAGAAAGTCATTGATGCCATCAGATGTTTCAAGATAAGAAATAGGTTGAGTATTATCTGCGAATTTTGAAGTTAAGGAATTGCTTTTACTTCCAAAGGTGTTGAGAACGTCAAACAACATAACCTTTTCATCTTCATTCGAGCTATTCCTTTGCTTTGAGTTACCAAGTTTGTTTGAAACTAATAATTTGGCATGACTATTTTTGAAGTCATTTAGAATCTCAAGGTAGTCTTTCATATAAACTGGTAATTCAGAAGCTTCGTTTTCAAGAGGGACGTATAAATCAACTATATTACCAAGAGAAGGGCAATTAGCAATGTGCTTTAGATACTTATTCATGTTTTCAAAAAACAGTACAGTTTCATAAAAGTCATTTCGGGAGACTTTGTAATCAAAGTTATTGATGTCTTGTCGAGATTTGAATCGTTTTGAGGTCCTTTGACTTGAATTATCTGAATTAATGGTCCCTGACTGGTTTTTGGGGTCTCTAGATTTATTCTCTAAAGGTTCATCTTCTATATTTTTGGTTTCTGTATCTTCTTCTCTCTGTATATTAGATGGCTCCTCCCGGTCTTCAATATTAGGTGAGCCTTCATCTTTAGAGTGGTTATTTTCTTCCCCATTTTGTGGCAAGTTAACATCACTTTGAATGAGATTGGGATCCTCTTCAACCTTTTCAACAGATACTTCCCTCGCTTCTTTCGCATTATCAATACCATTTGTATGAGTCTCTGAGTCACCTCCATCTTCCTTTACATTTTCATCCTCCAAGTTAGTTTCCTTCAAGGGTGGAGAAGCACTCAGCATCTTATTATTGTCTTGAGAGGTCCAGTCAGGAAAACTAAATTGGATCCTTTCGAGAGGACTCTCCAGTAAAAAATATGAGTCCAAGAGTTTTGCTCTGCCTTTCCCAAATTCTTGAGCTTTAAGCTTATCTAGATTCCCTTTTACTGCTGAATTTATATCATCTATAACAGAAGTCCAGCTTAACTCATTGCCACTATCGGCATGTAGAGATACATTAAATACTTTCTTTTGCTTGTTAATTTCAATTTGAGAATCAAAATCGACTTTTATTGGCTTTAAAAAGCTCAATCGTTCAGTGATAGATTCAAGTTCGTTTTCATATGCTATTCGACCACTGTTGAAACTGTTTAAATATGCTAAGATGAGCCGATATCTTTTGGCAAAAAAAGAATCAGCAGGAAATAATCCAAGAATATCATCGCTTTCCACCTTACCGCTTTCAGAGTACTCTAAAGTGAATCTAGACAACTTTAATAAATTGAGATACGTAAATATTTCGTATAATGTCTTCAAAAGCTCTTCATCTGCTTCCTGGTATATTAGTGATGCACAAAAGTCTTCCACCATGGTATAGAATAGCTCTTTGAATTTTTCGTTCTTACTTGAAGAATCATGCGAGTCTTGTAGTTCATCTTCCCCTGGTGTTACCATAGAATCGATAGCGGTTTCCGAACTCAAGATATCATAATAAAGAAAGCCTCTATTTCTAAATATCAAATACCTCAACTGCTTTACATTGGGAGACAAGAAGCTTAGCTCATCGACTACTGTATTAGATGATCCATTTTGAAGTCCCCTAATATAGTCTCTTTCCTCGTAATAGTGGTTTGAAAGCACATCCAATTTGAAAAGTTCTTCGTATATTTGAAATGCTTCAAGGTATTTCTTATCTTTCTGATGCTTTAGTGCCTTCTGGAATAGCTTAAATGCTTGCTCAATCTGCAACTCTCTTGTATGCTCTTCTTCTAAGTCCTTTTTAGAAAGAAGTTGATCTTCTATCGTATTGAGAGGAGCGAAAGAAGACTGTAGTATTGTTAGTATCTTGTTCTCCAAACAAACAATTGTTACACAAATTTTATCTTACCATCTTCAGGGAGAGTTTGAATACAAGCTGTAGGCAATTTTGACCTCTATGTTTCCAGTATTCCTTTCGTTTTTATCACTTTACTTCAAAGCTTGTATATTTTTTAAATGTTAAACGCGACGAGAGATGTTAAGAAGAATATAAAATATAAGGTCAAAAGACCCGAACCTCCAGACTATAAACTTACGCCTCAATTGGAGCGATTTGCATAGGAGAGGCGATATGACATATCTAAGACTGTGAAAATTAAATCTATGCCCTATTCTTCTATTGTAAAAGTAATACTTTAGGTGCTCTTATATACACTTTCTATATATGCAAATATCATTATCAACCATTAGCTACCAGAAGATAAATGATACAAATAATCCCCGAAATACATATGAGCTATGATTCTGTAGTACTTTGCTCATCATCAGGTTTTGTCGTGACCCGTTCCTCACCATCTGGTAATTTTGACTTCTCCAACCTCATCTTTATACGCTTAATCAGAATTAGTGAAAATAGATTCTCAGGACCATTTTTATCCAATTCGTCAGCATCCGTATTGTTCTTTTCTTTCTCTTCTTTTTCTCTTTTCAAAATAGAGCGACCAATAGTGATATACCAGAGTATTTGACTAGTAAATATGCCAAGTTCAAGCGCCAAAACGATTGCATAAAGTGCCATACTCATTCGATCCATAGACCCCACAATGATACTCACCAAAGAGAACAATGCACCCATTGAATCCATACCCAAGAAAAAAAAATTAATCCCTACCACTCTTCCTTGTCGTTTTGCTAGTTCGAAATATGGGGGAATTAACCCAACTGCCAAGAGTACACTAGCAATAATGCCAATAACCAACATCGGCCAATGTTTACCATCACGATATATGGGTCGTAACCAAAGTATAAACCCAACTTCGAGCCCCACAGCTACTAGTACAAAAGTCCCCACAAGAGCCACCATTTTGATTACACTCACTTTGAGAGGAGGATAGTATAAAGTCTGAGCCCACGTTATCAGACAAAAGAATGTGAAGAGTTGAGGCTGTACTCTCAATGGCACAGACCCATCAGTGCCGAAAAAGTAAATCCCGAAGGGTATACCACTAGCTGTCCATAAAAACATCATCATTGCAGGTACCCCGGTACAATCTTTTACGATAAAATTCCGAACGATTTGCGGAATTAGTTGAACACACCATAATACTGTTCCAATGGTACCAAGGACCGTTACAGCAACTTCATTGTACATATCTAAAGATCCTTACTAACCTTTCAGATATTAAGAATGCCATACACTTGTGGTTACATGGTTTCTTTTCATCTACATTTATACAGTAATAGCGCGCAATTATTTACCTTATTAGGAATATGTAGCAGCAGCGAAGGGCTGAAAATTTTCTACACTGATGACTAAGACAGACTTAGCAATTCTACGCCCAGAGGGCTAATAGAACGTTATATCCTGTAAGTGCGTAGCTTGAGTCACTTGATCTAAAGAGAGCTGACTCTTTTAATCCGAGTCACTATACTCGAAGTCATATTGGGCATCCTCCAGGTGAAGGTCGGGAGTGAGCAGTTTATTCAAACTCGCTTCTGAATCTTCGCTCTCGTTGGGACGAAGTACTGGCAGTGACGAGGGCGATTTCGATGCAATTTGAATTTCATCGCTAGTGTGAGGTTGGTCGTATGTAAATTTCTCATTTGATTCTTCATCTGATTCGCTCCTCGGATTATAGATGAGTTCTCCATTCTCATCTTCTTCGAATAAACTATCTGGCAATTCTTCCAAAGAAGCATCAGCATCAGCATCAGCATCTTCCTCAGTCCTTATTTGAGGCCTTTCTTGTAGAGCTGCAGCATCGTCTTGTGTGAAGAACCCCCCTTTAAAATCGGGACTATCATTCGTTACTGACGGGCTAGTCGGCGACTCTCGCAGCAAGGCACCAATATCTGATTCTGTGGGTGGAATATCTGGTTCAACATCCACAAAAAAACCACCGGGCCCAGCTTCACTTGTGCCTGAGCTAGAACTAGGACTTAAGTTATCATTATTACTATCACCACCTTTAATTTGTCTATCCGTCTCTTCACCATCATTAAAATTGTCTAAATCTTCTTCATCTGAAGTATCTTCGATAGCTCCATGTTCCCTATTCAATTTGTCCAATATACGAAGTTTTGTTAAGAAAAACTTCCAATTTCTCAAAGTATTCAACTCTACAAGTTTTGCTTCACGCTCTTGTTCTTCTTCCAAAAGTGCGTCCATTACAGCTACCATTGCCTCCTTATTCAGGACATCGATTAGGATACCGCCCTCCTTAGCCGTTGGGGTTCTATTATGCTTGCCATTTTTGCCAAAATCAAAGGAGACGACTGCTCTTGCATAATCGATGTTTAAGATTGACTTCGCAGCTTTCTCTGCAATCTTCATTGAATATTTACCCGTGGTATCAATCAAATAGCCATTTTTAGGAATCATTGTAGGTGTGTAGATGTCTATCGTTCCGTAGACATTTTTGGGGATCTTTCCATCTATTATGGGCGGTGGGATATACATTTTAGTTTGGAAATCTGCATAAAGTCTTTCGGATTCGTCGTCATCATTGCCTTCGCTTTCATTGTCATCTGCATTGCTCTTTCTTATCCTTATTTTAAGAGGTTGCGCACCAACTTTGAGAACTCTTCCACGAAGATACCACGCCTTGGCTGATCGAAGAGTGTGTACACGAGAGCGCTTGTAAACTGGTATCACGTCCGATGCTTTAGTCGTTTTAGATCGAAATGTACCTACTCTACTAGAATCATCCTTTGGATATATCACTTCGTTTTGCTTTAGTTGGGACTCTAAAGCATACAAGGGATGATTTTTGAAATCTGACAAGTTATTTGGCATTCCCTCTGCTAAGTCTCTTTCGTGAAACTCCTTCATCTCAAAGACATCCAACCTGTTGGGTCTTCTCAAAGAGCTGTTGGCTGCTTTTATGACACGATTGTACCAATGCTCATATTCTGGTTTAAAACTTATTCTCTTTTTAACTGTTTTTGCATTATAAAACTGGCTGTATCTCCTTGTAACATCTTTAACTCCACCTAGCCTGTCAAATGCAATAGCATATAATAGCTGGTTCCTCGGTTCTGATAGTGGCGGCTCGAATTTTGATTTTCTTCTCATTGGGGGAATCTCAATAACCCTTAGAACAATTGGATCAACGCTGACCCACTTTTTAGAATATCGATTCCAGACTTCGGCCCAAAAAATTGGATAAGGAGCATCTTCAAACATCTGATCTTCATCATTGGTACTAACTGTTGCAGATTTCAGTCTTAGCATGTTGAGAATCTTGGCTTTACTATTCAGAGAGCGAAACCTTTGAATTAGGTCATTTTGTTTCAGAGGTTTCTTATGAACCTTGGTAGAATGGGATTCAGTAGGTCTTATTGAAGTGTAATCTGGTGGTTGCAAGGAGAAAATGAGCCTCGCATTGAGTCCAAGCGACCTAAGTAAGCTTACGAATCCTTGAGCACCCAAGTCTCTCGAACCTCTGAAATGTGTCACTTGAGATTTGAAATTTTCAAACAGCACCTTTGACTCTGCTTTTGGTTGAACTGTGGAGAGTTCATCCCAATCCTTTCGTATCAATCCTTTCGAGGTAATTCTGAAGCTATGTGAGTAAAATAACATTAACAGTTGTAAAGCATCGAGGAACTTTCTCGACTTAACTGAGTCGATAACGTTTGGCTTATGGCTTGCTTCAAGTATATCCATGCACTGAATTGGAATTTTGCTTTTAAGTGACATCAAAAGCTGATAATCGTTGCACCATTTATTTCGAATTGCGCCATGTATAATCATCGCAACCAAGTACATCTGATGTATCAACTTTCTATAATCTCTTTCCTCCTTAGAAATCGGCACAAAGCGAGCCTTCTTCTGAACTTGTTCATTAGTTCCTTGATCAAGTGTGAAGGTCAATGTTTCTTCATTGTTGCTTCCACTGTAATCCGGCTGACTAGTACTTGTAATGTCGTTTTCTGTTCCTTCTCCCCCATCTCCACTTAGATCGACATCTTCAAATTCATCGGAATCAAAGCTTTCTTCAGAATGCTCTGAAACGTCCTCAGAACCAGACGAGTCCCTTTTGGCTATAAATTTACTTTTTGTTCCTTCGTGTTTTATATTATCTATATCACCGTTATCAGTCCAAACATGATCACTATCTACGCGATGTTTACCTTCAAGCTTAGCTTTCTTACGCCTTTTTCTAGATCTATCTTTCAGTTCTCCCTTATTATACTTTACTTCTTTCAATAAAGTTTTATAAGCATCATTTGATGTAGATTCCATAACATTAGTAGCGTTATCATATAGAGATCGAAATGCGAAGTTTGAGGCACGATGAAAAATTCTAATGAAGTAAGATATCAATAATAGGCAAATTACAGCTCTAGGATGTCAGCCATGAGCTTAAGATCCCATTCTTCTCGACTAAGTACGTGTGGGATCATATTGAATAGATATTATGGCAAAATACGAAGAGACGTTCAGTTTTCAATGCAGCACAGAACTGTCGAAAAGCAGCATCGAGTTCTCTATAGAGGTTTAGAGAGGGATAGGATATCTTATAATAAAGGAAAGATTGAGATTAAACCTAATATAAAGCATTTACTAGTTCAAATGAGGCTAGAGCATGAAGGAAAGGGGAACTTGGCCCAGTTTTCAAACCAAGCCTTACCAAACCCATTTAAAATAAGTAGCCTACTAGAGCCAGTGACATTCCATTGTATAATTGCTCTTAAGAACGTTTTGATAGAAGATGGAGGTAGAAATATTAATATCGAACACCAGAATCAAAGACAGAAAGAAATCTTGAATACCATAGTAAGAAAACTAATTGGTAAGTCCGATTTCAATGCATTAAAGAGCTTGATAGAAGCTCACTTTAATATAAATATTAGACAGCAATGCGATCTATTAATCTCGAAATATAGCTGTCATGATCCAAAAGAGCTTGAGATCTCTGAAACGTTAGAGTTATCGTTATTCAGTTTCCTCTTAGTCTCCAAAATGGGATTTAAGAGCCAATACACCATTGAAAAGGATTTGGTTTCTTGGATGTCCTCGATAAAAGCCTCAAATATAAGCGATAGCTGTAACCATTTGGATCTGTTATACAATATACCAGCTTTCGTGAGCTCTGATATTCTATTAAGAACGCCCATTTCGAAACAAGAATATGTTTTACAGCTGGATATCTGGGACGAATTCATTAAATCTATTTCAATTGCATATCATAAGCATACTCATCATTTAAAACTTTGCATCAAGAACCTCATGTTTTATGCGGTTCAGTTCAATATAAGCAAGCTTCCGAGCATAACGTCTACGACTTTAAAGTTTTTACTCAGTACGGAACTGGGATATTCCTTTAAGATAGTTACTGAGGATTTTATAAATCTGTTGATATGGCAAATATCATTCGATTATCAAATACTGTCCTGCGAGAATGGGGTTGAAATGACAAACATTATCGTTGAAACACAAGAAATCATGGTAAAGTACTTAGCGAAAGTCGGGTCGCCTGACAAAAAACCCTTCGAAAAGTTAAATTTAAGAGCTTATATGGGCATCATATTGGCGATAAGAAATATCTCGCCTGAGAAAGCAGAAAAGTTATACCACGTTGCTGAGAAGAAACATTTTTTGGGTCAGATTTCAGGCGGTCCAAGAGACTCTATAACGCAAAGTATTACTAAAGTCTTTTTGTCTCAATCGCCTGATCAATTACTATACAACTTCAATGATTTGGCGACACATAACTTACATTCGTCTGCTCTTTGGTTAAGCTTCATTATGAAGCTTAATGAATTCGGATTAATGACTCAGGAACGATCTAGAAAAATACTAATTGAACTCGTGAAACACTCGGATAAAATTTTAACCTCGAAGAATATCATATTACATCTAATCAGTCCCATTAAGACCGTGGATGGACTAAATAAATTTGTCCAAATACTTCAGAGAGCTAATTATAATTTATCTGTTCACGCAAGCTCAATTTTACCCAAGTACTTATCATTACTTTACGGTGATGCAGCGGTCAGGGAAGGAGGATACTGGTCAAACGAAATTGATTCAGGGCCCATACAAAGTCTTAAGAATGATTTAGATCCCTTCAGTGCATTTTCTACTGCAGTAGAATACGCAAGGTACTTATATGATGTCGGATTTCCAAGAAAGACCCCAAAAGTTGTGGGAATTATGCTTAACGGTGAGGTCAGCTTCAGTACTCGAAACGTTTTTGAGCTTTATAAAAAAGAATACTACGGTAGTAGCTACCTTTTTCCAAATGAATCGAGTCTCCGTGCTCTAATGAGAGCCGCATGTCTGGTGAATTCTGATCATAATATAACCATATGGGACAACATGTATGCTCCTCAAATTGCGGTCCATGAGTTCAAAAAGCAAGTAATATCGCAATTCCTGGATTTTTCTTCATCACAGCTAGAAAATGACTGTAAAATATATCCATCAGACGAGCTTTGGCACTGTTACATTCTGATGCTTCATTCCTTCGACTACATTTCAGAACTTTCACTCATCATTCGTTGGTGGGAAGATCTACGTTTTCGCCCAAGTCGCAAATTGTTGCTCTTATTGCTCAGGTCCCTTCCTAAGGAGTACGGCAAAAGGCATATTCAACATATGGCTAAAGTCAGAGCTGACAGTAGAAATCTCATTTCGACCTCCACTCTGAAGTCGGAGCAAGACATTCTCAATTGGGACTGGCCAGATGAAGATGAACTCAGAAGCGAGTGAATAACTGACAACATTATATATTCATTAGTCTTTACAAACCATTATAAAGAGATCAACTTAAGTATTCTCTTATATCTATTTTGCATCTATATAGGGTTCCGGGATGTGAACCAATCAAATTGGGCGATTCCGAGATCATGAAATATATACCGAGTATTACCGAGTCTCTCCAAATATAAAGACCCAAAAGATGGTGTGGAAAATTAAGATCAATCAGATTATTCGCTACAATTTATTAGTAGGCAGATTTGAAAGAAATCTATAAGTAATAGGACACAACTCTTGATAAAATGTTGAAACTGACTGCAGCTATCAATACACTCTCAAAAATTCAAGGGAGATCCTTATCATCGGGAGCAAGGGCACTCAAAGAATACAGAATCGAAACTGATGCTTTCGGTGAAATTAAAGTAGACAACAGTAAGTATTATGGTGCTCAGACCGAGAGATCAAGAGAAAACTTCAAGATTGGAGGTGCACAAGCAAGAATGCCAATTCCAATCGTGAGAGCTTTTGGTATCTTGAAAAAGTCTGCGGCTATAGTCAATGAAGAGGTGGGCCATTTGGATCCTAAATTGTCGAAGGCAATCCAAGAAGCAGCTACCGAAGTTTCAGAGGGAAAGTTAGATGATCATTTCCCATTGGTAGTGTTTCAAACTGGTTCCGGAACTCAATCCAACATGAACGCCAACGAAGTTATTTCCAATAGGGCAATTGAAATCTTGGGTGGAAAATTGGGTTCCAAGAAACCAGTTCATCCAAACGATCACTGTAACATGTCACAATCATCCAATGATACCTTCCCAACGGTTATGCATATTGCTGCTGTCACTGAAATTACTCATTCTTTGATCCCGGAGTTGACTAAGTTACGCGATGCTTTAAAAGTCAAATCGGATGAATTCAAAGACATCATCAAAATTGGTAGAACCCACTTGCAAGATGCCACTCCATTGACTTTAGGACAAGAGTTCTCTGGTTACGTTCAGCAATTGACTAATGGTATTGAAAGAATCGAAAAAACTCTTCCAAACTTGCACTACTTAGCTCAGGGTGGTACTGCTGTTGGTACCGGTTTAAACACCTTTAAAGGTTTTGATGTCAAGATCGCTGCCGAGGTCTCTAAATTGACTGGTTTACCCTTCAAGACGGCCCCTAATAAGTTCGAAGCTTTAGCTGCACATGATGCTATTGTTGAGGCATCTGGTGCTTTGAACACTGTTGCCGCATCCTTGTTCAAGATTGCACAAGATATTCGTTACTTAGGTTCTGGTCCAAGGTGTGGATATGGGGAGTTAGCTTTACCTGAAAATGAACCAGGTTCTTCTATTATGCCTGGAAAGGTCAATCCTACTCAGAATGAAGCCTTGACCATGGTTGCAACCCAAGTATTTGGTAACCATTCCGCTATCACTTTTGCAGGAGCTTCCGGTCAATTCGAATTGAATGTTTTCAAACCTGTTTTAATCTACAACTTGTTAAATTCTATCAGATTACTTTCGGATGGGGCTTACTCGTTTAGAGTACACTGTGTCGAAGGTATCAAGGCTAATAAAGACAAGATTGAGAAAACTTTGCACGAATCTTTAATGTTGGTCACAGCACTCAACCCAAAGATTGGTTATGATGCTGCTTCAAAGACCGCAAAGAATGCTCACAAGAAAGGCTTGACTTTGAAAGAATCTGCTTTGGAGTTGGGTGTCTTATCCGAAAAAGAATTCGACGAATGGGTTAGACCAGAGAAGATGATTGGACCCTCTGACGTGTAATTTGTTAGTAGTCTTCTAAATAGCTGTTAAGAGATATTTATTTCTATCATTTCTTTAGATATGGGACTTATGTAAAATTTATGAATGGACTTCATATTAGACAATATCAAAAAATCTTTCTTCTTTAGTCTAAATATAAAGGGTTCCTCCTATTGGATTCCGTGATTTCTTCAAGAAGGGAAGCAGTCGACGTACATGTCTTTGTCTAATATCTTGCAACATGTTAATAAAAAGGGAAAAATACCTTCCAATCGTAATAGACAAGACCAAGAAAATATAGGAAAAGAAGAAGAATCAAACGCCAAAGGTGCCCAATACACTTATAGAGATGGAACTGCGAGGTCGGTGGATCCAGTGGTGGCACGATTGAAAGAGAAGCGTCGTTTAGAAAGGGCTAAGAAGGAGGAGGAAGAGCGTGCCAAAAAAGGGTTACCTCCAAAGAAAATCAAAACGAATACATCACGAAAGCTGACAGCATCGTCGAGTGCTGGGCCAACGAAGAAGATCAGCCATACTGTAAATAGGGCCCCAGCTCAAATATCACCACGGCTGCTTCCGAAACCTCCTTCCAAAAAGGTAAATTTCAATGATTTAATGAAAAAAGCTAGTAAGATAGACAATAGTAAGCTCTCCATTTCCTTGAGACAAAAGTCACCTGAAAGCTCTCAAAGGCCGAGTCCATCCTCTCGGCGTTCACCAAATGTTATGCCTCGTAGGTCTCCCTCAGTTGGAGTAAAGAAAACAGCGAGAGAGGTGGTGAAGGAGCCCACCAAAGCGAAAGAGCACACCAAAGTCTCGGTGCCTTTTCCTGTGAGAGAGCCGTCAGTAGCGTTGAAGGCTAAATTAAAGCTGATTTCAAAAGTTAGTACGAAGAATGGCTCAAGAAACGCTGGTAGGGCAGCTTATAGCAACCATGGAGTAGATGATGAAGATGAAGATGAAGACGATGGCTTTATAGTTTCCGATGAGGAAGAAGTTGGTGACACTCACCTTGACTATGATAGAGATGAAATCTGGGCCATGTTTAACAGAGGGAGAAAGCGCTCGTACTATGACAGGTTCGATGACTATGATTCCGATGACATGGAAGCCACTGGGACTGAAATCTTCGATGAAGAGATGAAATCAAAACGCACAGCTGAATTGGAAGACCGTAGAGAGTTAGAGGAGGAAAAGAGACTAGCAGCTCTTAAAAAAGAGAAAAAATTGAAAGCCTTAAGAAATAGTAGTACGTAGAAAGCTATCTTTAATTAAACTAATGCATTTTTTGATAACATAACTTGGTCTGTATAACACGTAAAATGTTAGATATTGATTGATTATAATGATATTTTTCTTTCTCATCAAACCAAACTTTTCACGAAGGGACATGAATATTTGACATGAATGTTTGGTGTGATGATGTAATAGGTTATCGATCTGACATTAGAGCTATCACCAAAGAGCTTAAAAAGGACTCTTTAGGTCTTAAAAATAGACTTCAATCTATACTTTATGATGCTCAATATGTGTTGCTGAGTACAAATATTTTTAATGATATACCACTTGTGGCGAATGAGAGATGCGGCCTATGGTATATTCCAAAGCCTATGTTGACTGACACTTGTTACTTCAAGTCAACTGATGGTCATACCCATCATTGGAAGTTTTCATTTCGAAGGCTAAATTTGCATTTGCTCTCTCTTTTTTCAAATCATACAACGATAGCATTAGTGGATTCTACTCGAAAGGGAAAGATAATGCCAGACGCTTTACTGAAAACTCTTCCTATTTGGTGTTCTGTTATAAACAGTATTTTGTTTGAAGATGTTTCAGATCAATATTTGGCCAAGGAGATGGGATTGAAAGAAGATGTCGATGTCTCGTTTCTATTAAATTTAAAGGAAAACAAATGGCTACTCGTACCCGAAGAAGTTATATCTGCTAATGAAGCAAATGAGATTCGGAAAAAGATAGATAGCTTTGTTGCAGAAGTTCATCGCCTTCAATTATTCGATAAAGAATACCTAATTCAAAAATTGGGTTCATTACGACCAATTGTTCCACAGTGGCTCTATCCGAGTAAGACAAGAAGTAAAGATGCAGTTATTGACAACTCAGTGGGGCCCATTTTAACAGTCTTGTGCATCACTGCGTCAGCAAAAGTGACCAACGAGGATTCAAGAATCACCGTCAGATACACTGAGGAGGGTCGAATCAGCTCAACTTCATGGGTGTATGTTCAGGGTTCAGGCGATGACCATGAGCTTTGGGCAACCAAGCGACTCTGTGATGGTGACTTCACTCCAAATTTTTTCTGGAATCACATTTATAATAGAGGAAACAAAACAAATCCGTCATTCATTAACAATCATACTGGCCTAATTCATGACTGGATAACTGATGGAGAGTTGATCACAAGAATCAATGCTGAATACAACGATGCAAAATTTCTGCTGGCTACTTCTTCGGATCTAGATATAAGCTATATCAGAAATGCATCCCATGACACTAATATTGCAATTGGCACTATTGAGAGCAACCTTAACTATGCATCATTTATTGAATCAAATAGCGAATTTCAACAAGTTGTGATATTTTCTGATAAATTTGAGGTTCAAAATATACCTAAAAGGTCAATAAAGATACTACGATATGAAATAGACTCCTCGAAGAAGGGTGCCAAACAGTTGAGAATGGCTCTTCCTCAAATATTACCACATATTTGCATAGAGAATAGAATTTTAATTATGTGTGAGTCGGGAAAAGATATAAGCGTAGGATTAGCATTGGTCTTACTATGCAAAAATTTTGATTTGGAATGGTCTAAAGTTGGACTGTCTGTTATTAACAAGGACGTTGTTAGAAGACATTTAAGTCAAATAGGTGATATCCGAAAAGTGAATCCAAGTCGAAATACTTTACAAAGTGTGAACTCATTTCTTATGTAGTACGTACTATGAGATCTAGAGGACGATTCTGAAAATCGTGAAATGATTCAATATAAGTTTTCGTTTGCCTAAAGTGGACACCTAATCGAGGACTCAAAACGATCTCGAGAGGTTTCCTTTTCTTAAATGACAGTACTATTAAAAATGTTTACATTGTTTTCGAAGAGATGCCAGAACCTCAGAATAAATGAAATCCAAGGAAGATAAATCAAGAAAAAAATAAACCCTCCAACTCTTCCATTACGTCAAAATCATTAAACTGGAACGATTCAAAATCTGCTCGAATTGTTCGCGTGTTATTGGTAATGTTTTCAGTAATTTCATCGGTTGCTGGTACTGATTTTAAAAAGTCCACTAAGAAGGCACTCAACACTTGCGATCGGAAGTTGTATTTTCCAAATAGTTCTAATAACTTTGATATATCCGTTTTCAAGAACGTTTTCAAATGCTTTTTATCATTTATCAAGCCTCTAATTTCACTATCAGTAAGCGAGTAATCTTCATCCAAGTCACTTGAATTTGGTATCGTGGCCCTATCATCGTCCAATTCGAAATCTTCGTGAACAGCCTCAAATTTATGTTTCGTATAAATGTGGATGAAGAAACAAAGACAGCGAAACAAGCCCACCTTAATATCATGAAAGTTAGGACGCAGGGCAAAGAATAAGGAATCTGTATGTAGAGTCTTGAGTGATAACTTTTTAATCTCGTTATATAGACGTGATGTGTATTTCGCAGCCGCAAATCTGTTCCTATCGTCTGAAACAGCTAGATATCTTAAATGACATAACATTTGAAGAAAGCATAACGTATTAAATCTTTTCTGCTTCATGAGGTAAGGCTCGCTATTTTTGCTTATCTTCCGATCCTGGCGCTCAAGATTCTGAAGAAGATCGATATACCTGTTGAGGGCGACTCTTCGTACCAAGTTCTTCAGATTTACATGGATAGTAATCTCTCTAAATAAAACCACGGTATCACGAAGATTTGAACAGTCGTTAATGATAAGGTGCTCATCGAAAAACCCATCGTGTATGAAAGATGGAACACCTCTCTGCATGCAATTAATTACGTCTTCAAAAACTATGTAGCTCCATATACGACTAAGACATCTTCTAAAAGAATTAGACTCATCACTAAATTCTTTATCTAGATCACTGTGTAGTCCTAGAGCAGTTGCTGTTTGGATAGCCCGGTTTAACCAATCCGATTTTCTATAATTCCCGTTTATATCACAGTTAATGTCATAATTTTCAAGCTGATACATGAAAAGAATGGCATGCAAGGATGTAAAATTAGGACCAAGTTCAGTATTTGCCAACAAATATCTTGCGATAACAAATAATTCCTCTTTGGACTCATATTTGCTATCCATTTTTAGTATTGAGTTTTCTATAAGGATGCACAAGACTACGCATAGTCTCGCGATACTTGGGTTATTCTTAATAGTAACATAACCCATATCATCAACCTTCAGGTTTTCAAAAGTTGAGCTAAAATAATCAAAGAGTTTATTTCCATCAATACAATCAGCTATTGATTGGGGGCATTGTAAATACTCTGTCAATTCAACTGACATCAGTTTATATGACGTGACAAGTTGTGGGATGCGTTCGAGGCACCATTTTATACTAGCTTCAGTTCCAAGTAAAGTCCTACGCAGCGATTTCCACACGCAATAGTTATGCCCAATATTATTCATGAGATGTGATACTAACCCCAGATCACTACATGCGAGGTTGAAAATTGTCTTGGAACTACTGGCCCCGTGGAAGCTAGCGGTTTCTCCTCCTTTTTTGAATATATGAAAGTTGCTCAAATCGAACACATCAACGTCATCCATGTCAGACAGATGTTTCCTTGACTTCAAGAGTTCTACCTCTTTTTTGAGAGAATCGATCTCATCAAGTAATTTGCTTTCGCTACTAGCTCTTGATGCTAGTGGTGTTTCTTTGTAAATACATAGATGCACAGGCACCCTATTTTTTTCGCATGATGTACACAAAGGCTCCTTTCTATCACATTTAACTTTACGCTTGTAGCAATTTAGACAGGACTGGATCTTACGTTGTCTCATAATTTTTAGAATAATTAGAGGGTTATACATGAATAGAAGTATTTATTAGTCTCGGTTTTACTCGGTTTTAGCACGTGATGCAAGCCCATTTTGCAACCTTGGCTTTACTCGGGCGAAAGAATATTCAAAGCATAAAAGGGAGAGAAGAAGCCCTTGATAAAACTGTAAATATGACATGATAAAGAGTCTAAAGCTAGTGGAAATTTTATTTGAGAATGATACATGTGGGAACAGCCTAACCTCATTATAATATCTCATTACTTATCAAAATCTTATTTAGTTTGAAAATTACTTTTTGTCTAACTGTAGTAGGTTTGCAAGTTGAGACATGAACTCTTTCATTTACGAGCTTATCTGGCCTCCTTGAAGAATAATTTGGTTACAGCATCATTAAAGTAGGTCTATATTACTTGAGCCAGGGCTTAGGGACGCTTATTGGCTCAGTCATGAGTGGTAGACTACTCGATTGGAACTACAAGAAAAAATTAGCGTCCAACAGGAAATCATACGGAAAACCACTGGAGTAAAAGGATTTCCCGTTTCCAAGGTAATGTTAGAGTTTGCCGGCCACTCAACCAGTGCGTTGGTTGTATTTTTCGTGGTATTTGGCTGGTGCCTTGAAAAGCGTGAACTTATTGCAGTTATCGCTGTATTATTATTTCTTATGTATTTTACATCGGTAAGTTTCATGACATCGAATATTTTCAGTTTAATTGAGCAGCACCTTTCTAGCGCTTCTGTGCTGTTAAGTGTTGCAGATTTGGTCAGGTGCTTCTTGGCTGTAATCATGATTGCAGAGCTTGATCGAATGGGAAAGATTATAGGTGTAGGAGGTTTCCATACCCTCTTGGCCTAAAATCATTTGGTATCTTATTCAATACTATCTACTGAGTTATCTGCTAGCTCTTTTAAATCAAATTGATAAACTCGTAACTTTATAATTAATACTTAAGTAGTAATATTTATATATGCATGGCATATTTCATAAAAATTAACTAAAAATGGAACGATAAAGTGTACCGAGCATATTAGAGTGAACCTATGGTGTCTCGTAAATACCTACTAGACTACCTATACCAACGACATTACCTTTGACTGCTTCCAACGCATTGCCCCAAGAAACCTTAGACTTAAAACTATTCAACTTCTCAGTTGCAGTGGCATTCAAAGCAAACACCTGAAAAGTATATTTATGGGGGCCATGGCTTGGAGGGGGCCTAGGACCAAAGTATCCCTGTATTCCAAGGATACCGCCACCAAATTTAAACTTCTTCTGATCAGCATCATAATTAAGTTCTCCAAACTTGAATGTGGCATTAGTGGGGTCAATATCATAAACAAAAGCATGAGTAGCAGGCTTACGAATTGGAACATCGGAATCCTGTATCATGAGCATCAATGATTTGACACCTGTAGCGGGAGCATCTTTATTGAGCTTTAAAGTTAAAGAAGGTGACTTGTTTGCATCGTATAAGGTTGTCTCAAAGGGCATCGGACCTTGATCTTCAAACTGCGGACTGCTGACATCTACGATTCTCGGCAAAGTTTTGAATTCATCTTGATTAATTGCTAATTTGGATTCCCCTGCCCTAACATAATAGAGCAAGTACCCAAAAATTCTCAATGGAAAGTCCATTTTGGTCGTTAATTAAAGCAAAATACAAGGATGAGAAAAGCTATTTGAAACTAGGACGATTGCTGCTTTTATTTGTCAAGACGAATGGCTGCGAGAAGTTCGGTCTTGCACGGGCATAAAGATAATAATAACTATTCTCGGCTTTACTCGGACTTCTGACACAAAACCTATTATTTGCAATAATAGATCACGTAAGCCTGTGGATAGCCAACCCACCGTAGGCTTCAGCTTCGTTTCGTAATTATAGAAGAATAGATATTAATAAGTTTATTTACGCCATCCTCACAATTGCCGTACGCTCATTCAGGGGTTCGCCCCAAAGAGCACAATAGAGAGATTTCGTTTCAAAAGTATATCAGAATCGCATGGTGTCTGCATACTCTTGAATGAACCAGTAAGGATATACAATCCATTCAGTCGCAATTATGAGCTAAATTCAAGTTTCTTCTGTTTTTTTTCCTCCATAAGCACTTGGTATTTCCTTTATGTCACCGTATTTGTTGCTTGTTACCCTGGAGACATTTCTAAGAGCCTCACAGCGCACTGGTTGCAACGGTATTTCTTGTATTTTGTGCATACGAGTTATAAATTCATAATAGTTGATCGAAACTCCAAAGGTACCTGCATTTTGCAACTGTATACGATTTATTTGTATCCTTTATCGTCAAGATAAAAAAGAGCTTATTTTGCGCAGCATGTTACATAAATAGATCGAGCATGAGCGGTTGGCGAACTAAAGGGGAAAAGTCATACCAAATTTTAACGCTAGGGAGTAGCGAAATTGCATATTGGGGCGGCAGTATGGAATTGCTGGAAGTCTCTGTAGTATTGCTCATCACATAACGACCTCTGTCACAGTTCATTCTCATAAAGATTCTAGTTTTAGTCTCATATGCGTATAAGAAAATGACTCCAAATTATGCGCCGTCATTGGTCTTCATATCGCTAAGATGACACACATCACAGAGCCAAATTATACACATCTATGTGAAATTACAATAAGTAGTACCTGTGTTAGTCCTTAGGAGGGCTTTTCAGCCAGAGTGATGACGTATTCTTGTTCAAAAAAATTGACTTCAAAATACGACGCATTGGTAGAGACTCTTGTGATCTTTATTGAATGAGATAAGTAAGCTCACCTTGAATAAGAGAGACTACTTCATTTCAAATCCTTGATCATTGAAGATGGAGGACTACGTAATGTCTCCTACGATATAATGAGCTATTTTATTTAGGATTTGAATTTATTTCTTATGCAGTGCATACTTAGCGATCGAAATTTATACTTGACAATTCGGAAAATCGTGAAATGATTATAACCAATTTTATTTTGCCTAGTAAAAAATATAAAAAACAAATAAGAAGCAAGATACAAGATGACAGTTTCAGCACCTAAAAAGTTTCTTTGTTTATGTGGATATTTGCAAAACGGCAAAATTTTTGCGGAAAAATCGTCAGGAATCAGAAAGATTTTGACCAAAAAATTAAATTTTCAGTTAGACTATATTGACCCTCCAAATAAAATTCCTTCAAAGGAAAGCTTGCCATTTCAACTTGCAGACACAGAAGAGGAGGCAAATACTAAATGGGATGGGCTTGTTCAACTTGACATAAATAGATGCTGGTGGGCAGCGCACAATGGAGCAAACTACGAAGGATTTCAAAATTCACTTAATTATGTGATGAACTATATACAACAGAATGGACCATACGATGGAATTATTGCATTTTCTCAGGGAGCAGCCCTTGCTTCAATAGTTACCAATACAATTAGAAAGACTTTGCCCGAATCTTCATACTTTGGAGTTTCAATTTTAATTTCGGGATTTGTGTTTACTGAGGTCAAAAATCCAGAAGAAGATGATCCTGCCTCAATCCATTCTATAGAGAACTTTGATGAATACCTGTCAAAAATTAAAAAGATTGATACATACTCAGACTTGTTCACGCCGCCAACTTCAAAGGATTTTACTACTAAGGTTGTGATTGTCTACGGAGAAAATGATAATGCTGTACCTCCAGTTCGTTCTCAATATTTGGCCTCCACATACAATTCGGAGAATGTCAAGGAATTCAAACATGATGGAGGTCATTTTGTTCCTAATAAGAAACAGTTCTTGAATCCTATAGTTGACGTCATCAGTGAACTGTTTGAAAAGAAACCCAACTTGTAAATATAAAACCATCAAATTATTTTGTTAAAATAGATAGACTTATGAATAGATATAGACGCCTGATAAGAGAGCAAATGATAATCACGCAATGTAAAAGTCCTGTAGATACTTTAAATACGTATCAATCTGGAGATCAGCAAAGGTTTGCGGCTTGTACTCGAATCACTGGCCCCACAAGATGAGCTGACCTTCTTCATCTGAAGCTCATGCTATCACTGAAAGACTTATACTAATAATGGCAATAGACTTAACATTCAGCAACTTATTGATCATACAATCTATGAAAACTTAAGAAATTACCTTTTTACGTTTCAACTACCAAATACAATTTTACTTCTTGACATCAATCCCACATGGACTGTAAATAACCTGAATGCTAGTACTTTCTTGTCTTTCCTGAAATACTTTTAAAAGATATTTGCAACATCTTTATATTATAACCCAAAAGATTAAGACCCTCTCATCGGTAATATTTGAATCCAGAATCTCGAAGCAGTGAAGTTCTTAGTGTTAAAAATAGATCTTGTAAGAGTGAGAAAGGACCTTCTATTAAATTTGTCAAAAAGAAGTTAACCACTTGGATTTTTAGTCCGTAGTCGATTATAAAACAGCCGTCAAGTGATTCAACAGGAAATAGCTCCCGGTGGCCAAGCTGGCTAAGGCGCGAGACTGTAATGGGTTTTCCTCAAAGTAATCTTGAGATCGGGTGTTCGACTCACCCCCGGGAGATTTTCCTCGAAAAATTTTTTTTTTCCACCATCTCTCTCCTTGGATAGTTTACTAGTTCTTCGAAACTAAGCTTTAGTTTTATGTTGGGTGTATCTATTGAAACATGCTATATGATGCTACAGAATTGTAAAAGAAATAAAAATCTAAATAGTAAATTAATCATGGACGGTCACATTTGTAATAGTACGATAGCTGACCACACAGAACAGGTACAGACCACAAAAAAACCAGTCCATATGACAACTGAATGAGATGTAGGCGCAGGAGTGAACCTTTGAAAATTGAGATTAATGCTAACCAAACTGAAAAATAACGACGACAAAAGACCAATTATTAAAATCATAATTAACCATATGCTCTTTCGGAGAGAGAAACCAGCATTCTTCTCCTCTACCTTAGTGATAGTGTAAATGATACCCGATTCTACGCCTGATATAAAAAGCGATATCCAAAGTAACGACAAGTATGCATAAGAGAGCGTACTATCGTAGTACCTCTCATATTGTATATTGACACTATCCTCATATTTTCTTCGAGGATAGTATAAGATTTCTTCGTTCATTGAATCATAATTATTTTCTATGTCATCGACCAACGGTGTATGTTCCTTTGGTGATGATAACTTTCCTTTGAACTTGATAAATTGAGACATTAAGTTACCAAACTTAGAATTCGTCGTTAATGACGCATTTTGTAACTCCATGAGGTATTGCTCTTCCAGAGACCAATTAATATCATTTGTATCTTGTTCTGAATTAAGGTCAGCATTACTGTGGCTCTTTGAGGTGAAAATTGAGTTGTTATTGCTAGAATCATTACTACGAATGGAGTTCAACTTTGAGTCCTGTGAAAATTGGTTCAATTTTGGCTTCATCATAGCATCTTCGATGCCTTTTTGAGTATTAGAGCAAGTCACATTCTCAAAATTCTTAAATAAATTAAGGTTCAACAAAAATGAATAATGGTTATTAATATAATTGTCTGGAGGTATCATGTTGAAATAACACGTTGACATGTAGTGATAGAAATGCATATTTTTAAATAAATTGAAGGATCTATCATTTCTTATTAACCCTTGAATTTTAGGAGGTAATTTTCTCAATAAACTGTTTGAATAAGTGCTTGTCAAATGCGAATTTTCAAGTTTAGTATCCAAGTTTTGAATAAAGTTTGATAAGTTTGAATCGTTTGAATATACTGTTAAATGATTATATGGAAACTTATCATAATGATCAACTTCAAAATCTAAGGAAGAGACCTTTTTCATATCATCTGTAGTATAGATGGCACTATCTAATGTGGCCAAATAGTCATCCTGATAATTTCTCTTGACGGAAGAAGTCTCACTATTCAATGACCTGTGACTTTGACCATCACTTTCGTCAACTTCCTTTTTTAATAAGTATCTCGTTCTTTTACAAACTAACTTAAGCTTAGGCACTTTCTTCTTCAGCAAAATTGTATCGATTGTAGTCTTGGTCAAAAAGGTTACCTTATTTTTCTCGAAATAAGTCTTCAACTCTGTTTTAAGAGCTCTTGAAGCTTCCTCATCTTCTTCTCCCATATAATTTAAGAAAACCTGGATGAAGCTATTTGGCAACACACAATACGAGTATTTCCTCAAACCTCCAACATATGCAATCAAAGTTGAAAAAGACTCATTTTCTTGCGACAAGATATAAGAAGGATCACCGACTAAATTGTCATTTTGTAAATAGATGAAAGAAACCATAGTAGGTGTATCGGAATTGTAACTTTCGAGGCCCATGACCACATTCAAATTCAAAATTATTTCGTTTAAGCTATTGGAATCGTCAAGGGTCAAAAAATCTAAACAAAAGTTTTTCTTCAAGAAAGTTGTTAGATCAAACTTTGATGATTCTGTGGGCGGAATTTGTTGTTCATGGGCATTGTGCGATGGAAAATTGCTCAGAAGTTGGGACGACAAAGCTATACTCGATGGATAACTGCGCAACGGCTTTCTTGGAACAATATCTTCTACATTCTTCAGCAAGTGCTTTAACAAACCTATAAAGCTCGTTACTTTTAAAGTGACACCAGAAAGGTCGAAATTGACAAAAGAATACTCATTCGCTTGCAACTGCTGTTTTAGTTTTATTATAAACTTCTTCGCTTTATTCTCACAATAATAGTATTTGACGAACTTCTTGAAAATTTTCAGGCATGCAATCTTCTGAATTAAAATGAACTTAGACAAATTCTTTAAGTTCATAGCAATATCCAATACGTGGTAAAGTATTTCATCAATCTTTGCCCGTTTTTCCTCTGTCGATAAAGAAGATGAGATATTGATATATTCAAGGGAGCTTTCGTAAAAATCTAGCTTCCTGTTTAACTCACCATACTTAGTAGCTATGAAAAGGTTGACATATTCAAAATTTCTCATAAACATCGAATATAATGGCCTCAAGTTATCCTCTTTTAGCCGCGTAACTTCCCTTATTTCGCTCTTTAGCTCATTATAGTCAAGGTTATGCCCCCTCCATTCTGGAATAGACAAGTATGCCAAGTTGTTTCCAAACTTCATAAATCTAGAATGGAAACAAGTAAAGGGCGAATGATTTATAACCAAGAAAAGTGACTATTATTCGATTTCTAACAAACTAGTTAAAATTTTAAGATATCTCTTCCTTATTTTGTTCTCGGTTTTAGTCCGATAATTTATCTAATACCGGCTCTCACTTATCTTTTCAATCCCTAATGAAATTATGCTATCTTTCAAAAAGATAAGGAATTGTAAGAGTTTGGAAAACAAGGATTGCCAAAAGAGTTATAATAGTTTAGAATTGAGTTTATCTTATGGACATAAACTTTGAGGACCAGCTCTTAATTAAGGTTCGTTCTTAATTCCTGACTCGGCCAACCGGATTCCTTTTGAGAAGAAAGGGCAAACGGCTGGGCGGTTTAATGTATGTACTGGTGATCGTATGTACAGGAAACACATAAAAAACGTGATAACACGAAATGCTACCCTGTAGATCATTTCAGGTCTACCCTACAAGAATGAACTTTCAGTGTACTCCATTGGTTATAAAATGGTGTATTTTTGTGTATTTCTTCTTATTATTACTGCTTTTTCCTATTATATACTTGTTTCGAAACTACATAGTGCCTACAAACTGGATGTTTTGTTCACCTTTGTTCCTTTTACTACAAGCGGTATCATCGCACCGGTGCCCATTGCAAATGGTCGATGTCCGAGTACTAGTAATTGAGTTCTTATGGATCCTGAATGAGTCGTAAGACTGAGGATTGAGTCGTCTTGTGTTGCATCGAAAATCTCTTGCAAAGCCTTGTTCATTCTAATGCCATGCTCTGCGAATGTTTCTCTATAGTCTGTCTTAAAGTAGATGTCCTCTTCTGCAAATCCAGGCTCTATAGTAAGTCCTTGATCTTCATATTTGTTCAGAATTATAGATCTAGTAGATCTTTTATCGCACGTATGAATGCCGACTGTCTCCCTCAATTTCTCCATGATATAAGGCTCGACTTTTTTGACATCTACAATTCCATCCCACGTATAAATTAACGTATCGATGGATCTGCTTAAGGGGGAGACAAACCATCTTGTTGGAGCCCTAGCCCCATGTTCTTTAATCTCGATTTTCCATTGCTGATGGTTTTCCTTGGCCTGTTGCACACCAAGATCGGTCAAGAGTGGATCTGGCCCCCACGTAAGTGACCCATCGCCATTCAACTTAGACCAGTAATCGTCCCAAAGTTCATTTCCATACTTTGCGTGAGCTAGATTATGATATCCTTGGCCATGCCTAGCAAGAAACAATAGCTTGTAGGACTCGTTCGGTCCACCTTTCTTGTTCAACTCTTCTATTCTCTGATAAATCGTATCCCAAGAGTGCATCCGGCCAAAATTCTCTTTCATATAGTCAAAAGTGGTGTCATCAGTATCCGGTGAAGATTGCTTGAAAAGCTCATCGACTACCTCAAATTTCCAGTACGTTTCAAGTTGTTGATGCAAAATATTCAATTTCGAACGGTAATCATCAATCTCATCCTTGGAGTAATATGAATCTTGGACATCCAATCTCGATGGAGTGATAGACATTTTTGTAGAATGTAGCGATTGCGTTTAGACCCCAACAAACAAAGTAGCGATTCACAGAGCACGTTAAGGACACGCAACAGCAGGTAGTGAGTCTTAAAGCTGAATATTCAGGCACCTCAAGTACATCACGTGCTATAAGGTTTTCAAGGGTAATGAATTTGCCCATAAGAAACTCAACTTGGTAGCTCAATAGCCAAGCTGAACGTCGTAGGAATTGGTTTGCTTGCTCTCAATCAACTCTATGACATCATCCTCGCTCTCGATGGGACATTTAGAAAATTTTAGGAATTGAACTGAGTGCCTACTAGCTTTGATTTCGCCTCAGGTAATGATCATACCGGAGAATAGCTGGATAAACACCATCGACGCTACTGATAGTGGAAGATTGCTTCCTTAAGTAGGAACCGTATATTAAGCAGTGTATGTTGATATTCCTGGGTGCAATCATAAGGTCGTGCAACATGGCGAATATTTGTCAACGAAGGATCTAATCAAATACTTCCAAGCGAAAGATATACAACGAAAACTCTGGTACAGTCTTTAAACATTAAATTCTTCGGTAATCCTAGTAACAGCATATTTGGCTCGTGAGAATTTTAGGATCTGGAAATGGACAATTTCAATGATGATTTGTATCCATTAGCATTGCTAATGGACGAATTGAAGCATGATGATGTTTCCAACAGGGTGGAAGCGATGCAGAAATTAGATACCATTGCAATAGCATTAGGGCCCGAAAGAACCTTGAACGAGCTATTACCATTTTTGCATGACGTCGCTCAAGATGATGAGGAAGAAGTTTTTGCAGTATTGGCGGCCAAATTGGGTGACTTCATTCCTCTTGTTGGTGGGCATCAAAATTGTGAACCGGTTATCCAAATATTACTCATTCTTGCTTCAATGGAGGAACCTATCGTCAGGGATAAGGCAATCGACTCACTAAATAAGATAAGTTTGGAATTGACGGATGAGGAATTGAACGGAATATTTTTGAATTTAATTCAGAACTTGAGTCTGGGAAATTGGTTTTCTAAAAAAATTGCTAGCTGTGGCTTATACAAGTCAGTTATCTTGAAAGTAGACGCGTCAACCCGAAGAGAGTTACTAAATATGTATTTGAAGTTAGTTTGCGATGATTCCCCGATGGTAAGAAGGAGCGCTGCAACAAACTTACCTGTTTTGATTAATAAATTCACAAACGAGAAACCGTTGGAGCCCGTTACTAACCAAGACTGGGAAATCATCTCCCAAATGTTCCAGCATTTGATCAATGATGATCAAGACTCGGTCAAATTTTTAAGTATTGATGTGTTAATCTCAATATTAGAATTTTTTCAAAAGATCAAAGACTATACTCATAATTCGGAGTTTCTTATTAGCTCATTGAAGCTAATTGGCGATGAAAGTTGGAGGGTTAGATATACAGCTGCCGACAGATTTACGAAGATTGCAAGAAATTTTACAGATGGCGATTTATATAAATTAATCGAGCCATTTATCTCTGCATTAAAAGATAACGAAGGAGAAGTAAGGAAAGCAATTGCTAAGCAGTTACCTGGATTTTGCGAGTTATTGAATCAACATACAAATACAAAACCTGCAATATTAAAAGATATAATTCCAGTTGTTGCTGATTTAAGTCAAGATCCCCAAGAAAATGTGAGAGCCGCTTTGGCTTCCACCATTACTGAATTGTCACCAATTTTAGAAAAGCAAGCGACCATAGATAAATTGTTGCCTATTTTTTTAATTATGCTAAAAGATGAGTATCCTGACGTCAGATTAAATATCATCTCCAATTTATCGGTAGTTAACGAAACAATTGGTATTAACTTGCTCTCAAAGAATTTGTTACCAGCCATTACTGAATTAGCTCAGGATAGCAAGTGGAGAGTCAGACTAGCAATCATAGAATATATCCCCAAATTAGCCAAACAGTTAGGGGTTTCTTTTTTCAATGATGAATTGTTATCTTTATGCATGTCTTGGTTATGGGATCCGGTATTTGCAATTAGAGATGCTGCTGTCAAAAATTTGAAAGATTTGACCGATATTTTTGGCTCTGAATGGGCCGATAATGAAATCATTAATAGATTACTTAATGATGATGATAAAATTGATGATGATAAAGTTGATTACTCGAACTTTATTATAAGAATAACTCGTCTTTTCGCAATTACAAGTTTGGTTTCAGTTATTGATACTGCTATAATTAAAAAGAAGATCTTGCCATTCATTAACAGCTCTATAGTTGACCCGGTACCAAACATCAGATTTAACGCTGCGAAGTCTTATCTTGTCTTGGTAGAGAAATTGAGCGAATCAAAGGACCTGGAGCTCCAAAAATTAACTACTCTGGAAGTGATACCAAACTTGGAACAGTTGCAGAATGATGATGACGTAGATGTGAGATTTTATGCTAGCAAGAGCATTCAGGGAATTAATGAGCTCTTGTCTTAGAGAAATTGCTTGAGAGTGGGGAGCAAAAAAAGTCAAGAAAAGAATAAAATTAATCATGCTTAAGTATGGTAAATGAAATAAGAATAAGACAAAATAGTCTTCGGGCGTCGCAAAAGAATCACATTTTTACTTATTACTCTGAGATATCTGAGTTAGTAGCAATATTCTTAAACTCTTAATATCATATCTCAATTCAGTAAATTTTCATTTTTTAACTACTTTACTATAGCTTCAGTTTCTATGTTGTGGCTATTACTTAAAGAGAAGTATGCCAGGTTTTTAATCAAATGGTTTCATTCATCGTTATGTAAGTGCTATATTCTATGTACTATTATGTCTCTTAGCCATAGTCTTTTCTAATTTGTCAAAGTCAAAGTCAAATGAAGCCCCACAACCGCACGCAGTTGAAGTATAAGGAGAGTCGACAACCTTGAAAGAACTTCCAATTAATTCCTTCGTGTAGTCAACCTTCGAATCTTGTAAAATTTCTAAAGAAGAGTCGTCCAATATAACAAATGCATCATATCCTTCATCACTCCGTTTGAAGACCAAAAGATCTTTATGTTCACTCAATTCTTTCTTCACATCCGTCAACGATAAATTATACTGGAATCCATGGCACCCGCCGCTTTCCACGGATATTCTTAATGCTGTAGTGGGATTCTTATCCTCTTGAGCAATCTTGATCAATTTATCGCATGCTCGTTTCGTGACGGCAATCTGCCTGTCCGTCTTTCCATTTACAAGCTTGGTAAATTCAAAGTCATCTATATCTTCTTGTGGAACTTCCTTACTTTGTAAAGGTGTTGACGTGGGCTTGGGATCCTTTGGATTAGCAAATGATGACGGTTTTAAAGTCTTAGACTGAGAAGTTGATGTTGATGTGGAGTAAAATAATGGCCCTTTGACGAATCTAAGCCCAAAATTTCCTACTAAATGCCCAGGAATGGCGCTACTTAAATAGTGCCTTGAGTGTCTCGAGCTTCGAAATGCTGCTCTTACTAACATATTTGGTTAAGTAGTTAAATTTATTACAAATTACCAAGATTTGATTTGAACGAGCATCTCTAATATAATTGTATATAACAAGTTTGCATATAATAGATTGCTGAATAATCACTACAAGGGCACGACAACCATCAATGATAGTAATAGTAAGGGTCTTTTAATTGTATATATATCATACGCAGATATTAAAGGTGGGGCCAGTAGTATTCAAACTATTAGGTTAAAGCTGACACTGATGCATATCTCTACCCCTAACATTGGATTTATCTGTAGTTATCGTTAGCGATTTTCCAGGATGGAAGTAAGTCTAAATGAGTCCAATCTTCTTTGGGACCCTCCATTCCAAATGACATGTATCTGAAGTACCAGAACGTACCTGCAACCAACGCATAAGCCGATAAGCATATCAATAGATAGGCTACCTTAGCGATAGTATTTGAGGACCTTTTTAAAGGAAGTGTAAAAACTTCAAACTCGTAACAAAAGACGAGCATAGCGAAATATAACGCTGGAACATAGTGATGTACATATGTAACCCTTCCCATTACCACGAATGGCATGAAATGTAAGCCCCATCCAAACATTGGATAAATACCACCCATAACATATAAGCTTAATTTTTTAGGATTTGAAGCAGGGAAATCATCAAACTGCCTCTGCCATCTAATAACATAGTATAAGAAGATGAATGCGAAGAGCACAACACCTAAAGATGATGTCCATGTAGTAGCAGGAGAGCCAATCATAAAATATTTCACTTTTTCAGCTGCCCAAGAACACATTCTAATACCTACATGTAATGTTGGCCATTCCCAAGCGGATGAAGCCAAGTCATCTTGCTTGTCATAGTCTGGAAGCAATGCATTATTTGTAGCCATCATTGCCAAATTTAATTGAATGAAATCTCTGATAAACCTTGTCTTTGGCAACTTGAAATCCTCTGGCGCTGGTGGTAAGATTTTATTTTCATTCTTCTCGATATTCCACCAGGTCCTCTTATCTCTTTTAAATGAATTTTTGAAGCAAGCAACTTCACCTTGTCTAAATCCCCATGGCGGCAAGGAAGAGCCTGTTACACCTAAATAACAGTTAAGTACTGCGTTCTTCAATCTAAAAGATGAACTCAATGGATGTAGCCTCAATTTGTCTTCATTTCCTGGTTGCTCAACTATCTCTACAACCCAATTGTCTTTTTGGTCACCAATAGTAAGGTTTCCATAACAAGCCACTTCATACTCAGATTTGCTTAATGGTGCAGCAATATCGTGGGTGTGCAAATTTCTTCCTGTCATAGGGTGCATAATTCTAACACTCATTCCATCAATAACATACTCTATGTCTTCAGAATTATCGGTATCATAATAAGGTTCCCATCTGGGCCGCTGGAATATCCAATGATTATTGGCATCCTTATGAGAATAGGTCGTTACTTGTTGCTGCTTTGAACCTTCGGGAAATGTTTGAACATGAGAATGCAATAAACCTCCAGTCAAGCCTTGATTTTTAAGAGTAACAATCGAATGCCCAATAGTGACTTCTCTCGGACCAACTCCAACGTCTGAACCTAATAAGTTTGCTTGGAACAAGGATGACATATTTGCATCTCCAGTCCCCGACTTATATAGTAAGTCAAAATGAACTTTGAAGCACAACAAGAAGATTGTAAGTGGTATAATTATTAGACCAAAAATTCTTGCTCCCCAATGATAAAGGTACACCTTCCATTTCATTGACTTATCACCAAACTTGTTCCACAAATCAACGATAGTGTAAATTCCAATTAAAGCTGTAATAAACAAACCAACCATTTTCACAGAACAAGTGCATCCAATTGAGAAACCAGTTAAAATCAACCATTTCCACCACTTTCTAGTGAACTCTCTTCCTTTTGTATTGAAATTATTGAATCTTGTAAAGCTGAAAAAAGTTGCAACTGTGAAAAATAATAGCATCGAATCCAATAAAATGAATCTTCCTAATGTTACATAAGAAGATTCTAATGTGACCATTAGAGTAAAGAGCCAAGTAGTTGCTATTGAATATCCAAGTTCTTTCATAGTCAAGTAAGCAAATGGAACACATAATGCAGAAAATGTAGCGTTGAATATTCTCATCTTCGTGTAGTCAATGTAATCAGGATACACTTCTCCAGATGGGAAGTCCCAAGAACCATTATATCCGGCTAAGTATCCTGATAATCCAACAAGCATTTTCCCCAATGGGGGATGCACATCGTGATAGAATTCATGTCTCAAGTAGTAAGAGCCAAATTTACCAAAGTGAGCCTCGTCCCATACCACCGCATCATTCACACCAATCCTATACACCCTGACTGCAAATGACAAGATTGTAAACAAAATTGGCATTAAAATGCTCTCCAAAGTATATAACGAATTGATAAATTCCTTTGTTTCCTCATCCCTGTTGTCTTTGATTAAGTCGGAATCGTCAATCAATTCTTTCTCAGATTGTTCAAACTTCACAGAGTTTTTCTTCCCTACCCTTTTACGGAGACTGGCATCATCTACTCTTCGAACTCCAGAGGCCGACATATTCTCTATGACAATTCTCCAGTTTTTTTTTGTTTCACAAGAAATGAAAAAATTTGGCCAAGACGTGTCGGATTGAGTTAACAAAAATTTCAAAAAATTAAAGCCTACTTTGAAAATTCCACTACAAAAAGATCTCCGAAGGAACCAAGGATACGCTAATAAGACATCTATATAGTATTTACATTCAATATTTGGTGAAAGAGCGAGCATAGTAGTCTCCATATGAATGGATGGCCAAATGGATCTTCGTTCGAGTCGTCCGTATTATTGGATACTTGTTCTCTCAGTCTCATATGTCCTTTAAATTTTTCACCAAATATTTTAATTTTGCCGTCTATAGATATATTGACGGATGCTGAACTAAACTTCAGTATGGATAATTTCTGGAAATCGATTTTGGAATTCTCTTGTAGAAACATGTTTATATTGTCAATCAAACCTGCATTATTCATGTTTTGGATGTCTTTGTTTGGCACGTTTATAATTATATGCCTTAAATTCTCGTTGATATGGTTGAAATGCATCACGTATACGAGCTCAATGTCACCTAGCAAGTACTTGTCAGTTTCCTCGTCCGTTAGCTGATTTGAAACCTCTTTAATGGAATGATACCCGAATCGATGCTCCCTTATGACAAATGGATCGTCAAGATCCAAGTTCTCAAGTAAAGATATAATAAATTCGTTGGCAGAAACGTTAGTGGAAGAGCTTGATACTCTGTTCAATATCACTGTGTTGAATTCTGACGAGGATTGATCACTGCTCAAAAATACAAACGCCTGCTTACTTAAAATCGAAGAACTTTTGTGTTTAATGGACAACTGGTTAAGTTTGTAGCCTCCATATTCTAGCCCATTGAAGGTGAGTTTCAATCCATCTTTAATTGACTCATAAGAATCGTATATTGGTATAATGTCCGTACTATGATTTTGATAAGCACGAAATAAAAATTTCGACAAGTTTAATAGGATATATTCCCTCTGATCTTGAGGAATGGCCCTAAGGCTACGATTGGATTTGTATACTTTAAAAGTCTGATCTAATAACACATCATGATCCATCTTCCCGTTGCATCTTACTTTAAGATTTTGGTGGTTCAAACTTTTGTTTATCTCATTAGAACGCGATATACAAAATACTACAGATGATCTCAATCAAATTTTCAATTTAGGTTACGCATGTGAATAAAACACTACAAAGTTTTATATAGACATTAACTATCTGAGACGGAGCTCTTATTAAAGCTTACCTGTTACATGCTCATTAGATAGTTATTTGGAAGCTTTAGCAACATGCTCCAACAAGTCAACAACTCTGTTAGAGTAACCGAATTCATTATCATACCACGAAATCAATTTGACGAAGGTTGGAGATAATAAGATACCAGCCTTTTGGTCAAAGATAGAAGAGTAAGTTGAGCCTAAGAAATCAGTAGAAACAACAGCCTCATCTGTGTAACCCATGATACCCTTCAATTCTCCGTTAGAAGCAGCCTTGATGGCTTCAGAGATTTCTTCGTATGTAGCGGATTTCTTCAATCTAACAGTCAAATCCACGACGGAAACATCCACGGTTGGAACTCTCAATGACATACCAGTCAATTTACCGTTTAATTCTGGGATGACCTTACCAACAGCCTTAGCAGCACCAGTAGAGGATGGGATAATGTTACCAGAAGCGGTTCTACCACCTCTCCAGTCCTTATGGGATGGACCGTCAACGGTCTTTTGGGTAGCAGTAATAGAGTGAACAGTGGTCATCAAACCCTCTTCAATACCGAAAGTGTCATTAACAATTTTAGCTAATGGAGCTAAACAGTTGGTAGTACAAGAAGCATTAGAGATGATCTTCAAGTCTGGAGTGTATTTCTTTTCGTTGACACCAACAACGAACATTGGAGCATCAGCAGAAGGAGCAGTGATGATAACCTTCTTAGCACCACCATCAATGTGTTTTTGAGCACCTTCAATTTTAGTGAAAACACCAGTGGATTCAATGACGTAGTCGACGCCCTTCTTACCCCATGGAATAGAAGCAGGATCCTTCTCTCCAAAGACTTCAATTGGGTGACCATCAATGATCAATTTGTCACCTTCAGCCTTAACTTCACCCTTGTATCTACCATGGGTAGAGTCATACTTGAACATGTAAGCAGCATAATCTGGAGCAATGAAAGGATCGTTGACAGCAACGACATCAATGTCCTTTCTGTTCAAAGCAATTCTTAAGACTAAACGGCCGATACGACCAAATCCATTAATACCAACGGTGATAGCCATTTTCTTTTTTATCTTTAACTAAAAGTAATTAGAATGTAGTAATCAATTGCAATTTTATTGTCAATTGTTTCTATTACTAACAGTTGGAATCTTAAATGGGGCAAAGTCGTCCAATTTATATCGACCTTAATGGACATAGATCATTCTCCGGGACATAGACATCCATTTGTGGATGACACTACAGTGGAATGGAAAGTTCCATAACTACCACAGAATAAAGCCAAAAAAAGGTAGAAGAATCATTATAGATGTGAATTGAGCTCATATGAGACCATGTCATGTCTCAGAATGTTCAAATAGAGATATATAGTCTAATTCAATAAGATCATAGCTTAGAAAGATCTAAGTATTGTCGCACGGGTACCCCGATTAGAGCAAGAAAGAAGAATCACAGCTATACGGGAGAACCGGACAATCGTATTACATGAAAATAGAATGATGTCCGAAAGAAATAGAACACTTAGGAAGCAGATTCAAGACTCTTTCCTGTCAATCGAGTAATGCAATGGTACGTAGCAGTAATTACCACCAACTTGACCCGGAGGAACGGCCGGGACAGAGGGTGACGATTGCAAAAAAAATAAAAATAAAAAGAACTAAGCAATGTAAGTAAAGAATGGGGTCAATACAGCAGAATGATATCTCAGGAAAGAAACTTAGTTATGTTTGGTCTGTAGAATCGACATTAATCATTTACTTTTTTATATATATCTTATTTGAAATGTAAGAAAAAAGGTGATATTGGGCAACCTTAAGGGGCATCGGTGCACTCCCAATCTGTGGGCTCGTAAGCATCAGGCTTGTCAATAGCTTTAATTTCTGCGTCAGTCAACTTAAAATCATTGATATCGATATTACCCTTGAGCCTCGATGGGGTCTTGGTCTTTGGAAGAGGAATATATCCTTTTTGCAAGGACCATTTAATAAGAATCTGAGCCGTGTTTTTGTTGTATTTCTTACAAATTTCGGCGATTTCAGGTGGTGGGTGAGCCAACTTGGATCCATGAGTCAATGGTGAGAAAGCCTCAACATGAATGTCATGACTCAAACACCATTGAGCCAATTCTGATCTCATGCACCATGGACTAATTTCGATTTGATTGACTGCGGGAGGATACTTCAATTCACTCCACTCCAACAATTGCTCGATGTGCTTAATTCCATAGTTCGAAACACCGATGTTTTTAACTAGACCCTCGTCCACTGATTCCTGTAGAGCCTTGTACGTCTCTAGTCTCTTCTGGGGCCCACATAACGGTGAGTGGATCAAAAGCAAGTCAATGTACCCAAGGTCCTTGACCTTTTCCAAGCAATCTCTTATGGCAGACTTGGCATTTCCATAGCCACACTGTGAGTTCCATAACTTCGTTGTGTAGAAAATATCTGATCTCTTAACACTGGGGGTTTCCTTCAAGAACTTTGAAATTCCTTTTCCTACCTCATGCTCATTGCCATAGAGAACAGCAGTATCAAAATGTCTATAACCTTGCTTTGCTGCCTCATGAACAATTTCACTAGTTTGATTGTTTGGGATATTGTAGCATCCTAAACCTATGGATGGAATGGTATTGCCTGAATTAAGTGTAACTAACCTTAATGACATCTTTTACACAATAGCTTGTAGTTAATTCTATGTTCTAAACTCGGTAAATTCTTAATCCAAAAGCAGAAGCGAGAAACTGCAATTATAGAGTTTACTCATATATAGGAAATCTATCAATCTGGCTTGCTTTCTTGATTTACTTGCTCTTGCTACAAGACTCTCAGAATTTTAGTCCCATGACCTACGTACTTTGCTGTCTACGGACTACCTAAAGGTAGTAAAAGCACCACGTACGGCAGATAGCACGGCAGAGCCTACAATCAGTCTTCCTATTAGTATGCATACTTATCTAGAGCCGCAATACGACTTTAGTTAGGTTATCAATTATCGCAATATAGAACAACCGGAATCAACGTGCCGAGAAAGTAAAAGCCTCAGCAGCAAAATACTTCTCCAAATTGGGACTTCTAGCCCCTTAGAAATGCGTGTCTCAGCACCCTCTCAAAGTTCTTATTGAGTATATGCAAGTTGTTCCTAAAGTCTTCCAATGCATTCTCTAATTAGCTAGCCGTTCACGAATATAGATTGGTTGGCACTATCGAGGTTTGAAAGTTATGAATAACGAGCCACAATGCATTAAACTTGCATGGCTAGACTTCTGGGTCAGCACATTGCAGTCCAATTACCATAGATTCCTGTCAAAATAGTAATAGTTGGAGTAAAAAATTAAGGTCAGCCATTGATTAATCAAGAAAATCTTTGATGATTGATAGTCAATTTAGTGTAGATCATTCACACCTTGAGTGGGAGCTTCCTTTTCTGTAACGGCGCCCGGAACTTGACAATCTTTTTCGTCTGATAGACATCCTCTCACTCTAGCCCTTCCTCATGCCTGTCTAGCGTTCGGTATGTCTTATTTCCGGTGAGACATTTACCGGCCGGGTGAAGAGCCTCTTCGATACGCCAGTCTCCGACGGATGCTAAACACATATATAGCAAACCCGAGAAGACGGAAAGTGAGAGTGATGTTGTCAAAGTATCCAGCAGAGTCTCAGGAGAGGGCGAGTTCGAAAGGATAGCAAGTGGTCGTTTTCAAAAGCAGGCCAGAAAAAAACAATTTTTGACATAAATAATCTTAGTCACGTCTATTATTAATCAAACTTTGGCGCTGCTTTAAACGGGTATAAGTATAAATATAAGACTCAAGAAATACAGTTTTCTCCCATAGAGAGAAGAACTTAGTATAAAGAATCTTAAACACGAGAACAGAATTTTTATTGGAGCCATCTCGGTGGTTATCTGAATTGATAAGTTGCAGACATAAAAATATTGGGAACGGAAAAAAATTCAGTTGCAATGTTGAGCCATATCAGTACCTCATCAGAGGATCAAGGGAGATTAGATGATTCTCACCATAGAAAGAAGAGAGTTGGAAGAGCTTGTGACCTGTGCAGAATAAAAAAGACGAAGTGTGATGGAGTCAAGCCATGCTCTAGATGTATTCAAGATAACAAAATCTGTGTCTTCAGCGAAAAGAAGAAACAGAAAGACAAGGCTCATCCCAGTGGATATGTTGAGTTATTAGAGACGAGATTGGATTTGTTGACCAAATCATTGGAGAAAATTATAACGATGGCAAAACCTCATTTGGATTTTCTTTGTGATCCTCAGTTCGGGGTTAATGATTCCTCTGAGGGTATTGCAATAAACAATGTTGTTACTTATCTTATCAATGAGGAAGGATTGTTGCGAAATTTGCCAGTTGAGTGGGAGAAGGGTGCAATGATCGCAGCTAATTTAACTTCTAACAACAAGAAAGATATAAAGGTTGCCTCTAAATCCTTTGCCGAGCACAAGAAGAATTCTAAACAGGAAGAAGAAGATGATGATGATGACGAAAGACTAAACAATAGATCGCCTGACAAGGACAGCTTCACGAGGACTGATTCCAATGAAGCTTTTAGTCCCAATAATAGGGAGCTGGACTCATCACCTCCAGATCAAAGAAATAGGATTTCTGACCAATTACAACTAAATGAGCTTCCTTTAGGGGGTTATTCAACAGGAGGCTTGATGCTAGCAAATTCAGCGGCTTTGAATGGTTCAGCATCGCCTTTAAATGAATTTGGTCCATCTGACTTTGAAAGCGATTCCAATTCAGTTTATTCGCAGCATCCTCCGAAAAATGATCCTCCATCTCCTATTGATGAAATTTTAGGACCTTCTGGTTCCTTCTTAACTTCTTTTGATACGCGTCCTAAAGCCAGCAGTTCCATTACATCTCTCACAGACAAATTTGAGGATCATGGGCTACACTCACCTACTCTCTTGGCAAGCTCTTATGGACCTCATGATCAATTATTGGGACAGCAAACACAGTCTCAACATGGTATAAGACGTTCTTCTCTGTCAACTAGGCCTTTTTCACCATCCCATCAAAAGTTGAAGAACAATGGACATGTTTTTAAGCCACATCACAGCCATTCCCATCATAACAGTAACTCAAGCTCAACCAATTTCATAAGCAACAACGGAAATGAATTTCATTTATCTAAGAAATCAAGCACTCCACTGACGGCTTCTTTTCCACTTACACCATTCAATGATGGTGATATTAATGAAGATTTCAGTTCGTTCATCTCTCTTCCCTCGGAAGCATTTAAGTCGATTCCAAATGATGAATATAGGGAACTTGATATTATAAATCCTGATAGCTTAGATGCTTTTGCATCTAGAAATCCCTTTGCTAACTACCGTGATGACAAAGTTTAATGAAGATGGTGAGAAAATTCACTGTATATGAAATATATATTCCAGGTTAGGTTTTACATTCTGCCTTTTAATTTATTATTAATATATTCTGATTATGATTTTACAAAATTGCCTTGATTTGTAAGAAGTAGATTTAAGCTCAATTGAGCGAAAGTTATCATACATAGCATATGGAGCCCAATGAATATTTGACTGCCAGACAAAAAATATTCAAGGGTGATGCGGTGGCTCAATGGTAGAGCTTTCGACTCCAGATCGAAGGGTTGCAGGTTCAATTCCTGTCCGTGTCAATTCCTTCTCATATTTTTTAAATTTTTTCCGCTTCTCGCTTATGAGCAGAATCTATGCATCTTTTACCGATTCAAAACCTTTAGCCTTGTGTTTCAACACATGCCATGGCTAAAAAAACGAAGTCGAAGGAGGGAAGTTCACCTATTCCAGAAACTTTAAAGAAAAAGAACACAAAAGATACTAAGCTTGAAGCCATTGATCCCGATGGTAAGAAGCCACAACGAGGTTTAGCCATAGGTGAAAATTTTGGCTGGACAGGTAAATTGCCTGCCACTTTGCTTTATGAGCATTGTCAAAAGCAGAAATGGGGAAAGGCTACATTTGATATGAGAAAAGAATCGAAGGGCTTTACGGCAGTTGTGAATTTAAGTTGGGAAAATCCTAAAACTAAGGAATTAATTAATATAAAGATGGTCCCAGACCGTGATCTATATTCTCCTAAGGAGACGTCTAATGAGGCTAGGCATGCTGCTGCTACCTATGCAATGCACAGAATTAATTACGTGAAAAATATGAAAATGGTATTGCCCAATACATTCAGAGACTACTGGTCAGATTTAGAATCTAAAAGACTGAACTTATTAAAGCAAAATAAAGAAGAACATGACGCTATCTATAACTCTAACCCATTCCAGGTTTACCTAAATAAAAAGGAAAAGAGGGAAAAGAGAGAAAAAGAATTGCAGATTAAAGAGCAGAATGACAAAAGAGTTCAAAGACCACAATTGAATATAGCTTCCAAGATCGGGGGACTCAAGAAAGAAGGTAAACGTAACACTGTTTCTATTCCCAATTCAGCAGAAATTCCATCTTTTCCGAAGAAGGTATGGAGCAATAGTCCTTTTGTCGACTTTCCCTCAAACGTCAGATTATCTATAGAGTCGTCCGTAAGAGAGCATATTAGATGGGAGGTTGAGAATTCTCAGAAATTGTCAGACCAAGATCGGCGTGAATATTCTAATACATTTTACAAGTTAGGTTTCCGAGAAGCACATGTGAAAGAAGCTTTCAAGTACACATCAAGTTTCAATGATGCTTTGGAGTGGTTGTTATTCCATATTCCCGAAGACGATTTACCGAGTCTCTTTACCAAATCCGCAGATGAAACTGGTGTGACTTTGAAGATTTCCAAGGATATTCAGCGCGAGTACTTATTGAAAAGACTTCATGAATCGGGCTTTGATATGGATGAAATAGTGACGACCCTTGAAGAGAATCACAACGACGAAATTAAAACATCGATAGCACTCACGCGTAAACTCTGCCCTAGGAAATTGCATGCGAATGAGGTGGCTGATAACCAAGAAATTTGGGAGCAAGAAATTGAAAGCATAAATTGTATTGGATCTAATTCTGCTAATTTTTTGTCAGATTCATGCAAAAGAATTGTTTTAATAGGCTTAAATCCAAAAGGCTTGGAAAAGAACCTTTTAAGCATAAAGTTATTTAATTGTGATAGATATCCAAACGACATTCCTGGTATGTTTTTGATTGTCAACGATCTGTCATTCAAGCTAGCTAGTTATATCAAATTATCTATATTAAGAAACTTGATAGAGTTTCTATTCGAAAGAAATATTATTGGAGACTGCTTCATATATTCAATTATTGAATGGTTGGAAGATAATATAGCTAATGTTATCAAAAACCCTGGCCCTTTATTGTACATTGAAGAGGGAAGAAGTGACGTTACCTCTGAAGTGTCTTCTTCTAGAAAACCCGAGGGAAGATCTAAGAAACGCGTCGAAAAGTCGCTTGAACTACTGATTCAGGAGATTGAAGCCGCAAAGAAAAGATATAAAGCAAGACAAGAATCCGAGCAGGTACAAAATTCAATCAGGAAAAGGAAACTCCTTCCGGCTTGGAATAAGAGGCATCAGTTAGTTTCAGCAATTAATGAGCATAAAATTACTTTGGTTACAGGTGAAACTGGATCAGGTAAGTCCACGCAGACGGTTCAATTCATATTGGACTATTTGAATTCAAAGGATAATTTCTCGTCAACTATTATTTGCACTCAACCTAGGCGTATTTCCACTATTGGCTTGGCGGAAAGAATATCTGAAGAGAGGCTTGAAAATGTGGGGGACGAAGTCGGTTATGTTATTAGAGGTGAAAATAAGACTAGCAAGAATACAAGGATCACTTTTGCAACTACGGGAGTGTTACTTAGGATGTTGCAATCTTTCTTACAATCAGGAGAGAATAATTTATTCAAGAAGTTGGGTTATATTTTTGTCGATGAAGTACATGAGAGATCCGTTGATAGTGACTTTTTATTGATTATCTTGAAAAAAATAATGGGTAAATTTCCAAATCTTAAAATAATATTAATGTCTGCAACAATTGATGTGGATATATTTAAGAGTTTCTTTCATACTCCCGTCAATCATATTCATATAGAGGGAAGGACTTATCCAATTGAAGACCATTATTTGGGAGAAATACTTGACGATGTTGATTTCACAATTAAAAATTCAGATCACGAATCTGTAAAACCCAAGCCGGACTCGTTCTTTTTTAAAAACGGTAATATAAATTATGATTTAATTGCTCTCTTATGCTTGAAGGTAGATTTTCAACTAAGGGAGAAGATGGATGACGGTTCTATCTTGATTTTTTTACCAGGAATTGCGGAAATCAACCAATGCATCTCACAAATAGAATCAAAGTTCAAGGACACTCTGAATCAGAGCTGGTGTCTACCACTACATTCGGCACTAGCCTCAGTCGAACAGAAAAAAGTGTTTCGATCTGCTAAAAAAGGCGTCAGAAAGATCGTGGTCTCCACAAATGTAGCTGAAACATCTATAACTATAAATGACTGTGTAGTGGTTATAGACAGTGGACGATCTAAAACATTGTTTTATGACCCCAGTACAACTTCTACCAAGTTAATTGAGAATTGGTGCTCTAAGGCAGAGACAGGTCAAAGAAGAGGAAGGGCTGGTCGTGTTAGAGAAGGGTTCTGCTTTCACCTTTATACACAAGATACTTATCAAAATATGAGAAGTGAAGCCATTCCTGAAATCAAGAGGACGAGATTGGAAAATCTCTATTTAGTTGTAAAGGCAATGAATATCAACAATGTTGAGGAATTTTTGAATGACGGTCTAGATCCACCTGATCAAAAGTCATTATCTCTGTCTAAAGACTTTTTATCGGAAATAGGAGCATTACGAAATGATAAATTATCGCATCTAGGTAAATATTTATCATATTTGCCTACAGATTTGCAAAGTGGAAAATTGTTGATTTTAGGGTGTATTTTCTCGTGTTTGGATATGTGTTTAACTCTTGCATCGATACAATCTGTTGGCAGTCCTTTTTCAAATTCCTTCGATCTCAGAGATAAGATTAAAGAAATTCAAAACCAATACTCCGATGGTCAGGGCGATTTAATCGGGATGGCTAATGTTTATAAAGAATACGAGCGGGTCAAGTCAGAGAATAAGAATGTGAACAAATTTATCTCTAGTAACTGTTTGTCTTATATGAGTTTGAAAGACATTAACTCTACTAAGGTTCAACTTCTATCAATTTTAAAAGATATCGGTTTTGTTCCTATGAACTACGGCAAGGTGTACGATACGTTGAACAGAAACTCAGAGAACTATTCCATAATACGTTCGGCAATCACCGGGGCGTATTACCCTCAAATTGCAAGAGTTCAGTTACCAGACCCTAAGTATTTAAAATCTTTTGTTGGTGCTATAGAGGTCGAACAGGATGCTAGGCAAACCAAATACTGGATCAGAAACAACGGATTTATGAACCAAAAGCCACAGGAGGCTGATACCGAGAAAGAATTGCCTGCTATTCGGGCGTTTATTCATCCTTCTTCTGTTTTGTTTTCGAGCACAAGTAATCAAAACACTGTACCTGATATTGAAAAATACTTGAGAGAGGATGGTTCTTTTGATTCCGAGACTGCAAAGGAAATTTACAACACACCTCCACTGGTCCTGTCTAGTGGGTCATTGATTAAGTCTTCATTCATTGTATATGGATCGTCTCATCATTCAAGTAAACTTTTCCTAAGAGATGTCACTCCAACAAGCACCTTGGTAACTCTTTTATTTGGGGGAGAAATTGTCTACGATTTAACGAGTAACTTGACAACAGGCAATAAATCTCCAGGAATAGTGCTTGATAAGTGGCTCCCTATCAGAACATGGTGCAAAAATGGAGTGTTGATAAAAAGACTCAGAATTTTACTCGATAATGCCATCAATGACAGACTTTCACAGCCACATTACTTTTCCTCCATTAAAGAACTTGACAAACCATCTGACAGCGATAGAATTTTGTCTATCGTTGAGAAAGTCGTTGGTATATCATAGTTTCGCAGCACATCATACTATGCACATCATTTTGCACCCATGTAAATATATAATTATAATAAACTTGAAAGAATCCTTTTCTAATAGAAGAAGGAAACCATTCTTCCTACTGCTTCACTTCTACCAAAACTCTTATTTTATAGTATCACCTGAATGATAATGATGCTTACGTAGTAAGATCCTGAAATGTGTTTTTGCACGACTTCTATCAGTTCTGATTGAAAGTTAATTAATCAAGCTAATGAGAAGCAAAGTAGGGGCTAATCAATTGAATATAAACAACAAATCAGGAAGATGAATAACCAGAATAATCAGACACAGGGAAATACTGGTGGTCCGAATAGAGGGGGTCCTCTGCGGCCTGTTACAATACAGCCCGGCCATGTTATTCACTTAGTTCAAGCTTTGAAGAATGAATTAGCGGCAGCTAAGGCAGCTGAGAATGATAGAGCTAAGGCCCAGCAACACTATGCTAAAGCTGAGGATATCAAGCAAGTTTTGCTTAATTACCAGGCACAGCAAAAATCAAGAGCGCAACAGCAGCAACAGCAGCAGCAACAGCATCCACAACAGCAGATGCATCCACAACCAAATAGCGCTGGTAACCAAGTTAACATACCTAATCAACAAAACATGATGAATCTTCAGCAGCAAAGCAGTTCGAACTTGAACCAACCTGGTCTGCAGGCGCAGTCACCGAATTTAGCTCAACAGATTCCACAGAGTAGTCCAGCTCCCATGATGCAACAGAATTCGTCTTCTTCGGGTGGATCGCATATTTCGAGTGCAAATTTGATTACTATGGAAAATTTTAATAAGTTAAAGGCTAGGTTAAGTAGTTATGAACCAAGAATTCAACAGTTGGAGGAGAGCAAGAAGAACGAATCTTCTCCTGATCAAATTGGAGCTTTGGAGAGGCAGATAGGTGACCTTAAAACTAAGTTCTCGCAAGAGCAAAAGTATGCTATCTATATGAAAAACCAACTAATTGAGCAGGCGAAGACTGCATCATCAAACTTGAATAGTCCGCAATTATCGAACACCGGTTCACCTGCTGTAACAAATCCTCAAGACCCTAGATTTAGGGTTCAGCAGCAGCAAAATGTTAAATCTCCCTTCGTGCAAAGCAAAGGTACACCCCAGCAGGCTCCAGTTGGAACTCCTCAAAATCAGGGACAGCAGAGAAGCTCTAAATCAGCTTCGCCTTCAGGGACAAATGCTACAGCTACACCTAGCAAATTAGGTCAAACACCTGGTCCTGGGACCTCTTCTTCTAATTTAGCCGGAATAACGAGACCAAGCGTGCCATCGATCCCGATATCAAGTACAATTAATGTTAAACCCCCAACTGCACTCACTTTGAAACCAAATAATGCTAATCGTGCCTCTTTAAGTACTGGTGTCCCTAATGGACTTGGTTCAATTTTGGGGACACCAGCTATTACTAAGTTACCGTCGTATGATTTATCTACTGCGGGTACTTCTGCTACACTCCCGGATAACGGGGGAAGAGTTTTGACTAAAAGAAAACTTTCTGAATTGGTTAATTCTATAGGCGCAGATGAAGGTGATGGAAAAACGACCATAGATGGCGATGTGGAAGAACTACTTTTGGATTTGGCAGACGAATTTGTTACGTCGGTTACGAGTTTTGCATGTAGATTAGCGAAACATCGCAAGGCTGACTCAATCGACGTAAAAGACGTTCAACTCCATTTGGAACGTAATTGGAATATAAGGATTCCTGGATATGCCATGGATGATATTAAAGCAATTCGTAAATGGCAGCCAAGCACGTCTTACAACCAAAAGCTTTCGGGAGTTGAAATATCTAAATCTGTTAATGGAAATATTAATTAGGAACCCATGTATAAATATTTAAGGAATTTTTAATGCATTAAGTTTTTAAAGAGTAGCAACTGTTGGAGAAATTTATCTTTTGATCATCAACTAGCCCATCGAGATATTCCTCAAGGGATATATTAGTAACTGCTTCCATGTTCATAACCTCCTTGGGGACAGTAACTTTTAATAGATCCTTGATTCTATCGAAGGTAACCGGACCCAAGTTATTGAGTATACCATGAATATATGGAAACAATCCTTGCAAGCTCTCGTGTGATTTTATTGAAAGATGTTTCAGATCCGCACTTAAGATATCCTTTTCTGAAGGGCTAGTGAGTTCCAACATCGGCTCAGTGTCTGCATCTTCATTAACTATATATAAATCTCTTGTTACCTCGAGGAGCACTTCTTGCTTTACCCAAAACTGTAAAGCTTGAGATGCAATGAAAGGTGTCATTTTAAGCTCCTGAACCACGAAGTCCAACAGTAATGGGTCAGACTTGTCGTTAAACAACGTGATTATAGACGCCCTATCGGGTGAAGTTTCAAAATTCAAAGTCTTATTGTTCAAAGATAATTCGATTTTGACTAATCCCAAGTGTGGCAATAGTTTTAGGTATCGTCCTTTCTTCAACTCCAGATAACTGTCACTGAAGTTTTTGAAGTCTTGGTAAATCGATTCTGGCAACTTGAAGTTGTCATTCTGCGCCGATATACTCTCCATCAAATGATTCCAGTAATTGTGTGACAATATTGTAGACTGAAAGTTTGACTGAGGAGATGAGGATCTAGAATATAGCAAATCATTTATAAGCCGACTCTCTTTGATGTCTCTTATCATTACATCCAAAGTTGTGAATTCGTTTTTCCCAAATCTGAGCTTCAAAAGCAGTAAATAATCAACTATTTCGTCGACGTTGTAATCAAATTGTTTAATCAATCGCTCACTAAACAATTTGGTAAACTCATTAATGAAAATATCCTTTGAATCGAAAATAGAAATCAAGGATTCTATAATGTCGGTAAGCTTCCCCTTTTTGAAGTCTGGTAATGCGTCTATTGGATCAGGAGTCCAATGCAAATCTATATTCTCATCGATAACAATGCGTTTACTGAATAGTTCGCTATCCTGTCTCCTTAATTCTACTGCAAGGTCTCTTAACTCGTTCGTGTCGCTATCATCCAAAAGTCCATGTACTAATTTGATAATAATATCATCACGGGTCTTAAGATATCTTCGAATTGGTCTGATAACTTTATCAAGAAGAACCCCTTTCGGATCTATAATTAAAAATGCACGAATCGTCTTTGTATAAGTGGTGATGACGTCGACGGTGTTAGTACCAGAATGAAGCAAATTTTCATTACACCGCTGAATAAAGGTTTCTACAAGAGTCGTCCTTTGGTAAGCTTGGCTGTATGTCGAATAATTCATCAATGTGCTAAAACGTGTCTTGATATTGGTTTGAGGAATTGAGTAATTAAGACACTGGTATAGTTCAAAGAGACTAATCTTGCTCTGAGGATAGTCATGCACCATCTTATAAATCTCACTGATCCTTAGAGAAACTAATTCATCGCATGCTATTTTTATAAGATCATACAAGAATATTTGATCGTTATTTGAAAGCGTCATGATTATATGAAAGCTGGGCCAAATTTCATTCTCGACAAAGCCTTTTATTTTCTCCAAGAAAGGTTCATTCAACACATCTGAACAGACTCTCAATACATATTCCTTAATTTTGGCAATTGACAATTGAACGATTATAAAATTAAGTTCATCCGTGAAATTAATTGAAATCAAAATAGCAAGGGCATCCGAAAGCTTGTCATTTTTTGGGCTGCTAGAATCAAATAAATTTATTTTTAAATAGGACCTTAGATGGTCCAAAAGTTGGCTTTCTTTAATTAAGGCGTTGTAAAATAAAGTATGCAAATTTCTTTGGAAGATATCTCGTGGCAAACTGTCCAAATTTAGATAGTTCAAATGCCATTCGTAGTAGTTCAATATTCTCCTTATTTGATTGAAAATTTGAAAGAGATCTAGCCCTTCGGTCTTAAAATGCAACATGAAACTGTTATTAACCGAATTGATGTATAGTTTAATAAATGTAAGTTCTCCGTTCAAATCTTTAAGACAGCTTCTAATAGCCGCCTTTATTCTGGAAGAAGGCTCTTTTTGACTCCATTCTGGAATTGGATAGTAAGGGCTTAACCAGCTTAACAAGTAATCTATATCATTCTCAATATCATTTAGACCAGTAGATAAATCGCTTAAAGTTAAAGTCGGGATGATCTTATGAACCAAATCTCTGTTACTTGTAAAAGAACTCATAGAGGACTTTTGAATATTTCTGATCCCTTAACCTATGGCACTGTGGTGATCTCGCTTAGTTTGTGTCGGTAATGAATCTTTATTGTTAGAATATATGTATGTAAACATTTATTTCGTGATACCATAAAATGCGCAAAAATAGAAGGAAGAGATCAAGAAGAGGGAAGAAATTAAAAAAATTAGAACAAGACTGTTGAGAAAACTTTTAAACTATAAACAGCAGGGATCACTTCTTTGAGAATGGTTTCTTCACAAAATAAAAAAAAGCCCAATACTTCTGTGGCCATCTTATCACAAATATTTGACAGATATAAGGATCCTCAAGATGAATCTGTAATTAGCATTGATGGAACTATGGCATATTTAGATGATTTGGGCATTGACCCCGATGACATCTTGAGCTTGACATTGGCATACTTCTTGGAAAGTACTTCAATGGGTATTTTCTCTAGAGAAAAATTCGTTAACAATTGGAATGACGTAAATGTGTCGACGATAAAAGGAATGAAAGATTTTATAGAGCAGTATAATGAGAATCAAATCTTGAGTAATGAAGATAATTTCAGATATTTTTATGATTTTGCATTTGATTATGTTAAAGAAAATAAGCATCAAAAAGTAATTGGGTATGACTTGGCTGTTGATTACTGGAAGTTATTGCTTTCGAAGTCTAGAGCTTGGAAACCTTCTGAAGAGACTAATAGAAGACTAGATCAGTGGTATGATTTTATCATAAATACATACAAACGTAATATATCGAAAGATTCTTGGGAAATGTTTTATTTGTTCGTTAAAGATATTATTTCTACAGATCCAGTGCACTTTAAGGATTATGATGAGATGTCAGCTTGGCCCAGCATAATAGATGATTATGTTGAATACTTGCACGAAAGCAAAAAGCTCGAAGGATAGACCTCAATAGTTCACTATCATAATACACATACATATAAATAGATATAATACGTCTTGCTCTTACAATCTCAGTTTAGGAGACTGTTGATGCTAGATTTTCTCATAGCCAAAAGTGCATTGGAAGCATCTTTTTCGGGTACGAAGGTACTTTGAGAACTAGCTGCAAGATTGTTGTCAGAAGAATAAGAAATGATCTTAGATTTACTTCTTTCATCTGCGTCAGACGATAAAATAGCGGGATCTGGCAATTGAAATGAACGTTTCACACTGCTACTCATAGTTTTTGTATGAGGAGATATTGAGGATGACCTATTGTCTCTAGAGACAGTCGAGTAGTTTTTCTTATAATTTTTCAAAACTGATAATATGGGAGCCATATTAGGAGTATTGTCCGGTGACGGTAATTGATCTTTATGCTCTATCTCTATTATCGGTTCTTCTCCGATACTTTGAGACAGTATTCTGTTTTGGCCGCAACCTGTTAACGGAGATGTGGACGGTACTGCAGAAGTTAACGATGTCAGGGAATCATATAACTCTGTAAAATTAAACTCCTTATCAATATTTCTATATTGGTTCACATCCAACGATATGTTTGCAAAGTTGATATCGAAGTCATAATTCTTGTCTTTGGAGAGCATTTCGTGTTGTTGACGTATGATGTGGTGTAAATATAAAATATACTCGACCGATGACTTTAGAATAGTAAGCTTATGCATTCCATCCATCTTGGCCGCAGATCCGTTCTTAGGGATTTGAGATGAAAAGGAGCCAGATCTGCAGGCTGGAATCACGTACTTCAAGGCTTCGAATTCTCTGTTTATCTTAATTCTTCTACGCTTTTCAATAAGTGAATGCAATTGCTTCGTCTCGTTTTTCCTTCTAGCCAACTCTTGAGAATCTATACTAGACGACCTTCTACGTCTCTTTTTCGAATCAGACAGAGGGGTCGTGAGTTTGTTCTCCTCAGTTGATCGTTTATTATATTCGTTAGTCAATATCTCATAGTTGTTCTCACCATCAACTTCTTTGTTCAATTGAATTATAGTTGTCTTCAAAACTGGCGGGCTGGATAGTTGGCCGCTATTCATTTTTATTAGTGCTATTCTGCTTCTATCGGTTCAAAAAAATTATTATAACTTGTTTCTTATATTCTTAAACCGATCTACTATTAAACTTGTATTATATTAATTATTATGCCTTGATAATGTCATATTTACCAAGTAGTCATTTTTAGGCCCTCCTAACCTTTTATATTGCATCGCCCACGTTGAAATCTTTAACACACGTTGAAGCAGGTGCTGCTTGTCACACGAGGCCAGCACGTGGGGTTGGTGCACACGATATATCTATGCGCACTAAAAGGTCGCAAAAACAGTGCGAATAAGCACATTCGCTCCCTGCTTCCGCACTAATTCTAATCTGAGATCCCACAATACTTCTTAAAGTAGTAGGGAAAGGCATAGCCCGCTCGAAACACGCTCTACCACGCTATCGCAGGCTTCAAATTTTATTAGTGCAATTACCTAATGAGAGTGGTTGAAACAATAGCATTTGAACTTGATTAGTCCACGAGACTCTTCATGGTGTGACTCTACGGTTTGCAAGTTGCTATTCTAGGTCCCTAATACATTTAATCTAGGTAACGTAAATCAAGCCTGCTCTTTGAATGATAAGAATCTCTCTTAACCTTTATGTATCTCCATAAAGCATCTATTGGGAGTTGCGAAACTCGTGGATCTGATTATCCTTTACGTATTCCGAACCGCCATATTTTTTTGCTAATGAATCTTTCCTCGATTTTTTCTCCTCATTATGCTCCTTGAGTTTCATGTGCATTAGAGTAGGATTAGCTTCAACATTAAGATCTAAATTAGCGTATGTGGGTTCTGCATCTGGCTTATTCTGTAGCTTGCTTTCTAAAAGCTCAGTTCTCTTTGATTGCAAATATTCCTCATTTTGGTCCCACGCAAACTTTTGTAGCTCACCCATTGCTCTTACAAACTGATCATCTTCATTGACAAGAGCTTTAGATTTATTCAGTTTGGATGCTGTGACTTTTTTGACGTACGACGGAATATCCATTCTATCTCTAATAACTCTCTCCATGGGATCTTCCTTCAAATTTGTTACTATGTCCTTTGCGTCTAATCCTAATTCAATTAACTCTAACTCATAGTCTGTATCGTCGGAGTCTTGTTCATCTTTCGAACTTTGAGTTTTTGACTTCTTCTTTATCTTTTGCCAGTCACGCAAAATATTGTCCCACTGGTCTGCTTCATATCCATACCATCTATCTCTTTTTGAATCATAATCTTCGTTCCTTTTGACTCGAAAGTTCTCTTTAACATCAAAGGAATCATTAATACCACCACCCGCCGTTGGCAAACTATAATCAATTACCTCATTCTTGTTTCTATGATGCGATAAATAGTCTGAATCAGGGTTATTACTACCAGAGTCTTCTTTATACCACGGTTTTTTAATTATATATTTAGGTATATATGGATTGGCCTCATTCTTCGGACTGTTTGGCATAATTTATTAAGCATTTGACAGCAATACCAATTATATTTGACTTTCAGTTCAGAAGAGCTCTCATTTTACTTTTACGAATTCGAAATTTTTTTTTTCTATAAATATTGCAAATATTTTTAAATTATTAATAAAAAGGTATTAATGCTAAATAATCTTCTAACTAAAACCTGTCCATTCTTCGTCAGATTCCTCTCCTTCATTATGTTCTTCATTTCTTTCACCTTGAAGGTCACTAGATCCATCTTCATCGCCCAAGATGCCCCATTCTTTTAGTCTCTTGTCTTTTATAACATCTTCCTTACATTTTTCTCTCAAAGTTTTTAATAAAGCTTTCTTGCTGAGGCTTATGAATGGAGATATCAATAGGCTAATAGGAGTTTCATCTAAAATTTCTCTCTTCTTTTGCGAGACATTCTTGCCATCTTCCTCGTTATCTTCATTTTCTTCAGTCTCTTCAGAAAGTTCATTAAAGAGAACTAATTCCATTTCATCAATGTATATATCGCAAAGGTGATAAGGTAATGCAACGCTTACACTCTTCTCCCCACTTAAAGGTAATTTCTCTAAAGTCTTCAAGAATTCATTAACATACCTATCATCCCAACCTCTTGACTTAAGTTGAATAAAATTATGTCTCAAAACTCTCCTAATTAAAAGGTAGTACTTGTCAATCCTCCACTGGTCTATATGGGGCCATTCATTAATTATAATGACCCAGAAAGCTTCCAAAAACCTGGCATGCAACTCTATGCTAATGACACTACTGAATAATTCCCCTAAGCTTTCTGCCAATCTCTGCTGGGGTCCAGGTCTATCGCAAAACCACATCGCATAGTACAAACCTTTCCATAATTTCTGCAATTCTAATAAGCTTAACTGGCTCGATGACTTAGCTGATAAATATTTTTTCAATGACTTGAAAGCAGCTTCCCTAGTAGGTCTATCATTTGAAGCCAATTTTTTGACAAACTTCGAGGTCTGGGAGCCTTGCAGAGTCTGTGACATTCCCGTAACAGTTGATCTAACTAAAGAATTATAGTTTGCAAGAAGTGCTTGTATCTACATCAAAAAATGCATACCTGAAAAAAAAAAACCAATCACGTGGTACCATCACGACGTCTACCAAGCACTACTTATGAACTCTCTACAATACGTACTCTCTACAATATGAACATTAGCATTTTATATATTAAAGACTTGTAAGAATTATGAGGTGATAAATGAAGAAAATCATGTGTTTAAGACAATTCAATGATCAAGATTACATTATCATGCTGTCTATATCCGAATCGTAAAAGGAAAATACCGAAATACATAACCTATTAGCGGGAGAGACACATCCTTAGTGACTTCATTTTCCACATCCTCATCTATCTTGACATTCTTAAACTATCAAGTATCTGATTGGAATATGCAACAATTTGACGGCATAACCAACAACACCCATCATAATAAACCCAAATCCGACTGCACGAATGATCTTGAGATATTCTATAAGTAGTTAGTAAACTGCACGTAAAGACATGTACTGCTTCATTGATGAAGCTGTTTTCATCAAATCACCCATCAAACTATGTATTTACTCACCTTTTTTGTCTGGTTTTTGGCACTTTCTAACAAATGCGTTCCCATCTTTGAAAAACTCGACGGGCACTTCTGTAAGCTTCTCTAACCCTTCTGCTGCCATTATAGTTTTGACTAGCCTGTGTGCTTTATATTTCTAAATAAGATAACTCACTACTTTTGGTAAAACTGAACAATTATTGTAATTATCTACGACCACTTGTCATTTTGGTCTACGCACTACATAGTTTTATCGATATATCGTAAAATTTTAAGAAAGAATTAATATACCTATATTAAATCTAAAAATGTATCACTATCTTCTGTTCTTAATGCAATCATATGGTTTTCTCTCCTCTTTTCAATCATCTCTCTGAATTTAGGCGAAACTTCTGATCTCAACCACAATGTAAGAGAATCTCTCATATGCAGGTCGATAGACCATTCGTTGATTAATGGTTGGCACTGTCCCATGTAAGTGGCTTTCCATTTCACTTCCACTAGAGACTTGAGAGCATCCTCATATAAGCCTCGAATAGTTAGATCTATGTCATTAACAGGATTTGGTATCAATCTCTTATTAAACGACGTTGATGAAACATGATACTGGTGGTAAAACTTCAATAAGCACTTTAACATACCATAATATTTCTCTTCGTCAACAACTTCCACGTATTCTTCCTTTAAAAAGTCTAAATAAATTTTGCATATTCTATCTGAAAAGATAGAACTGGTGTCATTAAAAAGGTTCCATAATTCATTGAAAGTATTCGATCTTGTTGACTTAAGCTTGTTTAGGTATGCTAAAAATCCCTCATAGTCAAAGTCGGCATCTTTTTGCATATCTATGAGAGACTTTGGAGAACTACTCGTCTTTGACATAGAGGTTTGTTTTAAATAGGCGTTTAATGCTCTTTCTTCATTAAATGAAGTTGAATAGTTACACCATTTGAAAATGTTCTCCCAGAAATTTTTCGATGAAACTCCAGCAAGATCAATAGGATAATGTTTTTGGAATAGATTCGTGTATCTCATAGCTTTGAAAAACTCTTGATTATAGCAATAGGATATTACTATGGCCTTCAAATGTCCTATAGTTGGATATTCTGACCCATCAAGAGCAGTAAATAATCTCCCATCTACTTCTCCGTCTTCTTTGATACCCCATGTCGATTCAATGTATGTTGATAAAAACTTGAGGTTCTTTGAATAACCAATAGAATATATTAATGTCTCTTTAAACTTATCGTCTAGAATTAACCCACTCTTGTCCACATTTCTTGACTTACAATATTCATTAAACACCGATAAAAATGACAATTCTTTTTTGAATTTGGATTTTCTAGGATTGTAATACTTTGTGGTGAGATAGTTGTTTTTCATAGGCCATAAACGGGGATCTCCACCACAATATGTTTGTAATTTTAACACCCACATGCTGTGGGGCATTATATCAGCAAAGTTTGGATAGTCTTCTTCAAATCTCTGAAACCATTTCGATGCTAAGTCTAATTTAAAATTATGCAATTCTAAATATATTAAGTTTTCATAATCACTGACACTTAATTTATAACCGGTAAGGCTAGTCGAGTTATATAAATCTGCCCTTTTAGATTGATCATAGATATATTCTTGGGAATCGGCATAAAGCAAGTTGCTATACACTTTTCTTATACCTTCTCGGAATCTTCTTGCCTCGTTTCTCTTGGAATAAAATTTTCCCTTTGTCTCGAAGTTCAGTTTTTCTCTAGCAGCCTTACTCATTAAGTTAATCTCATGATCTATGACAGACCTCAAATAATATGATAATTCATCAGAAGTTATAAAGTGTTTCCAAGATCGTGAATTCAGGGATGAATCTGTTATTTTTAAGAATAAACTTATCAATGATTCATAATCCTTTATCTCAGCCAATCTATATATCTGTCTCTTAATGATTTGTTTCTGAGTCAAGCCCGACAGATCTAACTTAACACCAGACAGAAAATGCGTTTCTGGCAATGATTTTAAGAATACCTCTGAGGGACTTGTTCTTATAACCCCACCAACTTTATCATCTATTTGATTAACATCCGAGTCGATAGACGACTTTTCGTAGATATCAAAAGCGGATATATGAAGGTCATTTACTGCAGAAGCCTTTGAAGAAAACAATCTCTTTGATATACTATTGAGTCCGTGGATGTGTCTGCTTCGTATGATGGTCGACATACTTAGCAGACTTCTTTAACGTCTTTTCTGTGTGTTTAGGTTAAACTGAAAAAAAATCGAAGAAAAAACGGTACAATTCGGGTTACTATGCACACCGCACCAAGAATATGGAGAGTGTGTTTTAATGAAATCAATTCTAATGAAAGGGAACAGAGTAGTCAACGATACGTAAAGAAGATTGTTAATTCTTAATTGAATTAGGAAAAAATAAAAGGCTACATAAGCCTTAATTTAGACTGAGCGAATCATAGCAAAGCATCCATATTTCATTATGCCTAATAAGTGAAATCTCAAAGCTTCGAGTTTGAGAACGTACCTCCAATATTCTTCGCGTTATATAATGCTATATTCTCCAAGCCTTGTTCAGCAGTTCCTCCATCATTTATATACTGGATGGACTCTTTCGTACCCTTTATAGCCCATTGTGGGTTCTGGTTTATATCTGAACCAAGCTGTTTACAGTATTCTTCTGCTGTCTTCAAGTCTGGAAAAACTTTGCTAACAAGCCCAACTTCCAATGCCTTCTGACCTCCAAATACAGCACCAGTGAGTGCCATTTCATTTAAGAAGGATTTGTTATTGATAAGAGCTGGTAACCTTTGAAGAGATCCAATGTCGGCTACTATCCCAATTTTTATCTCTCTTATAGATAACTTGACATCTTCGGTTGCTACTCTTATCGTGCAACAAGCACAGATATCTAAAGCGAGCCCGTAGCTGATCCCATTTAAAAGACATATGGTAGGCGTTCTGATTCTCGCAGGTGTCCCAATACAGTACTGGAAATCCTTGATATGCTTAAGAAGCTTATCGTATCTTTCTTGCTCGGATCCTTTCTGGACTTCGCTCATCTCCCCGGCAACTTCTTTCATGTTCAAACCGCTACTGAAAGCCTTGGGAACCACCGAAGAAATTAATATAATGTTGGTCAGCTCCAATTGGTCTAACTTAGTTAATATTTCATGGTAATCTCTCCACGTTTGTTCTGAAAAGGCGTTCAACACCTTAGGGTTATTAAACTGAACGTGATAAAACCCTTCTTCTATTTCACTAATAATGTACCCACTGTACCCTTTGAAATCCTCCTTGTTGAATTCTGACATAACAATCGATTTTTTTCGCCAATTCTAATATGTTCAAAAAGCAAAAATGGAATGCAAACTTAGTTATTTATTGAACTTCATATCTTTTAAGTAGAAGAATATATAATCTGGATACCCCAACTGCTTTAACCGAGGACAAAAGTATGGGGGGCATTAATCACAGGGACTGTATATAATATAATGGAGAATATGAACAATATGACGTTTTGTATGTGGTCTACAAAAGTTCACCTTACTTACTAAATTAGTGGAAAAATAATCCTATGAAGAAAGCCCTTTCATGCAATTTGTCACTCTTTTTTGACTTAATGCTATTTACACCGAATATTTCATCGGAGGTGCCCGTATCTGTTCTTTCTCTGCTATCTCTAAACCCTCAATCATATTTTGTCTTATCATATTACTAGCTTCTTTTACAGAGTTTTCAGTCAATCCCTCTACTAGTAAATACAATTTAGGCACAGGAGGAACTTCTTTTCCATTCTTCACTGTGGGCTTTGGTATTTTAGCGTTTGGTGGATAAAATTGACCTTTACTTGTAATAGATGTGGATGTTGATTCAATTATTTTCGACAAATTATTGCCATTTACGGCCACCCATCTAGCCTTTTGAGGCAAATCGTTGATTGTGATTCTAGTATGGAATTTACATTTATCAGGACCGGAAGTTTCAGGAGCCCTTCCCTCTATTATTTCAAATTTAAAAAGCTCCTTATTGTCATCCGATTCAGAATGATTTGGTCCAGGAGTATCTTGGTCTTCTTTTTTTATGCTTGAATTATTATCATTCGATACAATACCAAAAGCTTGTCTTTGGAGCTCCTTGGTCGTTTCTCTTACTTCTTGTAAGTTTCCTAAGCCTTTGCCACCGAATCCAAAGCTCGATTTTGTCTTTCCCGTTTTAACCTGTTCCAAGAACTCCTTATTAATCTGAACTAGTTTCGGTGGGATTTGATCTTCAGGAACTTTACTTAAAGTCATTGCCTTCACTAGGTCAGCTATTGCCTTTACCTGGCTAGATGATACAAACGTGATTGCAGTGCCTTTTTTTCCTGCTCTTCCCGTTCTACCAACCCTATGTACGTAATCCTCTAGATGATTAGCAGGGTCGTAATTGATGACAAGTTTTAAATTTTTAACGTCTAATCCCCTTGCAGCAATAGACGTAGCTATTAAAATGTTAATTCCAGTCGTCAGAGATGAAAAATCCTTGATTGCATGCTTACGGTCTACTTGGTCTTTTCCTCCATGTATTGCCAAACTTGAAAGCCCCTCAGATAATAATTTTACTAACAAGTCATCTGCAGCAGATTGTCTCTCAACAAATATTAAAATCTTGCACCTAATATCCGACGCGGTTGTCTCCTTTAAAATTGATACGAGCCTTTCAAATTTATGACTTTCCAAATCTTGGGATTCGTTTGCTTCATCGAAAAGCTCAACTTTTTGAGTTATCTCAGGTGCAACAACACTGATTCCTCCGACAATTATTTGAATAGGATTATTTAAATGCTTCTTGGCCAATAGTTCCATCTTTTTTGGAAAAGTTGCTGAAAATAAAACTGTTTGCCTGTCGGGCCTAATCTGGGAAATAATTTTCAAAATTTGAGGTTCAAACCCTGAATCAAACATTCTATCCGCTTCGTCTAAAACTAAAAATGTTACTCTTTTAAGATTTGTGACTCTACCCCCATTAGCTGCCAATAAATCTATAACTCTACCCGGAGTCCCAACAATTATTTCAACTCCTTTTTTAAGGTCAGCTATTTGAGGTTCAATTGAAGCACCTCCGTAGCTGCAACTGGCAGTAAATTGGAGTTTTTTGGAAAAATGAGCCAATTGACGGTAAATTTGTAATGATAACTCCCTTGTGGGGGCTAAAATGAGACCTATTGGACCATCTCCTTTTTTCAATGACTCCTGGTCTTGAATATGTCGTATCATGGGAAGTACAAAGGATAATGTCTTCCCAGAGCCTGTTTTGGCCACACCAATAATATCTTTCCCAGACATAATGGCTGGCAAAGCTTGACATTGAATAGCAGTGGGATGTTCATATCCTAACTTGTCCTCAATAATGCTCATCATTTGAGAGGGTAACCCCAATTGTGACCATTTGAAAATTGGCTTCGGGCAATCTTTGCCGATTGTCTTTATACCACTTAGTTCAAGCTTCCATGATTCTACATCATGATCAGCTAATGATTTTACTTCAAAAGGTTCCTTATAAAAATTTTTTCTAAATGGTTTGTAATCAATAGTATCATGATCAATTTTTTCTAAATCTTTCTCTTTATTTTGGAGCTTAGAGAGTTTCGATGTAAGGATCCTTCGTTGCTCCTCTTCAGTATTTAGCTCTTCATCGGAGTCGCTATACTCTCCGTTTAGATCTTCCTCATTATCTTTGGCATTAGTCGTCTCAAGAGCACTTTCATGGGAGAATTCAGTCGGTACGGGTGTCTTTTGAGGATCGTTAAGACTATCAAGGAAAGCATCTAACTCATCAGCTGTTTCCTTCCTGTCTGATTCTTTATTAATTTCATTATACGAATTCAGAGATAAAATGGGCTTTTTGAATGTCTTTTTCAAGTCACCTGGATCTTCGTCTTCTTGATCAAAGCGAAGTCTTTTCTTTTGGTTAGGAATAAGATTAATCTTAGTTTTGAGCTTTTTCACTGATATACTCGTTTTGTTCTTCTTTGTTCCAGCTTGATCATATCGTGTGCTTGATTTTTGCTCTTCGGATTCTGCGGTCTGTAATCTTTTCTTCTTCCATTCCTCGATCTTTTGTTCAAGAAGACGCTTTTTTTCCTCCTCTAAGTCAACAGCGTTGGTAGTGTTATTAGTTTCTCTCCCAAGTTCTTTTTCTTTCTGTAAACGATAGGCAGCTAACCTCTCTCGGCGTTTTTTAAGTTTTTCTTCTTTCGATACATTATCATCTTTAAGAGTCTTATTATCTGTACTTAAAGAAAGCTGGTTAGTATGGGTACTATTGGCGCCGTCTCCTTTATACTTATCCCTAAAGGAAACGCCCAAGCTCTGATCGCTCATAAATATTTATCCTTACTGTTATCACTACAAAGTCAAGTAATATATCTAATGTACTTTTATTCTATGGGTTTCTCAAAATGAGTATAATTTTACTTATAAAAAATGAACACAAAAAGGATAATTTATCTATTTTCACATTAAGCACTTCTCTATAAATCGGTAGTTACTGTGACCATTTGGGAATTGACTAAAACAATTGGTGGTAAGTTTTCTAGCCAAAGCGCCAAATTTCTAGTATAGTCCAATGAATCTTGTGAATCCAAATGAGTGCCAATGGACGGAGCTGGTAATGTCGAAAATATAACCGCAGTCTGGGACAAAGGTGAATGTAATTTAATCAACTCATTTAATATCAAATGCTGGCCCTTGGCAGGTAAGTCATTAAAGCTAAGTTCTTTCAATTCATCCTGTAATTGCTTCCTTGATATAGACAGTTGCTCTTCCTCTGGCATGTCATCATCTGCTGATGTCTCACCTGTATGCTTCAATCCTTGCACCGGTGTGACATTTTTCTTATGCCCTCGCTCAGGATCACAGCTATCAGCATGTTTCTTTCCCAGTTTGTCTTTGTTAATGTCACGATCGTCAGCTTCATCATCCCCATCGTCCTCGCCATCTTGCAAGAATTTGGGCGTTTTGATCCGCTCGATAATTTTACCCGAGCTTGTGATAATAGAAGGCGGCTTCGAAGGCTTCTCTTTTAGTTTCTTTGCCGAGCTCTTTTCGAGTTTTTTAGCATTCCCATCAAACTTAGTTTCTAGATTGGAAATATCAGACTTCAGGAATAATGGACTTTTATCGTCAATTTGACCCTCCTCATCATTATCCGAGCTCTCCTTTGCATCATCATCGTCTATGAATCGAATGGAGGGCTTGTTATCATCAGGTTCGTCATTTTCGTCGCTTTTGATTTGAGATTGTGGAATTTTGTAGGACAGGAAATTGGGTCTTAAATTGGATCTAGAGGATCGAATCGACATATTATCAATGCTTAAATTGGACCTATTTTTTGTTCCATAACGCAAATTGAAGGTATTTAATGGAGACTTGTTTTCTTCAATTTTGTCATGTTTAGGAGTCTCAGCTGCCTGTACTGAGGGTGCTGTTACATAGTTCTGGTCTGTAGCTTCACTGTCATATCCATTATCTGTCTCTGATTCGCTTGAACTACTACTAGAGCTATCATCTAGAGGGTTCTGATAGTTGAAGAATTGATTTGTCTTTTGTGACTTCATGTTAAATGAAAGAGAAAGACCCTGTTCATGAAGGTTTGAAATGGTATATCTTCTGTTATTTTTCAAGCCAGCAGACATTGGAGGCACGTCACTAGAGTTTTTGGGTGAGTTTCCTAAATTGAGCGGATTGAAAACCGAAGGAGTTTTTTCAATATACTTATTGCCACTACTTTTCTTCCTGGACTTCTGTCTTTCAAACTCTTTAAGCGCTGCTCTAGCCTCACAGAGATTCTTCCACCATTGGTCCTTCTGTAATATGAAATTGATTCTATCAAATTCCGCTTGGTTTTCAAGAGTCTTTGAATATCCCTTCACGAGAAAGTTGTAAGAGTTCAAAGAACCATCGTCAAGACATACAATCTTAATCTCACCTTGGATTCTTAATTCTGATAATAACTTTTTTAATCTACCTCTTTCTTCATCGACTTCTTGTTCCCGTTCAACAAATGCAACCACTCTTAACACGTGAGAATTGAATTTCCATTCGGGTACCGATGAAAGAATGGACCCTAGCTGCAAAATTAAAGTATAAGTATCGAAATTCGTTGAAAGAACAGACTGTCCATCATCAAGAATGTTTATTGAAGACATTTGGATTGGATAAAGATCAAGAAACTTCTTTTCGTTTGAACTAGGTAACTTTGGCTGAGACCAAAAGTGATGCTGTTTGAAATCTCGCAGTGGTAAATCTAACTTGTCGAAATTAGCTGCTACAGCAACCGTTGCTTGCATTATTATTAAATCTTCTAATATTTGTACCCATTGGTTTATTGACACTTTTCTCTCTTTTCTACACTCATCTGTCGGTAATTCCACCAATTTCTTCTTATCTAGAAAAGAAGGTAACAAAGTAGACGCCATTCCATGACGATACATATCATAAAAACCCAAAACTGTTATGTTTGGTCTCATTCCACCTAAACCTGAGCCGAGGTATATATTACGAACTCCCCAAGGCAAGCTTGGCCCAAGAGCAATCTGTACAAATGCCTTTATCTTTGAGATTTTGGTGAGCTGTAACCAGGCCTGCTTTTGTTTTTTGATTTCTTTATAAATATTTATGTTGAACTCTTTTGACATTTCGTTCGATTGCAGTTTATCATTGTCACCATTCAATAAAACAACATGCCCTAAAATGTATAGTCCTCCCTTTTTCAAGTGATTACAAAAACCTATCAAGTTCCAACAAGTTCTGGGGTCATCGCAAAGTAATAATATTTGAGGACGCCAATATTTGACACCAATATTATATTTTAACCTTAGTAAATATTTCCTGACCTGGTGGTAAATCAAAAGTTGAGATATGTCCCCGAATTTCAGAGGTGGTGTCAGATAATGTATCATCATAATAAAAAACATCAAGAAACAAATGACAAGGGTAGCTGAGATACCATCAACAATAAACATAGCTACAAGACAGGCCAAGACCCCGGTGAATGCCGTCCTTGTATTGAAGTAACGAAACGAGGGCCTAAAATTTGGTGCCGAGCCTATCCTTAATAGAAAGCATGCTAAGTTAGTAACAATAAATGTCATTAAAAATGCCATCGTTATGAAAGTTGCAATTTTATTGATATCTGCGAAGAGGAAAACCTGCGCAATGAACCAAGTTATAATAACGCTGAATATACTCGCTTTTTTCTTTTCACTGGGCTTCTTGCCCAACGTTGAAAAGCATCCCAAGCCAGGGATGATCCTGTCATCTGCTATCGCACACAACATAGAAGCTGCTGCAACCACACCCATAATCACGGAAAATAAAGCAGTTGAAAATTCACCCAAAATTATTATAGGAGGATAAATACTAACAGTCTGGATAACTTCGATATCAGCATATAAAAGCTTCCTTGGTATGGCACTACCCATAGAGAGTATCACCAATGAGTAATATATGAATGATAACAAGAGTCCTTTTAAAGTGCCCTCTGGGATTGACTTCGAGGGATTCTTTAGATCGCCTGACATCGATGCACCTGCCAAAATACCAGCTGTTGCTGGAAAAAATATTCCAAAGAGATCTCTAAAAGTCTCCTTCTCTGTTGTTGATGTAGATCCAGCAGCACCCGTTGTGAAATGTGGTAATAAATTATCCTTTATTGTTGAAAAAGATATTCCCGAATACTTAATAACCTCAGGAATACCCGGCACTTCAAATGGCTTAACTGAAAGCGCAGAGAATGGGATAGACATGGTGCTAATCGATAAAACAATGAATAGAATCAATGCTGTTTTTGAAACCAAATTAGAACCTACTAATGCAATTCCGGTACAGATGGCTAAAAGAATTGTAGAGTAGAATAGCTGCCAAAAATATCCCACAGGTAGTATGCTTAATATATCACCTCGTTCACATCCAAAATTAACCATCAATGGTTCAATGAAACCCACAACGTTTAAAGATGAATTTAATATCTGACCAATGAAAAAAATGATACCAATAGCACCTCCAAATTCCGGACCCAACGACCTTGAAATCATATAGTAAGCTCCACCGCCTCGCACGGTACCGTTTGTAGAAATGGCACTGATAGACATCGTAGTGAGAACATTGATGGTGTAGGAAAGTACGAGTAGGAAGAAAGTTCCCAATATCCCCATTTGTCCAATGATGAATCCAAATCTCAAGAACATCAAAATAGATAGGACATTCAATGAAGTGGGAAGAAAAACTCCCTCAAACATCCCTAACTTTGTAGATCTGCTCTTCCGTTCATTTTTCGATGCTTTCAATGCCAGCGTGGACTTCTTAAACTTCCCTCCTCTTTCTTTCGATACACTCTCACTCCCCAATAAGGCTGATGTCTCTGAGATAGCTCCGCCAGCCCCGTTAGCAAACATATATCTTCGTATATTTCCTTTGGTATCAAAATCTTATCCTTTTTTGTTTTCTTTATTTGATCTGCTTAAAAGATAGCGTCAGGTGATACGATATCTTCATATCAGTTGATCGAAAATTTTTTGTAGTCATACACTTTTGGAAGGCAAAGGTAATACACGATATAGAACGTAAGCGTTAATCAAAAATGCTTTTTCGTATCATATCTACAAATGCACAGCTGGGACTAAGGCCCGTAATCCTACTGAAAGTTCGACCAAACAAAGGAGGATTATTGGCGCCCTCCAGTCTTCAGCTGAATAGTAGCTCTGCGAGTCTGTATGCATTGAATCAAGCTTTAACGAGGTCTAATTCTAATGTATCGAATGGAAATATTCAAACACCGAAGCATCTGAGTTCTAATGTGGATGCTTTTCTTGCCAAGGCACAGAGGGACCCCCTCTTGCGAGATGTTATTGACAGTGAAAGGGAATCCAAATTGCACTATTTTCAAGAGCAGTTAAATTCAGCACACCAGTATCGGACTCGAAAAGATCTTGATGGAAAAAGGGCTTTTGCTAATACGGTACAGAATGTTTTCAATTTATTTGATGACAAGGAACTCAGAGGTTCTTTAAACTCAAAAGATTTATTCCAGTATGCTCATCTTTTGAGCTTTTCAGTATATCACAATAGAACCTCAAGACTTACGGGATCTAAAAATAGAGATAGTGACCAATATCATAGCGAAAATTTGCATGATGAGCTCTTGCTTAAGTCTGCTGTTTTGAATACGTCTGATATTGTTATGAGTGGTGAGTTAAACAAGATTTTAAATGCTAACATTTTACTGTTTGTATTTTTTGCAATGTTACAATTTCTGATGCATCCAGAAATGATTAACTTATGGGAAAATGGAGTTACCGACAATGAGGTGGGACACTTGTATTTAAACGAAAAAATATTAGCTGTAATTCTTCCTGTCGCTTTTGACAGTAAGAAGTTCAGTTATGAAGAAATCTTACACATCTACGATTTAAACACCAAAGATATTGAAGTTGTATATCATGAACTTTTAACTTCGATTGGGAAGATTGCCATTCGTGCAGGGGACTATTCTCGTGGTTTAGATTCTTTAGAGTCTTTGTTGCAACAATTTGAAGCTAGATCAAAGGATCAAAGAAAAGTGTTATCTTCCTTAGGTGATTTGCACTTGAGTTTTATTGGCTCTTGTAAAGATATAAAAATTGCAAGGCATTTTTTTGATAAAGTGATCCAATTCGATTTACCATATCCTGTCAAATTAAAAGTTCCTCATATTCAATCTTTATTAGAGAACTGTTATGAATCAGATGAACCATTTGATAATATTTTATACTTTTGGAAGTCAACAATAAAGCACTATCAAAATGAAAACAAAGGAATGCTGTTAAATTCTCGTTATTCGATATTAAATAACACATTTTTCCAGATTTTCTTTAAAAAATATCCATCTATGAACGAGGAATCTTTTGAAAAATTAAAAGAAGTGATCAGAGTTTTCTCCGAAATTAAGCCAATCGACGAAGTGTTCTTGAATACGATCATCGGTAACTATTCTTGGGGAGATAAGGCTGTTTTTGAGCAGTTGGTATTGAACTATTCCATTTACAATATTCGTCGTACCCCTGTTTCTTACAGAATATGCCTCAAAAAGACAGGAGATATACCAGATTACACAAATGAGGAAATACTTGGCAAATGGAATGAATCCTTAAAAAATTTGGATGATAGTAAGTTCACATACATCCCAATTGCTGATTGGGCTGCATTGCGTGATTCCACTATATTATCCCCAAAATCTTCTGAGAGAAAGGACCTCTATTTGTCGATTGTACAGAAGTATAAGGATTACATCCAAGATGAAAGATCGTGTGTCAGGTTTATAAGAAATTGGATGAAAAGACCTGAGCATTTTAAGGATTTGGCTCTGTTGGCTTTAGATAAAAATCCCGAAATTAAAAACTTCATTGAAATCGACATTCCTCATTTCAATCTGCTCAGACCGTGTATCAACTACAATGATACTGTTAGCAAAGTATTGAACAATAATTAATAGTTTAGATTCAAATTCACGTACCTCTATTTCTTGTAAATATAATAACAATAATTTATGCTATTGTAATCACCTGCGTCTTTGTGGCACTTATATTTCATACTTATCATGACTCTCTGATGATGCTAATATGAATTTTGAAATCTGCTTCTAAGGTAGCCCCATACCAATAAGGCTGTGACACATATATCACCTCAGCACAAGTTCAACCAGCATTGAGTTGTACCTTAAGAGAACATGGGAGCATGTATATCTAAAGCGAAGAACGAAGAGCCTCCGGCTAGAAATGCGACTTCCCGTCGAAGGTTCACTTCTACGGAAGAGAAGTTAGGTGACGGAAAAGTAAAAGGCGATGTTAAGGAGAGACAGCAGACACATACGCCTTCTTCAAAACAGAACTCAGAGTTAAACGGTAGGAAGCTAGGAAGAGACGAGCAAAATAAGGGAGATCTAAATGATAACAACAATTCCAATAATGTGAGGAGCACTGCTGCCAAGGCTGCAGAGCTTCGATATCAGAAGCAACAGAGACTGAAACAGGAAAGTAAAGATAAGCTTAAAGCGATGTCTAAGATGTCTAAAGATGAAAAAGGCTTATAAGTCGTGAAGAACACCCGCATTTGCATCCATAAATGTGGATTTTTATTCCTTGCTTTTGAATGCTCCCTCGACACAATCAATGTCTTCTATTTTCATATGAAGAACGAGTAGATAATTTTTTTTATAAAATCAATTCATAATGGTAAATCAGATGGATAATGTAGATTTGAGACTTCATCATTTTTATAAATGACACCGGATACGAATCT